CCGCCACACACAACCGCCACACACAACCACCACACAACCGCCACACACAACCGCCACACACAACCACCACACAACCACCACACACAACCACCACACACAACCGCCACACACAACCACCACAACATGGCCTCCCCGGCCTCCTCGCCGCCCGCGCTGGCAACCACCAAGCGCAAATTCCACAGGCTCCTCGACAACCTCACCGCCAGCACGTCCTCGACCTCGCTCGCGTCCCTCTACGCGTCGCCCAATGTCTCTACCAGCTCCCTCCCGCGCACCGGCAGCCCCGAGCCGCTCGCCAAGCGCCCGCGCAGCTCCGAGGCCGTCGGCAGCGCAGAGCGCGCGCGCGAGGTCTCGGCGGGCCAGGCGCGCATCCAGGCGCTCAAGGACCAGCTCCTCACGCCGCGGCCCAGTCTGGGGGCGGGCATCGAGAGGAAGAAGACGATGCGCGTCGTCGGCGCAGACAAGCAGCCGACGGCCCCGACGCCGCGCAAGGCGCCCAACTTCCAGCCCTACAGCCAGGACCTGTTTCTCGCGCGGCTGAAGACGTTTGCCGCTGTGAAGAAGTGGAGCACCAAGCCCGACGGCATCGGCGAGGTCGAGTGGGCGAAGCGCGGCTGGACCTGCGAGGCCTGGAACACGGTGGCCTGCAAGGGCGGGTGCGAGAAGCGCGTCGTCGTCAGGCTGCGGCCGGCCAGAAAGGCCGACGACGGGCGGGACGTGGACATGAGCGAGGATCTGTCGCACGACGTTGCCCCGGCGCTGGTGGCGCGGTACCGGGCGCTGATTGTGGACGGGCACGACGACGAGTGTCTCTGGAGGAAGACGGGGTGTCAGCGTACGTCTCTGCCACTGCGGCCCATCCGACCAAGCTACTGACACGGCGCGCAGCCGACATATACCACATCCCCATCGCTTCGCGCGCCCGCTCCACGGCCGATCTGCTGAGCCGATACGCCTCGCTGCTCGCCATCTCGTCGGACCTGCCCCTCGCGCGCAACACAACCCACCCCGGCCCGCCCGTCGCCTCTCTCCTCGCGCGCCTGCCCGCCACGCTCTTCAGCGCGGCCAGCCTCGCCGCGCCGTCGGCGCCCCCGGAGCAGGTCGCCTTTGCCTTTGCCGTCTTCGGCTGGGCCGGCGTCAGCGAATCGCGCATCAGCCTCGCGGCGTGCGGCCACTGCTTCCAGCGGCTGGGGCTGTGGATGAGCTCCGACGCGCGTCTGCAGGAGATGAGCAAGAAACTAGACGTATCCGTCGAATCGCTGCGGCTCAATCTGCTCGAGAGCCACCGCGAGCACTGCCCCTGGAAGAACGGCGTCGTGCAGGGGAACAGCGGCGACGGGCCCATTGCGCGCATGCCCGCGTGGGAGACGCTCGTGTTCGTGCTGGCTGGGCGGGGGGACCGCGGCTCGCACCACGGCAGCACGGCCAAGGAGCTGCCCCGGCTGCCGCCCGATGCGGGCGGGCCCGAGGGCCGGCCGCACGGGCGCATCGAGAGCGTCGATCTCGGCAGCGAAACGGCGTTTTCGCGCGCCAGCATGGACAGCGGCCGCGAGCCTGCCGCGTACAACGACGAGGGCGACGAGGAGACGCTGGCTAACAAGTGGAATAGGTTCAAGGCTAAGCTCAAGCGCTCCACCAGCAAGCGCAGCTTGAAGAGCGTCAAGAGCGCGAGGAGCGTCAAGAGCGCGAGGAGCGCGAAGAGCGCGAGGGAGACTGAGGAGTGAGCCCAAGCCCTGTCGAGCAGAGCGCTCAAGAAGTCATGTCGAGCAGAGCGCTCAAGAAGTCATGTCGAGCAGAGAGCTCAAGTACTATCTGGATTCTGAGCGTTTGGCGTGCGTTGTTTTTGTACTGTAGATACCCGGTCTCTCTTCTAGCTGCGAAACAAACGACTACTCATCCCACGACCATGATACTGCCGACTACTCATCCCATGCAACTACCGACCACTCATCCCATGCAACTACCACCACTCATCCCATGCAAGGAATCGACACACTTGGAACCACCTCGTCACGCTACCCCATCCGCTCCCTACACAGCCCAATCGCCACATCTGCCGTCGCCCCGTCGAAGAAATCGTTCATCAGCACCACCACCCCGTCCCCCCTCAGAAACGGCTTTCCGCACTCCCCGCGCAGCAGCGGCAGCATCTTCGCATCGCACACGGGTTTGGTCGCCAGAATCGGACTCGTGCTCACATCGCAGTCGAGTACGCTGGCGACAATAACGTCGCGCATGTTCGTCGCCGTGGCCTGGCACTGCAGCAGCGTGATGGCGTGTCCCGACGGCGGCGCCGCGCTCATGGCTCTCAGCGCGTCGACCATCGACTCCCCCGTGAGCGTCGCGTTGGCCGCGTCGTCGTAATTGGACGCCTGGGCCGCGTCGCGCAGCACGAGGAGCCGCTTCCTGGCCCCCCGCAGCTCCTGCACGGAGCGCTGCAGCATATCCTCCAGCCCGCCGACGCACACATCGGTCCCCTCGAGCGCGCCGTTCAGAGCATCGCGTAGCTCGGCGTCGCTCGGCCGCGGACACTCGCCCGGCACCCCGTCCCAGCGCAGCTGCAGCACGACTATCTCGTCGCCGTGCCCGGCTAGGAAGCGCACCACCTCGGCCAGGAACGCGGCGTACGGCATCCCCGGGATCGCGCCGTGCTGGAAGTACAGCGTGTCTGCGAGCGGACTGCCGGGCTGGATCCGGCCATGGCACCGCGCGGGGCGGAACTCAAAGTAGCGCGCGCCCAGCGCGAGGAGCGTGGGGACCGTATCCTTCTGCGTCATGGCCAGCGCACGGATCATGTCTGGGGCGATGGCGTTCACGCCCTTGTCGCTGACTTTGTTGATGACGTCGAGGGCGCGCGGGAGCGAGCGGCCCAGCATCTCTTTGATGGCGCTTGTGCCGGCGTTGGTGAGTAGGGCGAGCGCCGTCGCCATGCTGTTCATCCCGACGTCGTGGGACGAGGGGAGCACCATGCGCGCGAACGGCTTAGTGCCAAGAGCGCTGCCGGGCGGGATGGTGTCGCGCATCCAGTTCTCGTAGCTGGGGGTGGCTGTGACGTAGCATTGGTGTTGCTTGGGCAGGGCTGCGAGGCCGGGTCCGGCGTCGTAGAAGCCGTATGCTACGATGAGGTCTTCGGCAAAGACTGCGGGCGTCTCGTCCTGTTGCGTTCAGTCGCGTGCACGCCTCTTTGCAGCTTCTTGGTTGTGTACCATGGTCTTCATTGTCCCGTCGCTCAGCCCGCCCGTCATGCTGTTCACGTCCACCCACTGCTTGACCAGCTCGCGACCATCCCTCCTCACGATGAACTCGAATCGGCCTGTGATTTTGAAATGGCCCAGGTTCGAAGACTCGACCTCAAGGTGGTCGCAGTTGAATTGGCGCACGTCTCGCCGGGTCGCAGAGGCCTTGGGGACAGTGAACTCGATCTCGACGCCCTCGACGGCGATGTACGAGTAGCACCGGATGCCCTTTGACGGCATCCTGGATTGTGTTTCTTTGTATCCAGCTCTTTTTCTTTTTTGAACGCTTCCAGGCTCTTCACCCAACTGCCAGCATGGTCTTGGATCACCAGCGGATCAATGCTGAGGTCTGCTGCAATTCTTACATGTGGGTGCGGTCGTCAACGCCTCAATGACGACTTGCCGCGGGGTCGCGTCTTTGTATGGAAAGCAGGCCATCAGCCGTGGCGCCCCCGCGCGCCTCAGCTGTCATGGTTCGTGGAAGTCCGGATGTGCTAGCGGCGGCTCAGCTGGCGTTCGCAGGGTTGAGGTAAGGTACACCAATCACGGCGTGAGCCAATCGTCGATCGGACCGGCAGGTGGAGTTGACATGAAGGATGTCGTGCGAGAGAAGGCGCAGCACTGGTATCCTCAAATCCATGCGTTGAACATCATCTCTGTTCGCCAGCTGCATCTCTGCTCGCCAGCTGCATCTCTGCTCGCCAGCTGCATCTCTGCTTGCCAGCTGCATCTCTGCTCGCCAGCTGCATCTCTGCTCGCCAGCTGCATCTCTGCTCGCCAGCTGCATCTCTGCTCGCCAGCTGCATCTCTGCTCGCCAGCTCGGCTGCAGTCCGTGTAGAACGAGCAGCCCATTGTTCTGCGAGCAAGTCAAGCCCCGCCTCGTCTGCATATTCCTACCATGCTTTATCTTCACCTTGCCCCGCCGCGTTTTCGAGATCTGAGATTGTTCCATCCCGATATGGAGCGTTGCGCTGTTTCAGATGCAGAATTCCCAGATTCCAAGGATGCGCAAGCTCACCATCACTTGCCCTCGTTTGCTGGTTCGCGCAGTTTCCAACTTCAGCGCGAGGGGCAATTGGTGTGAGTGAGTGAGTGTTGCAATGAGGCATTGCGCTAATAACTCGAGGTTGGTCCAGGTCGGTCTGAGAACAGAATGCGTTAAAAATAAGATGTTGTGAGGATAGATCAGGCTCCAGACTGACATAAGAATCGACATAGTTAGAAACGAACTCACCCGTGCTCGCTGGCCACTCCTCCCCTTGAAACGAGCAGTACTGGGTGCAATTGGATCGAGGAGGTCGTTCAGTATGCTTCCATTGTGATACGGCTCGTCATGCTTCGCGCCAGCCCATCGTGCGGTCCAAGGTATAGTACAGCCCTCTGTATATGGTACAGGTATACAACACAGTCCAGCCTCCTCTTCTTCCAAGGCCCAACGTCTACGACACCTTCTTGTTCTTCAGCTTGATCGTCTCCCCGTTGACAAAGATGCCCTTGCCCTTGTACGGCTCCGGCACGCGCCACTTCCTGATTCTCGCTGCGAATTGCATCACAACTTCCTTCTCCGACCCCTCAAGTAGTAAGCGCGTGGGCTGCGGTGTGCTTGCCGTCACGCCCTTGGGTATACACAGTTCAACCGGGTGAGAGTAGCCGACCTTCAGGTTGATGAACTTCTGGCCGGGGAACTCTGCCGAGACGGTGGTCGCCGTGTCTTCGACAGACGCACGGAAACCAACACCGACGAAGCGCAGAATCGCACTGTGGCCTTCGCTGACGCCGAGGATGTGGTTCTGGATGTATGCGCGTGTTGTCCCTTTGCCACGGTTAGCCGTGTTCCAATCATGCTGAGTCGTGATATCACGCACCCCACATGGCCTTCTGCTTCTTATCCGTAGCGTCATCTGCCAAGCTGAGCGTGTAGCTCTGCTGATCAATGTTGATGTACGGCGGGATCTCCATTGACATCTCGCCCAGCGGCCCCTTGACGTGTACTGTGCCCATCGATTGTGTTCTTTGACCCTTGCCACCAATTGTCTTCGGGGGGATCACGCTGAGAGTCACGCTTGGCGGTACTGAGAGCGGGAGCGACCCAATCTTAGATTCGCATCGTGCGGTTGTGGTGAAGGTTCTGGGCGCAGCGGACCGGGGCAGGAGGAATGTCGGTACCGAGTTGGCGGGGGACTTGAGGTTTGCGATGGCTTGCGCGCACCTCCGGCGCGCTGGGGCGAACATGGTGTGGATGCGGGCGATTGGGTGCTGGCCGAAGTTTTGGGAGTTCAAAGGTCCAAGTTCATCAGCCCTACGAGATTACTAATCATCCCGTCTCGCGACTTCCTCCGCAGCTCCTTCCTCCGTTCACACCACGCGTCGACAACCAGAATCGCTCTGTTATCGACTGCAAGCTGTTGTACGATACTGTGCTGTCATCGAATTCATTCTTGCTGCTGCAATTACCTTGTGCGCTGCAGCATTTTTGCTCGTCCACTAACCACGGCTCCCACTACAGCCATCGCTCTCACCCAGACTTCAGTCACGAAGCACGCTACAAGTCTACAGATACTGCCGCAACTGGACTTCCTTTACTTTGATATGCCTTTTCGCTGCGACCCCATCAATATCACATCCTCCAATTCCTCTCCTCAGACTCTGCTCCTTGTCTCCTTCATCACTGCTTCGACTTGAAAAAAACTGCTCTCTACTTGCTGCTCACCAGCTTCGCAGACCTTCCGCCGTGGTTCTACGCGCCCTGGCTCATCCGCTACTGGGCCTGATCTTCGCAATGAAACTTACGACCGCTGTGCCAACAGGCGTGCTGCTGCATATCCCTGCGACACTGTCCTACTACCACTCTCCATCAGCAGATGCAGCACCAACCGCTAATATCGACAGCCTCTTCCGGTACACCAACTCCAGAAATCAGAAGGTAATTTCGCAAGCCGTCGACTTTGTCGTTTCGATGCAGACAGCACCAGCGTGCACACGCATGGCCGCCTCACACCTCATGAATGAATGCAAACTGCTCGAACACGCCCCAGACTTCGCCAAGAACCGACCGCAAGCGTACCTCGATAACGTCAAGACTGAGTATGCAGCCAAGCTTGCGGTCTGCGAGTTGCTCAGTGCCCAGCCTCCCAACAATGCCATACCACCGCTACACTGTGACATTCTTGTCCCTTCAAGTCGAGCCTGCAACAAGGGTGGGTGGTGGTCACAGGCGCCTACGAACACTGACAGGCACTGCTATCCGGAGCACAAGGAGTACCAGTACAGTCAATGCCTAAAGACTCTGCAGTCTTCGCCACAATACTGGACGTCCTTCAGCAATGCACGTCAGAATGCCGTGGTCATGTGCCAAGCCAGCAGGGACGCTATCGAGCGCGAGAACCACCTCGATATCTTCAAAAACTGGACCCAAGTCATGAGTGCTGTGTCTTCCAGCATCCAGCATACCGCTGAGGAGTACACATCTCTGCTGCAGGAGCAGAAGCAGTTCGTGGACAAGCTCCGCGAGGCTCAGAGCCAATTCGAGAAGGATGCGTCGGCAGTGCAGGACAGGGCTCTGGCGACGGCGGGCAACCTAGACGACAAGTTTCACACCTTCATCGAAACCTCTATTTCGGAGCTCATCACCGCGCTTGCAACTGGCCAGAGCGCAGAGATCGCCCGAGTACGTGAAGAACTGCAAGTATTCTCACAAGACATGATCGCCGAGAACTCTCAGCTCGCGAAGTCCCTGACGACCGAGCTGCAACAACATCACGATCGAGCCATCATCAGTCTTCAGATCAATCACCAAGCTCAGGTGGAGAGTCACGAGGTTCTTTCTGGCTACATGGGCGACATCACGACTGCCGCCACAAAGATCAATGAGACTGCAGACGCCTCTTTGACGAAGATTGGCAATATCGAACATCGACTAGACAATTTATCAAGCAAAGCCGAGCACATTGCTCGAGGATTCGCCTTCTTCAGCAGTCTACCGCAGCTTATCACTTCTCTAATCCGCGGTCTCGTTGCCACAGTCGGGGCTTTGTTCATCTTCATCGTGCTCTACCACTTCAGCAGACGGCTTGCATCATACACTGCTGGCGCCTGTAGTGCGGCATATCTGCTGCATTTGTGCGGTGTCTATGAGTTCATAGCCCACTTGCCGACTAGCATCTCAGGGTCTGACAGCCCACTTCCTTTCAACAACCGCATCGACAACCTCAACGCCACTCAGAAAGGCGTGGGTGTCGTTATGGTACTTTGGCTCGCTACTTATCCTGTCTCTTGCGTCAGCAACATCATCAACACCCTGTTCCTACGCATCATCAGCTCCTACTGGGTCAGGCAATACAGCAACGATGGGGGCAGAGGACTACTTCCAAGCATCGAGATTCCACGCGCAATCCTGCCTCGCAGGCTCGACAATCTCGAAAAGCACATCTGGACCGGCCATCACCACAGGCCCGGTCAAGACGCATCGCACGCAGTGGCGCCAAGGTGACGGCTCACTTGTGTAAGTACTGTTCGATGCTGCCACAACGATTAAGACTAGACTCACGACATCTCAACGAACATTCACAATATCACGACACATTTAATTTCCGCGATACATCCAATCTTACGCTCAGCATCGACTTCACCACTATTTCTCATCTCAGCAACATCTATGGAGGCGTCTTTCTACCTTGCTGAGTTCTGGAGCGGCGGAAGCATTCCCCACTGCAACAGCTTCGGCAACATTGCATTCTGCGGCGCAAGCTTGGGCGCGTCTGGCGACATCTCGGTAGCTGATCGGCACATCTTGTGTGTGGGGTTCATGTATCTAACTACCAAAACTAATCCATCTCGTTATACCATCTCACAACCCAGTTCTCATGCAAACGTCATGTCGTGATGAGTTCCTCAGTCCGAGTCACTCATCTCCTCAATCCGCCCACTCCGATATGCCTCCTCAACCGGATTCTTCACATTCACAACGCCCGTCTTCTTCAAGCGTTCAAATAGCACAAACAGCCTCTCCGCCTCGCGCTCCTTCTCCTCCTGTGACATCTCCGGCATCTCCACCGGCTGTTCCTTGTCCAGCCTTTGTCCTGTGATGGGATTGACTGGCACTGCGCGGCTCCCGCCCGCAAGTCCCGCGTCTTTGATCGCGCTCTCGGGCATGGGTATGTTCTTCGAAAGCAAGAAGCCAGACGCGTATCCGTACCCGACGTTCGCGACGTACGTCGCGGCATCTTTCGATGAGAGCTCGTACATGAACGCTGCAATCGAGTCGCGCAGCGCGGGTGTCTGGGCGCTCGTGGAGAGATTCAGCAGTCGCGAGGGGAGCGAAGAGGTCTTGCCAAGGGGCTGGGTGCGGTCGCTGTCTGAGGGGAGGAGTCTGGACTGCATGGCGATTTGGACGTCGGAGGGCGCGAGTTCGTAGGTTCGGCGGAGCAGGGTGAGGAGAGGCGAGATTGTGGCGTCAAGCTCGGAGGCGGGGTAGGATTGGATTGCGTTGTCGAGGATCGTCGTTAGATGGGTTGTGTTGATGGACGGCTCGAGGGAGGGGAAAAGTGCAGCGTGTAAGTCTGGGTCGTGTGGTTGTGTGGCGCTGCCTGTGCCTTCTTCGCGGACGAGGTTCAGCAGCGCGTTGATGAGGAAGGATATGGGTGCGTCGAGGGGATTCGTGGGAGCGTCGCGGTGGAGCAGAATCTTGAAGATGTGGGTGATTGAGGAGGTGAAGTGTTGCGAGAGGTCGGGGTGGAAGTGCGTGATGTTGAAGAGCAGTTTGAGGGTCTCCGACAGAGCCATGAGGTCCATGGGCGCTGCATGTTCCTTTGTCCGTCGCCGTGGCTCGGTGTAGCGGTCTGCATGGCGTTGCAAAGCGGCATTGATACTATCAGCGAGGTGGTGCTCGTTCACGAGCTCTGTGTAGTCGAGATTTGCGCCGTAGGTTGTGAGAAAGAGAATACGTGAGAGAAGGAATTCATCGTCGATACTTTCGCTCTGTAGGCTGTCAATATGGCCTGCGCTCATCATCTACCAAGCGAACACGGACCTTGAACTTCTCCGCTGCGTCAGATCCATGCCCTAGATCGACAAGGATCTGGCGTGCCTTTTGCTGGAGAAGCAAGGCGTTGGCTATGCACCTCAAGGCTTCTTGTGAGACGGCTGTGTCCTTCTCCTTGAAGGCAAAGCGGCCTAATGTCCGGAGACCCTGGAGAGGTCACCTTTCGTCCTCATACTGCTATGCAGACATCATACGTCTTGTGTAAATATGGGGTCGGCATTGGTGGGGTCTCGACCGTAGACCTTAAGCTGCTCAAGCTGCTGCCTTCGTTCTACAAATAATTGAGTGTATGCCCAATCGAAGTGTTCGGGCGCACTGTACGTTTGGAGGAGAGCTTTGGGGTATCGAGATCGGTCTTGAGGTCGGTGAGGATCTTCGTGACATCGTCGAGTTTCGCTCCATTGTGTTAGCGCAAATTGCTGGCGTGAGACAGTCGACGTACCTTTCCCGGACTTCTGCTGTGCAAACATTGTAATTTGATCAGAGAGTTTAGAGGTAGAAAGCAGGCTCGCAGAGAGTGGGTGGACCGCGGTATGATGATCGAGGTGCCCTGCCCCACAGTGGGGATCAATCGCGTGCAAGGGTCCACAACGTTCAGATCTACTTCGTAGACATCTCAGACATCGAGAGACTCCAGGTCAGTGTTAAAGGGCTCGGTCGGTGATCCGAATCGCTTTGAATTAGGTCTTGCTTCCGCAAAGTAGAAGTAATTGACATTCTAGCTTATGGGACTCCTTCAAGGGCATATGTACCCCGACCTCCAGCCTTCAATGTCTTTGCATACGAAGTAGAACGAACGTTCGTTAAAAGACAAGAGTCTGTGGACCACCTTCTGACTATATGCACTCGATGCTGAAGATCAAATCACACGTAGTCAAGCATTGAAATTGCAATTACAGGACTGAAAGTGCAGTAATTAGAACGAGGTGCCGAGCAACCACTTTACGCGCTTGCGGAAAGGCGCGTTTGTTCGCGCGGCAACGCGTCGAACGTGCCGCTCTAGGCTTTCCAGGCTGGGGAACAGGACCACCACCTCGACCGTCGTGCTCAACTTTCCCTTTCGTGCATTTACGACCAGCGATGCGAGCCTGACTTGTTCTTTCGTTTTTGTTGCCCTTAGTTGGTTTCCAGCATAGCTATGGTGTTGTCCAGGTTCGAATCGCTCTCTGTTCGCCCGCCCACTCCACCGAAAGACGCCGGAGACAGCGATAAGGACTTCGACGTCGACGAGACGGTCCAATTTCTTGAAGATCCCTTCGGCGAGAAGCCGCCCCAGCCAAAAGCCATCGCCAAAGTCACTGCGAAGAAACTGCTTAATACACCAGACCAGTCGCCGTCCTCTGACATCGACATACCCTCGAGCTCGGCACGGAAGAAGAGAGTCAACTTCGAAGTCCAGACATGCGACTCACCGCAGAAGAAAGCCGTTATCAAGTCGTGGACACCTACGCGTAGCTCGCCCCTCCGGCCTCTACCACAGACACGCGTGTCTCTGCCGCTCAAGTCGATCCTCAAACCCACAGACGCTACAGCCACGCCCCCGCCGACCGATGAAAGCGCTGCCGCACACCAGTTCAAGTCTTTCGCCGAGATGTTGGAATCGATAGTAAAGCAGTTGGCTCAAGGAGAGCGGCCCACAAGAATAGATGCGTACCACGCACTGCAGCGCACTATGCAGGCCTACGACAAGATACCAGATGAGCAGGCGTTGAAGAACAAGATGTCTTTACTGACACAATTCATCCGGAGAGACACACAAGCTATCAGTCTCTCCGGCACTGGCCTCGACTCCCAACTCATTGGGCAGGCGTTGAAGCTGCTTCTGGCCCTCTTTCGGATACAAGACGTCGCAACTGTCATGGACGACGAGTTCTGCTCATACATGGTTGACCGTACTATCCAAGTCACCACAGACGCCTCGATTGCGAAGAGCGTAGTCAACACACATCTCGCTTTGCTGATGCAGCAAAACTTCAAGCCGCGCGTAATGACTACGATGCGGGTCGAGAAGATCATGGACGGGCTGGACACCATACAAGATCGCGTAAAGGGGTTTTCGGTCCAAGCATATCGCCTGCGGATATACAGGAAGCTCATCCAACAACGTCCCGACCTTATGACACGGCATGCAGAACGGTGGTTCAAGCACACCTTCAAGGCACTGGTCTCTGGCCACAAGGATATCTACCAGAGCGCTCTCGACACCGCCATTGCCGCTTCGAAAATCGTCGGGCATGATCGTTCTGCCGCAAAATCAGTACTCGCTGTACTGAACAAGATCAGGAGCGATGGCGAGACAACTCTAGCGAAGGCCATGGCACTGGAATTACAGAAGATGCTCGACGGAGACAACGCGTCTCTCGTCCCTCAAATCTGGTCGGCAGTCACTGGACTTCTACGCGATCACTTTGACATAAGGTTTTTCACTGACCTGGAAGAGTGGCTGAAAGTGTACGAGAAGTCACTCAAGTCTGACAACGATCAAGTCAAGATCTACGGGAACGTGGCGTATGGCTTTCTGGTATATGCCGTGAACCCATCTCACGATATCGCCAAGGGCTGGTCAAGATTCCTGTTGAATGTACCTCTGCAACAACTACAGCGAAGAGGATCGATGAAGAAGTCTGAGCGAGACGTCATCTTCGGCGGGTACAATACACTACTCTATCACGCCTTCCGCCCCACTGCCAGCCATGAGCAACTTGATCGATTTTGGAACGAGTTTGTGGTAGGCTTCTGGACACCTCTGTTACATCAGTCATCGCCCATACAAGCGGCTCACGCATGCCGCGTAGTCTCTGCTCTGATCAACGGATCTCGTAACCCATGGAATCCACAGAGAGCTCTAGACTTAAGGTATCAGGTCATGACACAACTCACCGAACTTCCTTGTGTGGAGCCACGATGGGTTCGCAAGTCACTTTCATCGATCTTGAGGTTTGTGGAAACTCTGCTCGACACAACAACCTGGTCCAGCAACTCGCAACAAGAAGATGATCCCGTGAAGACTATGTGGTCTGCCGTGCTGAAGTCCTTGGTTGAAGCAAGCAGCAAGGAGGTCATGGCGTCCAGCGAGACCAAAGATGCTCTGGCACACATTGTCAACCTTCTTCGTCGTGTGTGGGATCGACATACTGCTCAGTTAGCTCTGCCTCAACACAAAGAGGATAGCTGGGCAGATAAGTTCTGCTTCTTAATCGAGAGTGTGGTGCAAAAGCTTGGTGCGCACCAGTTCGCGGACAAGTGCCTCACTCGAAACAGTCAAGATGAGTTTGAGGTGGCATCCACACCTTCCTTCCGCTCCCGGCTGAACGGGACAAGAATCTCGCCGCTGCTGTACTTCGTTGATCTTCTTGTCAATCAATCGGAGGGCAAGCTTTCGGACGCTGTTCGATTGCGCGCACTGAAGCTGATCATCGATCCTGCTTTTAATATCCAAAACACTCGTCTCAGCAAGCTTGAACTTCTTCGAGATTGCGCTGTGGCGATTGAAAAGTCTGCTGGAGCGTCCGTGCAAGCATCCGTGGTTCTGAACTTCTGGTCACGGATTGCCGCACTGCTCAAGATTTCCATCGAACAGCAAGTGCCTGATTCCAACGAACGGGTCTCGCGCCACCTCGGTAAGGAGTATGACATTGTAGTTGAGCTCCTTGCCTTGGGTTCGGACTGTCTGCTTTCAACGGCAGAGGGGCTGGACGTACTTTCAGTCTTCATTGCAACGGCTCGAAAAGAGGCTGGAGATGGCGCGCTGGTCCTCGCAGTCATTGAGAAGATCTCCGAACGCGTGTTAGCCTGTGCTTCCGACAAAGTCGAGGCTCTAGCCTTCACCACTATGCTTCTGCAAACCCTCCCCAGCAAAACCATCGGTCGGCGTGTACTTGACCAGGGCAGGCAGGCCTTGTGGCCTTCCTCTCCTGTAGCAGGACGCAATCACGACTTCGACCCGTTTAATCACTTGTATGCTGCTGTCACTTCCGTGGGCACCGCCACGTACGACCAGCTTGGCTTCGCCGACATCGAGTCGACCAAGGAATTTCTCGCGGCGCTGGCCTCGTCAATCAAGAACTGTTCAACCTCGTTGCTTGCGGTCTACTTGCGCAAGATCCAGGAGGTTATCCGCATATGGGTGGAGGACTCACAGAGGAAGCTCCAAAATACGGAACCCAATTCCAAAGCCGTACATCGTGAGGTGGGTCTCAGCAGCCACATTCATCATGCGTATACTAATCAACAACAGGTTATGAACTTATGGCAAGAAGCAAGCGAGGCCATTGAGAGGCTTCCACGCAAGGATGGCCAGGTTCTTTTGCACCTAGAACCGCTGATCACAGCCGGCTTCGTCAGTCGACGCCGAGCTATTGTCAACGTTTCGATTGCGACATGGAACAAGACCTTTGGCAAAGAAGACAGCCTCAGGTATCCTCCGCGACTTGAAACCATCCTCCGTCGCTTGCGCAGTTCTGTTGATCTCGTCCTGCCATCACTGGATATCAAAGACGATGAGGATGTAAGTGGCCCAATCTGTACGGTGTTGAAGACACTGACCAGACTACAGGATGCTGAGCTGTCTTTCTACGACTCCGATGATAGTCGCAAGGAACCTCGGCGAAGTGCCAGAAGCTCTCGTATCAAGGAGTCGCCCTTCAAGATTATCAAACTGTCGCGCAACTCAAATCCCCAGTCTCCGGCAGTCTCATCACCAGCCAGCAGAAGGACCTCTACCCGTCGAACACCTAAAGTACGCTTACGACACGATAACTCCCAGATCCAGTTTGAGGCTATTGTGTCGTCACCTTCCAACCCGTTCGTCCAGGAATCCCAGATCCTGACCGAGAGACAGAAGGAGATGGTCGAACGACAAAGACTCTCCGGCGGGTTGTTCGCAACCATGGGCGCGCCCTCTCCCAGCCGAGATGCACCGCCATCTCCCATGGAGATCCTTTCTGATGCGCAGAGTGTCGACGATCTGCCTACCCGTATCACACGTGTTACGCCGCGCAAAGCACTAGCAAAGATGGGCCCTATGGATGCTTTCTTGGGCTCGTCACCTACACCTCACGCACGACGCAGCTCGCAGAAGATTGTTAGCGATGATACGGACATTGCCACCCCTACTGCAGTGCGCACGGTGCGTGTTGCAAAAGACGACGAATTAGGATCGTCGCCGCCTCGATTCGACAAAGACGATACTACAAGGTCAAGACAAACACCGAGTGCAGTCGCCGAAAGCTTTGACGATCGTCAGCCAGACCTCCTTTACTCCGCATCGTTCGATGATGGCAGTACAATGGATGAAGAGGCACTGGCAGCTGCGGTGACCTTGGCAGAAGAGGCTGAGGAAAGTGGGCAACTTCAAGGCTACCACGAGCGCAACGACGAAATCATGTCTGACCTGCCGAGCTCTACGATCGATCTAGAGCTCACAGCGCAGATTGACGCGGACATGCAGACTGCGGAGGCAGTCGCGGAAGCTGACGAGACCGTGCCAAAGTCCAACAACGTGTCCGTAGATGCTGCATCTCATCCGACCTCACAAGATGTCCCTGCAACGCAGGACGGTAGCGACACAGAAGTTGAACCTACACCAATGTCCGTCCGTACGCGCAAGAACAAGAAAGGCGACACAAGCATCACAAGCCGTGTCGGGGATTCTTTTGACTCCACCCCTGGGAATAGCACTCTAGGCTCCCAAGGTATCCGTCGGTCGACCCGTCACAGCATGGACAGCCCCATTCACATCGAGCTCGGACGTATGAAAAGGCAAAAGAAGCCAAGGAGAATGAAGCACGAATCTGCCCAAGAAGAGGAGCCATCCTCGCCACAACCATCGCAGCAAGACCAAGTTGAGAATGATGGCGAGGCTCTGGCTGCAGCTTCACCCACCGCGAGGACCAGAAGTGCCAAGAAGAGGAAGTCCATGAACGATTCCCCAATATCCTTGGAGAACATGACCGGCAGTCCAGGAGCAGGCCGTAAACGCAGCATCCGTCGCTCACAGTCGAACCTCAGCCAAGTCGAGAGTGCGGCCGACATCATTGAAGCAACACTTGCGCCTTCCAAGCGCGCGAGGCAGAGTCTGAACATGGACGTCAGCGAGGCAAAGTCCACACCACCACCTCTGCCCAAGGAACCGCATTCCTCGCAAAGCAAACGCATCAGCCATGTTCAAGTCACACCTCGGCACATCGAAGCCACCGGGTCTGCTCTGACGGAGCAGATCGCAGCCTCGATAGCGACAGTAGCCGACACCGCTCCTGCAGCCAAACAACCCTCGTTGGTGCAGAGCCAGATCCAATTTCAAGAGCAGCCTCCAACGGGCAGCGCGACACCAAGCCGATCATTCGCTGAGCGTGTCATTCTTACTCCGCGGAGTATCATTAACAAGCTCAAGGAGATCAAGAACTACTTCCTTGCTGCTCCTGATCTTGCTGTGACGAGGGCAGAGGAAAGAGAGGTGGATGACGTGATGTTTGCTATAAGGAAGAGGATTTTTGCTGCGGGACCGGAATATCAAGAGGAGGAGGACTCGTGATGGCATGGAATTGGCTTGGATATGAAGGGCGGCTTTCGGAAATGCACGGTGTGGTTTAGGATAATGATTCAGAGTAATAGATACCCACGAATGCTAATGATATCCACTGCTGTTCTCCTTTTCGCCCGATTACACATTCTCGAGACTGCATCGTTTGCAGACACGTCAACAGCCTCTAGTAAGCCGTGGGGAAGATTGAGGATGCACACGTGGTCAGCTGCGGCTTCGGGTGCATACACATATCTCCTGCAGGATGATGATGCTTCCTCGTCCAATATCCTGTCGTCTTCTCAGAGATCAAAAGTCTTCCCACGATATGGCATGCTTCTGCGCCAGGAAATCTGACGCGATTCTCTGCTATTAATCGAAGATCTATGACATGCAACCATGTCCGTCGCTTTCTTCCTCCATAATCATCATACCGACAATCTCGTGTGGCCTCTGCGGAGTTTCTGCTGCCCCTGATTTCTGTAACAGAGTGATTACATATCCCACATGCGATCTGTTTTATCTGGATCGAGGGTTTATCGCTTGTCCGCGCTAGCGTCGACCCTATCGAGCACACTTAAAAGACGTGGTTTGCCCTGGTCCATCTTCTAATCTACTCGACATGCCTTCTGATAACATTGAAAAGACCAGCAGTACCCCGTACGACTCCGCTCTTCAAAGAAACACCACGCCGCAGACATGTTCTCTCTGTCTTGAAAAGTGCATGCGCTCAGGATGATGTCTGTGCTCTTCTGTCGAACTCGGTCAAAACATTCGACAACTCAGTGAATGATCGCCGGAGAGGTCTTTGTTGACTACATGCGTTCAGCACACTTACTTACTGTGCCATGGCACCGCAACCCCTCGTCGTCGGCACCTCGTGGGAATAATCCAAAAGCGAGGCATCTCTGAGGGTATGCTGTCCCTCTTTTTCTCGATCACGGCTGAACCGACCGAACCAGGAGATTGGGAGTGTTGAAAACGTCCTGAAGTTGCATTATATCTTTGTTTTGCTCTCTGCTCTCCAAGTGGATTTGGATGTTCGCTATGTTCGCGAACAGGCGCTGACCCACCCATGCCTCTCTGTCCGCTTCCCGCTGTAATTTGTTCTCTGAACGCTTCTATGAGCGCGATGCGGCGCGTTCACGAAGGATATAAAGCTGACCCTACCCACCCCACCGACTTTGCATGTCTCTTTGCGTTTACCCCACACTCTTAAGACCTGCGTACACTGCTTTTTTTGTAACCTTCAGAAGTATATGTAACAGGTCCAGTGTAAGCTCGAAGTTTCCTGCTTCCGCCCCTGCAAGCGTGCAGCCGTTCTCTTCCCGAAAGCGGACCTCAGGAATTGTACAAAGCGGCAGTATATACCTTTACATGACACGACTTGTTAGACACTAACCAACTCATTGTAAACATCATTCTCCTGTCCAGAAGCCTAAAAGTGAAGTTTTCTACGACATGCCCATTAGCTTGCTTATCGAAGCATCAAGCATGAGACACGCATGTGCTGCTTGCCTTGGAGGATGACGCCCGAATCAAGATCTCCTCTGCCCATTTGTAATCAACTTTGCTAGGAGCAACGTACCAAGAAGCCACATAGGATGCGCTTTGAAGGAGTACACGAACATAGTACTTCTTCTCGTCGCGCAGATGTGGAAGTTCGGACATGACAGTAGTTAGGCGGCAAAACAGGAACTACCGGGTAGACCGGGGGGAAGAACGCATTGTTCGCTTACAAGCTGGACTTCGTATCTCGAGCCCAGGAATGGAGGCAATCAGCGTGTCTGCATTCCTCTCCACCACTCCTGGGTGAGTGCCTTGGAACCCACCGGTCGCTATTGTATGTGCGACTCGCCTTGAAAGGACTTGCCAAGAAGAACTGTGTCTTCGAGCGCTCTCGAACGAACACTGGCTGGCACACGGTTGTTGCACGTCGGAGGCGAGGTCTTGCAGTAAACGTGTCTTGTTATGATCATCTGCCTTGTGTCTATCTGCAGAGGCGTTCAGCCAGATCCTCATGTCGGCGTTCCAGCGCCAGCGGTCAGAGATTCAACCACGTCCATCTTGCGCAACCAACTCAAGCCCAAAGGCGAGTCAAGGCGCGCCCGAAGAACACAGGACTCATCTAAACGCGCAGTCGCGGAGGTCGATGTGAGAAAAGGGCTGTGAGGCCTGTACAAAGCGCTCGAGACCGGCGATCCAAAGTCGACCAGAAGGGAAAAAGTAACCGGGCGCCGATCCAATGCCCATCCCAATGTCCGTTGCCCAGAACCCAAAACGCCAAAGGAAACTCCCTTCTCAACGAGTGTCTAGTGCACGTGTCCCCAACCCTCGGGAATCTCACTGTCCTCGAAACCTTCCCAGGGCAACTCCTCCGTCTCATCATCCAACATCGTCTTGCGATCCGCATCTCTGCCAAACTCGTCCCCATCCTCGGTGAAATCCTCCGACACGAAGCTGCGAATCGTAACGCGTTTCCCCTGGCCCTTTCTGCCGCGCGAGAACTCGACGTGGGACATGTCCACGTCACCGTCCATCGCACTCGGTCCCGTCTCGCACTGCTTTGCGTCCTTGGAGTGTGTGTGCTGCTCGGCGTCCTGCTGCAAGTCCTGGGCACGGATCATATCCGTGATGTCCTCGACATCCTGCTCCGTGATATCGCCGTCCGCGGCCTGGCCCTCGAGGACGTCGTAGAGGTTGTAGATCTGCGCGTCCTTGATCTCGAGACGTCGGAGGGAGTCCTGGATGCTCGCATGCAGATCCGCACGCTTCCGTGCGCCCTGAGACGCATCGTGGCCTTCAAGCATGACGCGCAGCGCCGCTAGCTCGATGTGCAGATGCGCGCGCTCATCCTGGAGTTCCTTGACGACGAGGGCAAGAGCTTCCCTCGGGGAGCGGGCCGGTCTTAGGGTGGCGTCGATCTCGTCAGGCATGCGGGCTGAGACGGGGACGAGGCGGGGGACGCGCAGGTCGGATTTTGATGTGGTCAGGCCTTCGCGACGGCAGACGGTGCAGTTGGCGTTGTCATGGTGCTTGTCGTGCTTGGAGAGGGTGGCAGCAGTGATCGAGGGACGTCGGGATTCGATCTTGAGGTCCGGCACGATGAAGGCGGATGTCATGTTGTCGGGGACGCTGCGACGGCGGCGGCTGGTGTTGCTATGCATGGAGAGGTCGATGGCGAATTGCTTGGTCTGAGTGGCCTCGGTGTCGGCGTCGAGGTTGGACAGGTTGCCAGTGATGTCGTCTTCGAACTGGCTGGCGGTGGTGCGGCGAGTGGTGTCCTTGAGCGATGATTTGCGGACAAGAGATGGTCGGCGCTCGCTCTTAGCAGAAGCAATAGACCTGATAGTATCCTCACGAGTCTGGCGCTGCGAGCGAGCAGTGTCTTCGCGGACAGTGTGCTCGACCGGGGCAGCCGAAGCACGGCGGGCGTTGGCACGCTGTTCTTCCAGCTGGCGACGAAGCTGAGCGATTACGTCGCTACCGATGAAGCTCAGTTCGGTCAGATCCAGGTCAGCGGGCCGCTGGATAGTAACCGTCGGCCTCGCGGATTGGACGCTTCGCGACATGTACGGCGTGCCATGGGGCTTGAGGGACAGGTCAGTGGTCGACTCTGGGGTGTCTGCGTGCGCGTTCTTATCGGCGGCTGGTGCAGAGAAGCTTCGACGTGTGTCTACAGGCAGAGACCTGCTGAACTCCCTCCCAGAGACGCCAGGGTACTCCTTGCGGGGGTGTTCCTGGATGCGGCGGGACTGAGCGAGCTCGGCGCGGCTGTTGCGCGACTCCTGCTGAACGCGACTCTTGGTACGAGCGCCGGTGTCCTCGCGACGGTAGCTGGGCTTGCGCTGGAGGGTCTCCTGGCGGGTGTGCTCCCTGGTGGTTTCCTGCTCGTTCGCCTCACGGACGTTCAGAATCTCGCGCGTGAGATCCAGAGTCTGTCTAGCAGCGGCCTCGCGTTGCTGGACCTTGCGCTTCAGCTGACTCTCCTTCCTGGCCCATCTCTCGTGGTCATCATCGTGCTGAGCAGCGAGTTGAGCGAGCTCCTGGCGAAGGTTCTCGTTGTCGAGACGCATCGCCTCGTTTGTCTGCTCTTGGGTTGCGTCCTGGAAGTGTCGAATCGTCTCGTCGCGACGATCCACCTGTGCCTTCAGGACGGATTCCTGCTGAGTCCACCTCTTGATCTCGTCCTCGCGCTTTGCCTTCATGCTCGCGAGCTGTGTCATGAGCGCTTCGTGATCAGCCTGCAGACGCGCGTATTCAGCCTTCTCTTGACGCGCCTTGCGAAGCTCTACATCCTGACGAGCAAACTGCTGAGTGTGCTCATCGTTCTGGGCGCGTATGCGAGCCAGCTCCGCGTTCAGCGTCGCGTTCTCCCTCTCGGTCGCATTCGCAGCCTGGTCGAACTGCTGACGCAGGTTGACAGTCTCTTCGCGATGATGTGTCATCTCCTGGTTCAGCTGATCGCGGAGCTCGTCGTTGTCACCGCGAAGGGCATCGACTTCCTGGCGAAGCGCGTCGTTCTCATCGGCCAGCGCCAGCTTCTCGTTCTTCAGCTCTTCGCATGTCTGGAATGCAACGCCGAGCTGGTTGGTCATGTTGTCGCGTTCGGTAGTGAGTCGCTTCTTCTCGATCTCGAGGACTGCAAATTTGCGGTCGGCGCGGTCGAGCTTCGTTCGGAGTGTCTGGACAGTCGCATCGAGGCCTGGGGGTTGGTCAACAAACGCTCTTCTCTTCAGGAACAAAGTACTTACGCGTCTTCTCGACCTTCCAATGACGCTTGCCAGCATCCGAGTCGTTCGCGCTGTCACTGCGTCGCGACTTCTCATGTGCCTGTGCGTTAGCGCGGAGCTCGATCAGCTCAAGATCCTGCTCCTCAATCCGCCTGTCCTGCTCAGACCGCTCAGCTTCAATCTGCGCGACCTTGTCCTGCAGCTGCTGCAGCGCAGAAAAGATGGCCTTTTCCTCGTCCGGAATAGGAACGCTGTCGATGGGGATGTGGTTCGGACGGCGGCTGCCGCCTGGAGGAGCAGCATAGCGCGATCGTGATGTGGTGTTCTTCGAGAAGACGGGCGTGCCATCTTCGAAGACGCCAGAGACCAGCTCGGTCAGGTTGGGCAGGTCAGGCAAGATGAAGGACTGCGCGGTCGCGTTCTGAGCTGTCGACGGGCGCGAGTGTGGCCTCGATCGCTCTTCTACGATGCCGTCCATCTGGAGAGAAGTCTGGCGGTTGCCCCAGCGCGTGTTCTTGGCCGAGTTCACGGTCAGTGTGGGTGGGCGGTCGTGCATGAACGACGACTCGTCTTCGGACAGCTTCGCGTGAAGCTGCGCGAGAGAGCTGCGCGTGTTCTCCTTGGCGGGTAGAGCCGGGGAGTTGCGCTTGCTGGCCGAGCGCGGCGAAGCCGTGCCGAGGTCATTGCGCGAGGCGCGTCGAAGCTGTGCGTCGCGTCGGAGGCTTCCAGTCTCGCCGACGAGGGACTTGCGCGTCCTGTTGGTGGGCGGTGTGACATCGTAGAGGCTGTGGAACGCGGAGCTCTGTCTAACAGGGGTGCCGCGGTTGCTTTGGTCGAGGCCGCGCGCTTGTTCGACGGAGATGCTTTCCTCGTCCGAGATGCTCTGGTCAAAGTCGCCGAACTCCTTGTTGACCATGGACGTGTCGGGATTCGTCCGCGTAGACGCCATGGGCCGCCACTGGGTCATCTTCTTCGCGGTCGAGCGAATGCGCGGGTACTGCGGCAGTGTGTCGGTCGCGTCAACGAAGTGCTGCTGTGTCGACATGAGGACGTCCGGGTCGTTGAAGAAGTTGGACGTCTCGGTCCCGAATCCTGAGCGCTTAGTGGGATTTGAGTCGCTCGGCGGCGGTGACGGCGATGGGATGTTGCACGGGCTGTGGCTCAAGCTGCGCGAAAGCTCCCGGATAGTGCGCGCCTTCCCAATGCTTGTGGGAGGAGAAGAGTGCATTGTGCGGGTGCGGTGAGGCAGCAGCAGCAGCAGCAGCAGCAGCAGCAGCCGTGTTTGTGATTGTGCCGCGTCGCGTCCCAAATAAGCGTCGAGGATATGATAAGGATGCTCTGCTAGAACTACAGGAGCATAGAGAAGTATCCAAAAAGCCTGCCAAAGTTGGTGTTCGGGGGACCGCTGTGTATGTTAGTAGGAGGTGCGTGTGTTTGGCATGTTTACAATGATGAGATGGGATGTCAACAGCGCCAGTCCTCGCTAACACCCGCCCGCACCACACTACGGACCAATCACCACCCCTGAGCCGACCACTCCTGAAACGGCGCCGCCCGCAGCGCCATGGACTGGCCAACGGTTCGCGATGATACAACGCCTTGATTTGGATCTAGCTGCACGGATATCGTATAACAGAGAAACGCAATGTCGCAATCGTGCCTCTCGACACCCCATGCCCATTTCTTATGCTCAGAACCCCTCCCAAGTCATACTTCTAGCACAAAGCCTCCCCTTCCTCCATAGCACCATGACCGTGACTGCGTGTACCGCCATCAACACCACACTCCCCGCCAGACCGTCCATATACCAGCGCCTCACTTGCGGAAGCACAACAATATGCGGAGACAAGAAGTCCAAGCTCGCAAGACCGAGCAACGAGTACGCCGCCCACGACTCCGCAGCGAACGGCTGACAAGCACCGAACAAGCTGACAACCTTCAAGAAGAAGAGCGCCACTCTGATGAGGCTGGCCGTAGCTGGGTTTTCCAACAGGTTGATCACGCGGATGCGGTATTGGCTGAGACGACTCTGGTCCTCAGGCGGTGGAGGAGGCAACATAAGCCTTTGCGGACTCGGCGTCCTCACAACCTCCGGCACAGGGAATTCGAGCTTCTTGTGTCTCAGCATGACCGCTGCTTCCTCTGAGCTGGGTCGTCTTGTGAGATGAGCCGGCGTTGGGCTGGGCGAGCGCTCCATGACCGAAGCACTCAGTTTCGACCGACCCGGTCGTGTGTACTGGTGGGTTGTCGAGCTTCGCTTTCTGGTCATCTGTGCTGGGCCGGGGCTTGGTGTGTCTGCGCGCGAGATGCGGGGGCTGAACTCGTCCATGCCCGAGGGACCGGCGTAGGCGTTGAACTCGTCGAAGACGGACGGCGACTTGAGGACGTGGAGAATCTCTTCGGTGCCCGGACGTTCGTCTGGATTCAACGCAAGTAGGCGTTTGAGTGATCTGTAGAGCTTCTCGGGTAGATCGGACCGGTCACGCTGTTCGTCGTCAATGCCTGCCCAAGTCGTAATCTCGGCGCGCAGCTGTTCCAGATCCTCATTGTCTTCGTCGATTCCGTCTGCGTTCCTGTATGGTAGGCGTGCGAAGCACATGAAGTAGACGATCATGCCGAGCGAGAAGATGTCCGACTTTGTAGTGAAGTTTCCGTACGGTCCACCTGGCTGCTCCTGTCTGAGAACCTCAGGTGCACAGTACGAGATCGTCCCTGTGGCCCCTGACGAGTTTCTCGCAGCGTTCGCTGATTGCACCTCGCCGAAGTCGCTCACTAGAACCTTCATGCCGTACTTGTCGCGATGCAGGAGGCAATTGCTGGGTTTTAGATCGCGATGAATATAGCCATTGGCATGGAGATGGTTCAATCCAGATGTTATGTCCTTGAAGAACGAGATGATCTCTTCGAAGTGCATGCGCCGTGGCCCAAGCGTGCTCTCTGGATCTTCCATCTGCCCTTTCGACCGTCGTCTCAGGCGCTCCTTCATCTGATCTTTGGTGATTGTTGTCTTTGCCGAGTCCAGGATGTAGCCGTGCAGATCACCGCCGTCGCAGTATTGCTGCAGGATGAAGGCACACGGGACACTGGGGCCGAAGGTGTTGATCTGGTAGTCCTCGAGCCAGACATGTCGGTACGAGACGAGGTTCTGGTGCGACAAGTCTTGCAGCAGTTGTACCTCGATCAATACTTTCTCAAGCCATTCATGGTCGTCACCGACTGGCACTCGTTTGCAAGCGAACTTGCCCAACTGCACGCCGTCCAGAACATGCTGCACGAGGAGCACAACACCCTTGCCGCCTCTTCCTAACTCTCTCTCTTCGACAAAGAATGTCTTGAAGTAATTAGGGCTGAATGCCCTTGCGGATATGCCCTGACTCCTCGGAGGCAATGGCGCGCTGCCCACGAACTCCGCTCCCTCAGGTGCGTGGAATTCAGCAGGCGTATCGCGAATTATCGCAGGTCCTAGTTGTTTGTGTGGTGACGGTGGACGCGAGCCTGCTGCGGAGCTAGGCTGACTACCGCGCAGCATCTGGAAGTACCCCGGGTTGACGAAGCCATGATCCATGCCAGGTTCGCCGGGCGAATGCGGTCGCTCATCGTCGTCGGTATCGTGTGGTGAAGGTTCGCGGTATGCTCGGTGGCAATATGGACAGCATGTTTCGTCTAAGGCTGTGGACTTCGAGGCATCGCGCAAGGAGAGCTGCTTGGACCGCTGATCGTAGACGACGACGGCGGAACCATGGCGCCTGCAGCCACATTAGTATGTGCGAGGAGTGCAGCGAAGAGCCATCTTGGAAGGGGTGTATGAGCGTCTGACATACAGTACAATTTCCCGCGATTCGGCTGGCAGGTAAGGTATGAGCGACATGCTCCTTTGGCGTTCGCGATCATCCATGGATATCGGTCAGGTATGCTGATCCACCACCTCCACTTTCCTTGTGACAGCACAGAGCCTCACTCTGCCAGCGCAATGCAACCAAATATGCCGCAGAGAAGCGCGGGTCAACGCGATTGGTTTGACTGAGATCCGTCTTTGTTTATAGGCAGCCGTGATCTGACGTATGGCGGGGAAGTTGCGGGTAGCTCTCGAAGCTTCCTTGAGTATGCTTCAGTCAATCGCCCACGGACAGTAGCAGTTGAGAGAGCGAACTGCTTCGCTGTCGTTGCGCTTATCGGGCATGACCTGCGATGTTATTGTTATTATTATTATTATTATTGTTGTCGCTGTTGTTGTTGTGGTTGGTGTCGGACGGGTTCCGGAACGGGTGCAAGCTAGGGTTTCCTAGCTGGAACCTCCATCTTGTGATGGTATAACGAAGATAGCACACGTATGAAAGATAGAGACTATCGTGCACGACAAATGGAGGTACAGAAGATCTGATCGTGACCGTTGGTACATCTCATGTATCAACCGTGGCTGTCATTATGCATTCTATGCTTCACGTACTATCATTGTAGCAGTAACCGCCCACAGACGTTACTGCTTGCAAAACCATTGTTTATAAATGGCTCTTAACAAGCATACCGCCCTCGAAGACCTCGCCCTTCTCCAGCTTCTGCCATCCGTTGACAGCACCAACCTCAATGCAGACCATGTTCTTGTAGCCATCATTTGGCGCGAAGTCGCCGGTAGCCTTGGCCTTTTCGATCCACGGGTTCCAGGTGACGGTGTCCTTAACGTTGTCGCGGGTGACATCGAAGCGGGGCTTACCGTCCTCGAGCACGCTTGTGGTGTCGATCTTAATGTCCTTGTACACGCGATCGACTTCGCCATTGAACTTCAGGGTAGGCTCTGTTTGTGTGTGGGTGGTTGCGTCGAGAACCTTGTCGACGTACTCTACGCTGCCGAGACCGTTGACTGTGACCTTTGAGATATCCTGCAGAGATCGCATTAGCTGATATTCTTCTGTTGTCGGTGCGTTATTTGTACCTTGATCCTGAAGTAGGTGTGTAGCAGGAACTGGAATTCAAAGCTCTCGTCGCCCTCGTTGCGTACAGTGATGACTGTCTGAAGAGTGTCCTTGCTCAGTGTGACGCTGTACACCAGACCAAAGTCCAGCGGCCATGCCTTGCGGTGCTCCTCGCTGATGCCGTTACGGTCGAGGCCAAAGTCGAGCTTCACGGAGCTGGTGTCGAGGGCATCCTCGGTAGAAGACTTGCCCAGGTATTCCCATCGTGAGTTACGCGCAAAACCGTGCTGGGAGAGCTTCGAGGTAGGGCCGGTCGCAGGGGGTGGGCCGAAGTTCTGTTGAGCTTGTCAGTGTCCATTGCTCGTACAACGCACGTCTTGCGCAATTGCTTTTGACCTACCGGGAAGACGACAGGAACACCACCCCTAATGGGCTTGTTACCTGTGAGATCTGCTGCCTCGCTGACCCAAAGGTTTTCTGTCTTTCCGCCATTGCTCTTCCAGCTAGTCACGGTAGCGCCAAACAGATAGACTTCCACACTCTCGCCCGAGGGAAGCGAAGCAACGACCTTTTGGCTGCCTCCCTCACCGATGATTTCGACTTGTGCGACAGGGCCTGAGCTCTTGGGTGCGTTCAACGCGGAAGGGCGGTTGGCACGGTCAACCATTGTGGTGTGTGGGGTTCGACGAGGTGACGGAGTGTATGGGTGTGCTGATGGCGAAGCGTGCTCGTCTGGAGGTAGTTGTGGGTGGATGATTCTTAGCCTTAATTAGCCGTCGAATACCAGGCTAGTTATAGGCGTGTTTGGACTCACTATTGCTGTTGGTGGCGTTTGTTAATGGACGACGTCGAGAGTTCGGAGGAGGGGCACCAGGAAGCTCCTGCCCCACCTATGATCGCATCGAGGTGAAACTCACCTGAAACACTTCTTGCATTCGCCTAAGCTGTACAAGTAGCTGCGATTGGATCACTTACGCATCCTGACTGTAATACATATGCACCTCGATTGGGTTCACTCGCTTCACCGGACAGGTGATCATGATCGACAGCTATCTCCACAGTAGCTCACCATCATCCACCCGGAAGCGATGGTGTATTGAGAATCAGAGCGCACGCAACGACAACAGATGTCTTGCATAAGCTCCAGAGCCCCTCACATGCGTTCGTTGAGGATGTTAAAGAGGTGAAAACATGTCTGGAAGCTTGCTAATTATGGGTAATAGTGCTGGAGAGGCTAGAAGAAGCAGGTACAACCCTGATGATGATAAAGAGCGCACTGCTGAGTCGCCGGGGAGTATGATCTGTTGAACAACTGTACTTGGTTAAAATTTGTCCCGTGTCCCGCAGGCATAGTTTGGTGGTAAGAATTGTGTTGACAACAGAGACGAAGCAAGCATGGATCGGTTCAAAGCATACTCTGGAGCAGCCGGGAAGGCGTCCTCCGTCCTGCGAAGCTGATTCTTACGACGGCAGACATGCAGAGGCATCTTCAAAGATATTTGAGCAAGGTAGTCGTGAAAACTTATCTCAGGTTGGGGCGTGCATGTGGATAAAGATATACAAACCTAACCCTATAGAGCTGCAGAAGGACTCAGGTAAGTGCTTCAACATGAGAGCATACAATGGCTTCCTTTGCGGCGAGACAATTTAATACTTTTCGATGAGTGACAAGGCTCCTCTTTTCCAAGATCGCTCAGAGATTGTGCTCAGGAGCTGGGAGACAGCCTGAGCTTGCTCATGGGAAACATACCGAACCTGGGACTTCCAGGAGCGAGCATATCGCTGCCACCGTCATCTCGGTCGATTCTGCTTTTCCGACTAAGTTCCTGACGCTTCACGGCATCGTCTTGAAAGGTCAGGCACTACTGAAGCCACGTAATTTTGGTCTTCTGTAGAATAAATCGCGTGACAGCCATCTCGTGTTTGGTGGACGGGCAGTTAAGCTAGACCAGATACCCCAACGTGGCGTTGAGCCATTGAGAGACGAGTCATTTCATCGTGTCCTAGCTGCGAACAGCCAGATGAGGTAAACGCCTGACAAGAATCCTACGTAGAGCCGTCTAAATCACTGGAGACGGCTGAAATCTGTAAAGATCGAAATTTGAAGGTGCATTTGTTTTACGCAGGTGCTGTACATCAGGACGACTATCCACAGTACAAAAGACTGCAACGAAGGGCCTTATTATACTCACTCTCACGAGAAGCGATACTAGCTGCGGTTTGGATGTGGCTTGCTCTTAGAAAAGGGATTGGACGATGTGGTCGCTTCCCAATCTGGACTAGACTAATTAGCTCAGCTGAAAGTCGCTCTCTCTTACCCTTCTTGTCGGCCTCACTGACATGCACCCAATCCTCAGACCACTGAGTGCACCTTATGAGTAACTAAATACCTTCACATGGTTCAGCATCAGCCGCAATATTGAGTCATCTGGACCTGGCGTACAATGAAGAAGCTGCACCCGCGCTCACCGAAATGTTTTCCGAAACCTTCAAGCCACAACCTGTCAAAGCTGCACTCGAGGGCGACTGTAGGAACAGTTTCAACCGCAATGCAATGCCTTGTGGTATATAACTGAGTCTGTTCATCGTCGCAAGTATGCAGAGCGACCTTCGTCTAATCCCAAGCCACTTCCGAGCTCATTCGAGTCTCATTCTCTCTTTTTCCCTTGTCCAACATTAGTCACTCGCTTACAAGTCATCATCGAACCCGTCATGGTCCTCCTCTCTTTAGCATCGTCTGCACTTGCTGTCGCAGTCGTTGTGCATGGCGCCGATCTACCGCAGGCTGTTGGTCCTTCGAGTGACGCTCCATCTTGCCTCGACATGGCTCAGGGTACGACCTTCCAATGGCCAGCCGATACCGAGGACGCCTCAGATGTTTTTTAGATTACATGTGGTATGGACTACTGGGGCGGCGACCTCCGGTCACTGCAAGCGGACACGTTTCAAAGTTGCCTGGAGGCTTGCAAGACCGAGACCGAGTGCGTATCCATTGCATACAGTGGTACTGCCTGCTACTTGAAGAAAAATTCCACGCCTGAAAAACCCAACGGTGGAGTCTGGTCAGCCAAAAGAACGCGAATTGCAAGCAATAAGGGCCTGACATGCGGTGCGGACGGTTCCAGCGATGGCAAGACGTACACGTCGTCAAAGGGCGACTTCAAGATCATCTGTGGAAAAGACTATGCAGGAAATGACCTTCCTGCCACCAGCACCAAGACGCTCGAGACTTGCATCGAGACTTGTGTTGCCACTGATAAATGCGTCGATGTCTCATAAGTACAAACTGCCATTTGCTCCCAACGGTGACTCTGTCTGAACTTAATCTAGCTACGTTGGCCCTCAAACACGCTGTTGGTACTGTCCTAGATGCTGTGCAAGTCTGGACTGCCGTCCGCGTGGACGCTCAGCCCTTCGTCTATGGTCCCACCTGCGAGAATAACAAAGACAACAAGACGACTTACAAGGCCGAGAATGGAGGCTCATACACCATCGAATGCGGCGTTGACTACTGGGGCGGTGATCTATCGTCCGTGCAAACTTCTACATTCGAAGCCTGCATGGAAGCTTGCGATGCTGCGACCGGCTGTGTCGATGCTTCGTATTCGTCCGGCACCTGCTACATGAAGAATGTCCTCAACACCGCCTCGACTGCGTCCTGGGTCTGGACTGGCCGCAAGCCGGTAACAGTTGAGCCGACTGAGACGCCGCTCGATCTTACCCAAACGGAAATCTATAGCGTCAATCAGCCGGCTGATACTCACATCACTAAGGACACAAATCTGTTCACCCAAACTCTTACTGGTAGCAATACGAGATACGGTATCTCGACCGTCATACGTTTCCCGACCATCCCTTACACCGTTTACGAGATCTCCTTTGAGTATTACCAAGAAGCTACACAGGGTCAGTCGTATTTTCTCGAGGTTGGCGATAGCTGGGGCTATCTCGCAACGCTTGGTTGGAACCAGAACCCAGTTGGGTCTTCTGTTCAGATCAGCCATTCGTATGGTAATGCTCTGGGCTGGACTCCGACCGCACAGAAGGTGATCACTTGCTGGGACAGCAAGGCCGAGCCGAAGACTGCTCCTACGAGTGGCAGTTGGCAATCCGGAAAAGGGATTCTCTACCCTAGGTCAACTCAAGGTTACTTCAGACGCGACAACTACGGCCTGGGCACCACGCAGTGGAGGAACGTGTACGTAAAGCAGAAGACGAACGATTACTGCGGTGTCTCATAGTAGTGCACGAATATGTGTAGGTCTTTTGAAGTCTATATTGTAATGTATAATTAATGGGGCCTTGTAGTTGATGTGTCGACGTAGCTATCGTAAAAACCTTGAGTTCAGGAGATTTCGATCAATGCCAGACGATTGTGAACTGGAAAAGCGTTACTTAAAGAGCATTCCCAGTTAGCAGAAAGCAAGGCTAGTGGTTGTCTGGTCTTTGAGATCGGCTAAGGCTCACGATCCAGCAGGGGAGAAGAAGAGGCGGAAAGTCCAACGCACAGAAATCTAATCGAACGCATCAGCACTGCCGTATTTCTTGACAGGACCAAAGAACAGTGACGTGTCTCCATACGAATTCTGTTTCGAAAACAGGGGGTGGTTGTCGGATAGAACTTGTAACGAGCGGGCATGTGATTGCCGGGATATAAATTGTGATGTTGGCAAATAGGTGCGGCATGAGACACGAGCAAGAAGAGATGATATTTTCTAGATTCAATTTTACAGCAGCCTGGAGGCCTTCCACCTGGCTTCAAGCCGTGTCTTTCACTCTACCCATGGCGGTGAGGACATGCTCCAACCCCATGGCTTCAATACCCCCATCTTCCGCGAGCCCCATTCTCGCCATCATCGCCCTGCCCTCCCACGTCCAGAACCGCATTTCGACCAATTTACCTCTGTTCTCGGCCCATCTTACCGCGGCGTACCAATTTTCTCTTTTCGCGAAATATAGCCCAGGGACACCGACGTATCATATATCAGGAAATGCAGATAGACGCAGTGAAGGCGGCATTGTAGAAAATGGGCTGCAGTATTCGCAGCTGTCGAGTAATGTAATATGGTCGATGGTCTCGAGGTCAGCGTGAGATTTGAACGGTAGGCCGAGGTGTGTCGCGCTATAATACTGTGTGTCGAAGGTCGAGTACTGAGGCAAGGAGGAGTTCCAAGGCTGTGTGGAAGTCGACCTGTTGCTGGCGATTGAGATCATCGAGGGATGACTCCCGAGTATTGGCTACCGTTCAGCAGGTACTGTACGGCCTGCTCCCTTCATCAGACGTAGGATTCCATTTCCGGATTGGCGACAGCAAATGCCATTTCCTAATGAAAATGCAATGTACCAGCATGACGAGCGTTCCCGCGAAGGCAACGGCTTCAACGAAGATAATAGCCGGTATCACTGTGTACATGCTTGAAATGTAGACTGTTTTGGTGGATGAAAGCCACTGCTGTGGAAGCACTGTGGCGTGGACAAGATGGTAAGGATGGAAACGAAAGTCGTTGATGCACTCAGTTTTGAAGCAACGATTGTCTCTGTGCGGCAGTGCCTGTTATGTTACCATGGATCTAACGTCACGACTGTAATGGTTCAGGGAAAGGGCCCTTTACCCACTGTCGAAACTGCAAGCAGGCCTCAATGTGCATGTCTTAGTTGCCATTGCATGTAAGGTGGGCCACAGCAGCAGCAGCGCATCAAACCTGGAGCTTGAGAGAGGCAGTCCTCAATTGAATCCGACTGAAAGCCGATAGGGCTGCAAACCTGGGTCTCTTCATTTGATCGGCCGCGATGACTGTGAGCAATATTGGGCGAGGCTGACGAGACTGGGTCTGTGGGTGGGCCTTGCAGCTGGAAGGCGCGCTAGCGCGCTGCAGCCAACGTTCGGTCGTACCTTCTCTCATTGGTGCACTTGCCGTAGCTCGCGTGTGTTTACTTTCGCGTCCCTCGTGCACCTGCGTGCCTGACGCACGTTGACAAGCGAGCGAGTAGAAACAAGATGACGAAAATAACGTGCTCACCACGAGTACTGCACGTCGCACAACGCGGCCAGCCTATGACGCTGCTCTGGCCTCGATGCTCGGAACAGCAATTAATGGGATGGGCCCCCTGTTGCTGCAGCCAAGGCCTGTGAGTGGACCCTTCAATTCGCGAACGGGCGACAAGCTAGGCTAAGCTAATGTCGACCTCCTGATGCTCCTATCTGAGTGTCGAGGCCGTGGGCCGCCCAGCGCATCTCCTGTTTTTACATTGTGTGCGTAGCCGTTCATTTCTCCTACAGCTAGAAGCGCAGAGAGCGTCTCGTAGCGCGTTTCATTGCGCATTGCCTTCACGAACCCTGGTCCCAGCTCAGAACCGCCGACTCGAAACACGCTCGATATCAGCGCGTGCACCCATCTTGACCAGTCCGAGACTGGATGCTTGCCCCATAACGCCCACGCAATGACGGAGGTGACAGCCACCGCCATGGACGTCGAGAACAGTACCGCACCTCCTACCGTGGAGGCATCACGACCGCCGAGATCCCATGTCGACTCCAAGCCGCTGCCTACCGACTCGATGGTGACCGTACCGCTGTCAGAGGCCGGCACAAACGACGACGGTGTTCGAGAGTCTATGATACGTCCAGATATTATAGTGGAGGAGCGAAGACTGTCGTCAAGACCAAGTTCAGACGAGATCCACAAGGCATTCGGCCGTCGTGTAAGCCAAGCCAGTGTCACTGCACCGACCTCGGGGAGCCCTACTGTATCGATCAGCGATGTCGATGCACCGGAGAAATCTAATCCCACACGATCGAGGAGTGGCAGCGACAGCTCGGGGGATGCCAAGGTTGACTGGGCCGAGCTGGAGAAGAAGGAGACCCAGCAGAGCCACGAGGGTCAGGATGATGTAGGTCCCACGCTCTGCTGGCATACTGGCCACGCTAACACGTTCAGTCCATGGCACTGCTCCTTGCACGCCTCGAGCAGGAGAACAATGCCCTAATGTCGGACTCCAAGGCAGGCATGAAGCCCACTTTGAAGAACGCGCGCGCTCGAAGCCAATCTCGGCCGCCCTCCTTCCAGCAGCTCAAGCGTCTCGTGCAGAACGACCCTGCAGATGTCAGATTCTCCCAGCTGCCATCGCCTCCGCCGATGACTGAGCTTGAGTTCTGGGCAGCTCTCGTCCGCGATTACCCGCAGGTGGTACACCGGTTACCGACTTTGTGTCTGAACAAGATACGTGGTGGTATCCCTGCCCCGCTGCGAGGTGTCGTCTGGCAGAGTGCATCTGGCTCTAGAGACAGGCTGATCGAGGATCAATATGAAGCGCTCTGCGGAGAGTCAAGTCCGTACGAGAACATCATCAACAAGGATCTTGGTCGAAGCTTTCCTGGCGTTGAAATGTTCAAAGACCCTGAAGGCGAGGGTCAGAAGATGCTTGGCCGCGTGCTGAAGTGCTTTAGTCTGTATGACAACAAGATCGGGTACTGTCAGGGTCTAGGCTTCCTTGTTGGTCCCCTTTTGATGCAGATGGGCGACAAGGAGGCCTTCTGCGTGCTTGTCAGGTACGTTGATTGCTCGTTGATAAGATCGCAGCTGCTGATTCAGACAGACTCATGGAAGACTACGACCTTCGTTCTTGTTTCCTTCCTGATCTTTCAGGTCTGCACCTTCGCATTTTCCAGTTCCAGAAGCTGTTGAGTCAGCACATGCCAGACCTTGCGCTGCACCTCGAGCAGTTGCAGATCGAATCTGCCTACCTCTCGCAATGGTTCCTGTCGTTCTTCGCGGTCACATGTCCTCTGCCTATGCTTTTTCGCATCTACGATGTACTCTTCGCCGAGGGTGCATCCGAAACCATCATGCGCGTCGCTCTCGCTCTCATGAAGAGGAATGAAGCCAAGCTGCTTTCACTGACTGAGATGGAAGACGTTATGCAGCTCCTCCTCGGCCGTCAATTATGGGATCCTTATGGCCGAAATGCCCGTTCAGCTGACGACTTGGTCCAGGACTTCGTGTCATTCACCAACGATGTCACACGAGAGCAGTTGCAGGGATTAGAGCAGCAATACAAGGAAGCGCAGGAGAAGGAATCTGCCAAGCAGCAAGTCAACAAATCCGCCACATCGTTTCTGGGCCGCTTATGGGGCCCATCCAATTCATCTACGAAGTCCGTGTCTCTCAGCCCGGGCCTATCTGCGCCCTCACGTCCTGTCAGCTTCCTGAGAAGGACACCATCGAAACAGAGCCTCGCTTCTACACTGAACTCCACTGCCGAATCAGACACCTCGGCGGTGACCCAAAGTACTGCTTTGACAGATATCTCGCGTGCATCCCACGCGGAGACAATGTCGATCAAGTCCGGACACGCCTCCGTTGCCATGAGCATCTCGGCCAAGGACAGAGACTTGCACTATCAGATCGAGCAGCTCCTCATGTCTGTGAGTCAGCTGCAGCGACAGAATGGTGAGCTGGAGGCTGTCCTGCAGAAGCAGCGCGAGGATCGCAAGGAAGACCACCGTGTTGTTCGGTCTGTTGTTGATAAAATTCGAAAGAAGGACTCAACACTGTCCGCACCATCAGCACGCGTGTCGAGACGAAGGACCACAATCACAGCCGCAACCGATGTCTCAGCCAGCAACGACTCGCCGTCAGAGCTATCAGGAGATGACGCGGAGATTCTGGAAACTTTGGACACTCAATTCCCGGTAACACAAACGCATCATCGCGCTTCGTCCATGTTCGAGACCAAGCAGCTACTTCGTGATAACCTATCGCGGACCAAGGAACAGCTGGCTTCAGAGACGTCACGGGCTCAAGCGCTGGCTCGCGAGCTTGACGAACGTCAATCTGAGCTCCAGGTTGCCCGAGACGCACTCAAGGACACTCGTAATCGTCTTGCGGATTCGTACAACCAGAACCAGAGACAGGAGAAGACGATCAACGACCTGCGACAGAGTGCGCGCAAGGCCTCTGCGGCAGCAAGCTGGATGTCTTCAGACGACACATCGCCCAATACTACCCCCACGCTGAGCAGAAGTACTACCTCTGAGAGTGTCACAAGTGGATTGAGGGAGCTACGTCTCGGCCGAACCGCCTCACAGAAGTCGACTCGCGAACATCCACCATCAATAACTTTCAATAAGCGGTCTTCCTCGCTCATTATGCAGCCCGTTCTCGCAAATGGCAACAATGCGCCGACCGAAAACGAGCAATTGCTGCTCGAGCTTGTCAATGCGAAAACGGCGGAGGCTGTCGCACGGCAGGAGGCTGACGAGATGAGAGCTAAGTTCGAGACTTTGAGGAGGACCATGAACGCACAGCCCGCCGCGAGCGCAACAACAAGTCCGGCTGTCACTTCGACCCCTACCCCAGCTGCTGTTTCAGAAGCGAAAAAGGACGGTGCTGCAGCAGGCGGCTGGACTTGGGGAGGATGGAAGAGGACGGTCAGTACGTCCAATGCCAGCATATCGTGAGAGATGCGCGACGACATAATTGGAAGATGTACAATATATGTATGCGACGACATATTCAGCGATCTGGAGGACGATGACGAGAGATATAGGCGCGGCATGCCACTACTATTTCTCATGTGTGAAGATCCCTAGTGATATCTGTAGCACTTCAGCTCTCCCAGCAAGAGCATGGTTGAGAGCATAATTTAGCAGCGTTTTGGGACGGAAAACCAATTGTGTATCCTCAGCGTTAGGCATTAGATTTCGCCTTCATCGTCGCTTCGAATTCGCAAGATTCCTGACTACACTGTTCGGCGGCAACAGCCATCGTCCACAATTTACATGCAACACGCGGAAGGTTGGAATATTTCCGCTTCCGCTTCCGACCTTGAGGCCTTTATTCTTCTCGAATCGGGAAGCAACCATGATCCACAGAAGCAGAAGAAGACATGAGCTAGTAAGCGCTAATTTGGATGATACGCGTCGAGCAGACGTACCTGCATCCCTTCACTGCAGATGTGACTTGTGAAAAGCAAGGCTGCACTGTATCCTCGACCCATCGCAACACACCGGTGCATCCGTCAGCTCACGTGTACAATTACCGAGCTCCGAGGACACACGGCTTCCATCACGACCTGACCGCTACCACTCACATGTGTCCGGATCAGCCCGGAATTCTGGACTTTGGTGTTGTGAAGACCCCAGATTTCCCCGCAACGCGCCATTTGTCTTAGCGCGTCTCGGCAGTTGCATTAGCAGAAGCTTGTCCCATCTGCTTCGAGTCAATCCACCAGCATGCCGGCTATGAACACAGTGTCGAAATCCTGAAGGGGCCTGTGAGCATCTGCCGTATTCACAACCGCCCTCAAACCCCGCGTTCCCCAGCCTTTTCGCATGATTTTTCCCGTGTTGACAGGGTTGGCAACGGTCCCAGGCGGCATGCTGGGATCTCGACTGGCTAGCAAGATGGCCTCGATATTGCAAGTCACTGGCCCTTGCAAGGGGTATGCATACGTCTAATCCCAGATCTACGCACACATTTCATCACTGTGCGTGGCTGTAAGTGAACTTGGGCATCGAAACACTCTCGTGACATGACTCAACCGCCTACCCATCGGCTCTGCCCGATCCTCACATCTTCGAACGTGGTCCATTCGGACCGCAACTGTGCTCGAATTCGCTAGCAGTAACTGCCGATAGTCGATTGCAACTTGACTGGACGGTGCGATCCCTCCGGCACTTACGACTTGTGGCTGAACTTGTTCCATAGTTCATCTCACAATAGTGTCGATAGTTCCGCTTCAAGCACAAGCGCGGAACAAAGGCCCGTTTTGGGCAACGACAACAATCAGTCTGTGCACAGGCCAAATATACAAGTACCTACTTGCACACCCGCTTCATTTGATCCCAGATTGATCTATTTACTACTGCATAATCTGCTGATTAAGCAGCCACTATGGCTTCCAAAGAGTACACCGAAGATGTACGCCGTCCTCATCCTTTCACCACGAATGGTGTACTGACCCGCCTCAGGAGCGACGCCAGCTCGAGCAAGAGCTCCATGTCGAGATCTTGCCCGGAACTGAGGTCATGGCCGACATAGGAAGTCACCATTTTGTCAAGGGCTCTCACAAAGACGTCCTTGTCCCACAGCCGTCGGACGACCCGAATGATCCGCTGAACTGGAGCACCTGGTGGAAGACGGCATGCATCACCGCTGCGGCTATGGCGACCTTCACGCAGGGTAGGCGACACTTCCTCGCGAGCTTGCTATGTTTCCCTAACATGCTCAGGCTTTGGCCCTCTCGCGCTCTCGCCTATGTTCCCGGCCCTGATGGAAGCCTTCAAATGTGATCTTGCTAAAGCAATCCAGTTCACAGGAATTTGCATCTTGGTGCTAGGTTTCAGTAACTTCGTTTGGTACGTCTTCCAAGCTAAGAATCTCCGCAGAAGGTGTTAACATGCTGTAGGGTTCCCATCAGCACATCTTTCGGTCGCCGTCCAGTCTATTTGCTCAGCCAGCTTATCAATTTCGGTACGAGCATCTGGCGTGCCAAAGCGAACTCCTATGGCTCCTTTATGGGCGCTTGCATCGTCAATGGTATTGGCGCGGGTCCTGCAGAAACGATCATGCCTGAAGTCATTGCCGACATCTTCTTCCTCCACGATCGTGGCAAGTGGAACACGCTCTACTGGGTCGTATACATGGTTTGTCAACAGCACACTTTGTTTTTAAAGTGTATTGACGTATGGTGTAGGGCTCTCTGATGGTCGGTCCGATCGTTTCCGGCTCGATGACAGAACAGCACGGTTTCCGCAGTTTCTGGTGGCTCAATACCGGGCTACTCGGTACCTCCTTCCTCATGATTGTCTTCATGTTCCCCGAAACCCGCTTCAAGCGCGAAGACCCGGCTCTTCCAAGCAAACAAATTCACCCTGACTCACCGAACGAGAAAGGTCACGCAGCCAACATCGAAAACACCTCGAACACCAGCTCCGAAGACGGTGAAATCCACCATACTGCAACCGTAACATCAACCGTAGCAAACCCCAACAACGGCCTAGCCCTCACCGAGACCGCCGCCCGTGACCCCTACCTCGGTGCCGGCACCCCCGGCCGCTGGCAATGGCGCGTCTTTCAACCCAACGCACACCCCTTCCGCTCGATCTTGCTAGACTTATGGTTACCCTGGAAACTCTTCGCTTTCCCTATCGTGGAATTCGCCGCCTTCGTCGTCTCCTGGTCCTGCTCCTCCTTCCTCACCATCAACCTTACACAGTCACAAGTCCTGTCGGCCCCGCCCTACAATTTCCGCCCTGAAACCGTCGGCTTCACGAACTTCGCTATCATTGTTGGTGCGCTGATTGGACTTTTCACGTCAGGCCCGTTGAGCGACTGGGTTGCGGCGCGCGCGACGAGAAAGAATGGCGGTGTTAGAGAGCCGGAGATGCGACTGCCAGCTATGATCCCATATGTCGTCATCATGGCTATTGGAAATATTGTCGTGGGTGTGGGTTATGAGCGTGGGTGGCCCTGGGAGGCAGTCGTGATTATCGGGTATACGTGTGCGGGCATTCAAGTAGCGGCTTTGCCAGGAATCGTGAGTACGTATGCGGTGGACAGCTATAAGCCGGTGGCTGGGAGTCTTTTTGTTGCCATCACGGTAAACAAGAACCTCTGGGGCTATGGGCTTGGCAAATTCATCACACCGTGGAGCATCGAGGTTGGGTAAGTGCATCTGGATCGAGACATAGACTGGCATGAGCTAACACGGTCACAGATTCATTCCTGTTGTCATGACGAATATGGCGCTCATTCTGTTGTGGTGTTCGTTCGGTATTCTTTTCTTTTTCTACGGCAAGACGTTCAGGAGGTGGACCAAGAACAGCAGTGTGCACAGTTTGTAGTCGGACGCAAATCTGGATGGTGTAGCTCCTTGTTGTGGAGGAAGAACGGGCAGTCGAGCGATATAGTAGCCACTATCACATCAACGTACACAAATGTAGGCCAGAGAAAGCCAGTGCATGTTCACTCAATGACTTTCAAGCTTACGGGTTATTATAGTTGCGAAGAGATAGCGGACTGCAAGCTAGCTGTGCTACCTCAGCTTAAATGCAGCTGTAGTGATGGTAGCGTATCTGTAAATTTGCCTCTTTGTCAAACTTCTTACGAGTTTTACCTAGTGCAAATGGGATGTTAAAGGTCTGTGCGATCGTCGGCAGCGCAATGCGCTGACTTGGTTGAGCAATTTTCTTGCCAGAACAGGCATAGGCACTTGAAGAGAATGGTAGGTAGGTAGCGCAAGTGGGCTATTCATGGCCCACCCCTAGTCTCTGTACAAAGGCCATTCAACGGCCATGAACATTGCCATCTTGTTAATCAACGCGTGAGTGGTAGATACTTGAGATCATCTTATACTAGACAGTCCAGCCTAATTGCACTTTTCCAATCTCTACACCCTGGTACCCACCTGGACGCAAATTGTCTCCCAGACCTAATGCTGCTCATTGTGCCCCATCTTAGTAGGCACGTACCACTCCAAGGTTCTAGTCCTTCAGGCTTTGTTCTAATCGGAGAACACAGACTGCTGTCAAACATCTACATCCTCGTGCTGTCCATGTCAACGGTCTTCAAAATCCACATATTGACTCGCCGAAAGACTGCAGTTCTCTCACTCATAAACTTCGGCGCATCCGCTGTTCTAGCAGAATGATTTCGCCTCATACCTCTTTTAGAGCTCAACTCATCGCCGGGTGTCTTCTACGTACTTGGAAAGATGATGACTGTGGCAGCTGTCGAGATCCAACTTGTTTTTGCTGCGGTCAACTTGCCGTTACTGAAGGCGCTCTGGAAGAAGATGACAGGAGCAAGCTCAGATGACTCGAAGCCAGAGTACTCACAGTCTAGAAGATACAGGATGTGAACGCTCACGTCAACCAAGAACCGGGTATCGAGGGGCAGTGTTACCAAACTAGAGCATAATGTTAACAATACAGAGTTTGAGGAAGAGCTATGGAAGCAGACTGGGGAAATCCGGGCAGCTCAGGTGCCTGATACTAGTAACTCAGATAATTTTATTACAAGGGAACTAAACTTCACAAGTAAGAGCAGGCCAGTAGAACAGTAGCTCCGATCCATATCTGAGGCTAAAAGTGGCTGCGCCCTACATAAATAAGCTCCGTACAACAGGGGGGCAACTCACCATAAATCACACCTGACAATGAATGCTCAGCTTGATAGCCTTTGACGTCAGATCAGACGCGAGACCGTTTGCGCTACGGGGCATTGACGTAATCTGCATTTACCTTCACCTCTCACCCATTGTGACCTGCAAACTGCGATTTCACCATCAGTAAATTTCTGCAACTTTCAATTACCTTCCTCAAATTATTCTTAAATATTTGCACATATTACCACCACGACAATGACAGCCCTTTCCAACCACAACTCCCGCGCCTACAGCGTCCTCTCAGAAGACGGCCATCCAACGCCTCGCCCCTCTCCGGCACCTCCCCCTCCACCAACGCGCCGTTCCGGCACACGCGGCGTGCGCGCTGCCTCCATCACCTCCGATGCCCCACCGACCGAAGCGTCAAAAGCGACGAAGCTACCGCTGCACTACTTCCTCGCACCAACAGTTCCAAGCCCATTCACTGGCACGCTGGAGGCCTCGCTCGACGCAATCCTGTCATGGGGCACCCTTCACCCGTCCACGACATTCACGAAGGAGACACTTCTCCGGCCTGTATCCACGTCCATGAACTGGCCAGCTATCCTGATGACCGCATTCGGACCCGCAAGCGGCCTCGATATCAAGCTACGCCGCATCTTGCTCGAGGAGTTGACAATCCTGGTCACGCGCACCCTGCTACCTGAGCAGATCGCGGAGAACAGGCTTGCGATGGGGCGACTTTATGATCGGAGGAAACAGCTGGCGATCAGGATGGTCCTGAGGTACGATATGCTCAGGGAATGGATGTTGGGTGAGGGGCCGGTGGGAAAGAGGGACTTGAGTGTTGCGTCTGTGCCGCCTACTACATCCAGTGCGGACGGGAATGGGAACGGGTCAGTGCAGATCGACAGTCCGATGAAAAATCAGGTCACGCAAGATGAAGGCGTAGAATACGAGCGCAGACTGCTGATGCCGAACGTCTGGCCTACGCTCATCGCCGCACCGGCTGGTGGGTATACGACGTATGGCGTGAGGGAGAGGATGAAGCACTATGTTACACCCCTCGATGACTACCTGCTGTTGACGGACGAGCATGTGAGGAGCTGGAGCGAGAAGACGCTGGTGGTCAGAACGAGCCAAATGGTGCTGCAGTGGCAGTGGCTGAGGCAGAAGAACGAGACGCTGGAGGAGATGGAAGGTAATGGGTGGGAAGAGTTGGATGGCAGAGCAGACGAGTGCGACTGGATTGCTGAGAAGAAGGAGGGTGTTTGGGGGAAGGGAAAGGGTGGCGAGGAAAGTGTGTAGACGTGAGAGCCGAGGATGGCATGAGATGGAGAATGGTTACGGAATGCTCGCGGACACAGAGTCTCGAAAGAAATGGCCTCATAGGTTGCACTGCACGGCAGCGTACTTGATGGAGACCATGCCGCTAGATGTTATGTGGAGACACCTAATCCTCATCCTCTTCCATATCGCTCGGCACTGACGACAGCGGTGATCCAGAGCCGAACGATGAAAGAATGCTGTTTTTGCAGTCTGCCCTCCTCTGCGAGGGATTCACTGCCATGATCTTGAGCATCTCCAACATGCCCAAAAGTCGACTCGAGCTAGCTTCCATAAGCTCTCGTGCTTGCTTTTCCTCGCCAGCTTTGCCTCTCTTTCCTCTACCTGAACCGTACGCGTTACGCCTGGCTTGTATACCAGTTTCCATGGCCTCTCTCAGCGCGTTAGTCGACTCGAGTCGATCGTCTGCCATCATGAGTATGAACAGCTGCTCGAGGATGAGGGACACCTTGGCGTTGGCTGCAAAGCTTTGACTACCCTTCAACGGCAGCAGGATCGACTCGAAGTGCTCCTGCGTAGGATCGTAGCGGAAGTAGTCCGGCAATGTACCACTGACAAATGGTATCAGCAGGTTGGCTAGGAACATATATTTCATTGGCCCGGGCACTGCCAACGTTGTGAGGAACACGTTAAACAGCATTGTCGGCAGGAACCGAAAGTCTTCCACAACATTGTCAAACCAATCACTAAGCTTTGTGAACTGGTTAGGCAGCTTAACAGCCACTTGAGCTAGCTGAGTGTTATTAGCATAAACTAGCCACACAAAGGTGTTCGTACTTACCAACGCTAGGAGACGCTGTCGCAACACTATTGCGTCGCTGCCTCCTAGTCGTTCTATAGCATCTTCCAAGCTCAGACTGCCGTTGTCGATGTCAGGCAGCTGGGGTGGAGGTGCGGCTTCGAACTTGCGCTCGATCGCCCGTGTCGCTCGTGCAAGAGTGTCTTTCACCTCGTCGTCACTGTCGTAGTCTGCCACTTCGCCTACCTCGAAGTCAACATTTCCGAGCTTCTGTCTCTTGTTCGGCAATTCTCTGGGCTCCTTAGTCTCATTCTCCCAGATCTCGGGGTAGTCCTTTAGCGACTCGGTTGAAGCGATCGCGAAAATTGCCTTTGCTATACGTCGTCTGATCGTTCGTGTCGTCAACTGCCCCTCCCCCGAGACATACTGCCAAATTAGGCTTTGCTGCAGCGCACCCTCTTGCCCATCTTCTTCATGTTCATGTTGACTCTGCTTTGTGCAAACTTCCCAGTCGGCCTCTAAAAAGTCGAGCATGGCTGTCAGCCACAGCGTCCATCTCTCCCACCGCTTCTTGTATGCCGCGGAGCAGTTAAACGCCCAGCCGACAATGTGCCAAACGTCGTCAGCTCTATACCAAAGGCTCTTATCGTTGGCGACTTCGCAGTAAAGGTGGTCAATGTCATCGTCTTCGGTAGGAGACAAACTTCTAGTCGTGTTCCTGTGCCCGCGAGGATTTCGCCGTGTGCGCTCTGTAGGGAAGGCGAAAGCCCGCCGTACGTATGGGTATGACGGGCCGTCTATTGTGGACAGGAGGCATTGCAGGTAGCGGAAGGCTGCGTCAGAGCCTCTGGAAGTCTCTCTTGAGGGCGACTTGAACTTGTACGGGACAAGGGAGGCGGCGAGCGCGATCTGAGAGGGCGGCGCAAGATAGCCAGCGTACGGCTGGGCTGGAGTCGATATTGAGGTGCCCGCTGCTAGCAGGCTGTTGAGGAACTCGTACGCATTGGCGTCTGCCAAAGATTAGGAAACCTAATCTCTTTGCGCAATTTATGACGTACATTGGCCGCCCTCAAGAAACGCCTTCGAGTGGTTTGCTAAATCGTACGGTGCTGGCTTGGTAGGCCTGCGTTGCGCGCGTCGCGGTCGAGCCCCTACCGCCTCTATTGCTGCTGACAGTGCATCTTTGCTGGCTACACCGATTGTCACTATTTGTTGAGGCGCAGGCGCTGCAGCCGTACTCATGGCGGTGTTGTGTTGTGCGGCATGTTTGTAGATGGAAGGGCAGATCGATCGTGGGGTACCTATTTGAGCGCGTTGCGCTTGCGCGCTGTCACGCGACTGACTCTATGCTGCTAAATTAAAACATCTTGCAAGAACGTCCTCATTCCATGTCACATGAAGTGATTTCAGTGTTTGCGAAACACCAAGGTTATTCCCCTCTTGCCCATGTTCAGCAGCAAAGAGCGATCTATTATACATGTCATCCAACGGTACCTAGCAAAAATGTCAGGAGGAGGTTAGAGAGACAGAAGGATGTAATCACACCAGTCCCTCCACCGCGGCTCCGTCAACCTCGTACAAACCTCAGCAATCTCATACAGCTGGTCTACAGGCTGGGATTTGCCAAAAATAGTCGACGTTGACAAGATTCGAACTTGCGCGCCCGAAGGCATATGATATCATCTGATAGAACATTCGAGTCATACCCATTAACCACTCTGGCACAACGTCTTTGTACTGATTGGGTGAAATCTAGATCAACCCTTTTATATTGTGATACCGATTAAGGGGCACCTTCCTGGACATGAAGGACATAAAGCTTCGGTCTCAATACTGCGAATGAAGAAGCTTGACCGGAGAGCTGTTGCGGGTACGTACGAGATTTTGATCCACTGCGGGGTCCCATCAAGCCTTAACCGAGACTTGCCTGGCAGAATGCGAGCACATTCTTTCTCAGTGCTTGCGGCAGAGGAGCCTCAATTCGAACCTTTGATTTATGTGACAGCTCGTGTGCCGGTGGTTTGGTATTTTACTGTGAAGTTCATCTTCAGAGTGCGACATTTTTTCCCCAGTACCAGCTATGGTACTCGCATACTATGTGAACAATAGCGGTGAACGTTTTTTAGGAGGAGGAGGTGAAACTAAGTGCAGCTGATTATGTGTCTTGCTTGCCAGCTAGATGTCAGGCGATATCTTAGGTGGCTGTGCGCATCTGTGGAAGTCCATAAGGGTGTCGCAAGCGCCAAAAGACCAGGATTCTCGGTAGAGAGCTCGCGTGTGCTAGGAATACAAAAAAGACAGAGATTGACTTTGATATGATGTGAAGTCTTTCCCCCACCCGGGGTCACCATGATCGAGTAGAAAGTCTCGAGACCAAAAATTATTTCCGGTACCGGGAATCGAACCCGGGTCTTTCCGGTGCTTCAATCGAATGATCTTTTGAAAGCGGAATATCCTAGCCTCTGGACTATACCGGAGATGGTATCTTTAATAAAATTGGAAGAGTTTAAAACGTATATAATGTAGTTATTAATGATCCGACAGCAATTCTTGGATTCCTGGCGATGTTCATTCAACCGTCGATAAAGTTGTTGCACGCATGATGAGGCATCGAGTGGTTCGGTAGGGCGCCTTACTGACACTTGTTATTAGCGGCCTCAGATTTCGGCGTACACCTTGGAGGGGCTGGAGGCACGATCCTTCGTGTTATTTTTGTAAAGAGTCCCAACGTTGAAAGAAAAACTGCGAAACGCATAGTCTGATCAAGGATGATATGAGAGCAAGTCACAATGGAAGTATCGTGTTTGGAGGAAGTCGTGATGCATCGGAGTTGGTCGCTGCACGTGAAGAATCGTTCGTCACTGGCCATTTCGTCTCTTCACGCAAGCTTCGACCACTGTTGCAACGCAGTCACCAAAACGGCCATGTAGTGCGTTTCAAATATTCACCTCCCAGGATTACAGTCTAGCGTGGCGGAGCTGTCAGCGCCTCTGCACTGTAGCCCAGTATAAGTCTACTTGCGAACAACAAAGGCGTTATCACAGCACCCCTTCGCCACCCAAGGAAGTTCACCTTTGTCTAGGCCGCATTCGCTATGACATGACTCGCAAATATGCTGCCAACGCGCAGGGCTCTTTGTTGGTTCCAGTCAGGCCCTCCTCCAACGCATTCGTGCGGTTGCCTCCGTGAATTGGTGAACTTCACACGACCTCACCTGAACAGCTATGTCACTACGATGGCACCTCCCCGAGAAATCGCTGTGCACTCAGTGCTTCGAGTTTTCGATCCACACTCACAATGTCGAAAGCCCTGCAGGTTGTCATGTACATCGTTACCTGGAGCAGCTTCCTTGTCGCTATTGCTTCCTGCATACTCAGATGCTACTGTTGCAGAACCATCAAGCGCCACTGGAAAGCTGATGACATCATGTCTCTGGTCGTTGGAGTGAGAGTTCGGCCTGATCCGCTTCCTAAGCACTTTCGACTGACTTGATCTCCAGGCGTTCCTTCTTGGAGCATTAGGCCTTTGGCAACAAGCATCCTCGATGGGCTGCGCCGGGTGAGCAACGATCACTGTACATTCAGATAGTAGATCTGACAGTGCAATAGGCTCGAGCCCAACCGTTGCAACTACTTTGATCCAAGCGGCGATGTCCTCATTGTGAGTTACATTCTGTGAAGCTCTTGATGCGGCGTGCGTCAGCTAATCCTCGCAGTGGTTGTTCGTAACATCAGTCATCTACGATGCTGTTCTGCACTTCATAATCCGAGCTGCATTCTTCACGTTTTACTGGGCATTTTCAGCGCAGTCGAAGTTTCGCTTCTGGATCGGCTTCGGACTCGGTATGGACGGGATGCTGCTCATCTTCAATATTCTGATCATTGTCTTCCGATGCAAACCAGTCACTGCGAATTTCCGGCCGATTGAGCGCATGACAGCGCAATGCATGGATTCAGGATTTGCCTTCTTTGGTTTGGCAGCATTGGTATGTACAAAATGACGAGTGCATTACATGGTTGGGATTAATACCAAGCACAGAACTCTTTGCTGAACCTCTACGTTCTAGTCCTACCCATACCCATTTTTTACTCTGTCCAGGTACCATTACGCCGCAAATTGCACATATGTTGCATGTTTACCATTGGTGGCGTTGCTGTTGCGCTCAGCTTTATCCGCATGCACTCTACGAAGACCCTCAACTCCGGCACGGATACGTCCAAAGCTGTTGGCGAAATCATGATCATAGGCGCTCTCGGTATGAGTCTGGCAGCGTTCGCCCACAACCTCCCCTCATTGCGAGTATTTTGGAAGCATATTTCGAAATCTCGATCAAAAGCCAGAGACGCTTCGCAGTTACCCTTCGCTACCAGACCACGGGGCAAGCTACCGTCGACCGCGTTATTAGGGACCGATAGTATTGTGTACGAAGTCGACGGTCTCTCAAGACCAATGCAGCATACAGCGTCCGCTACAAGTCTGGTAGATCGGCCTCTTCCAGCGCTTCCGGCAGTGACGCGACACGCACGATACCCCACTGTCAACAGTGACTTCGGGTCGCGACCACGTACACCACCAAGAGTAGCCTGGCCTGCTTAATTGCATGCAGCCGTTAGAATTGTCCTGCTATCTGTACTTCTGTAGGAAATTTGGGGGCCTCGGCCAATGATGATTCCGAATGGCGACCACGTACGACTCCAAGTCTCACATGGTCAAGGGCCTGGATGCACACACGACCGGTGACTTTTGTTCCTTTTCACTGGACGACATGTCCTGAAACTTCGATCACTCTTTCAATGTTCTTCTCTCAAGTCTGTACCATATCCTCCGTTCTTGTGATGAGATAGTCGATTGACAAACCGCGTTTCTGCTTCTGAACATCTGTTTGTGTCTATGTAATCAATCATGAAAGCAAGGTGCAATATGGATGACTTGGGAGCAGTGTGCTAGCAGAACATCTAGAAGCGTTGGAAATAGTTCAAGATACGATTCACGTCATATAGGTCTGGTTTTCGAAGACCGACCGACCGCTGCCTGCTGTATGTCGCTCCGAATTCCTATCAACTACAGGATGTGGATCTTACTTTGCGCGTTATTTCCTCATTCGATCTTGATCGGGGCTGCATCGCTCCTAGTCAAAGCTCAATGCAATTAGTGCCACCCAAGTCGCGAACGTAGTTTTTCGCGCCTTTGCCCCAAGTGCTAGCGGAATCTGCTCCTCGTTTCAGCAGCGTTCTGCACAGCCCACAATCACTAGTGGCAGTAGTACAACAGTTACCACAAGAAAACAGTACCTGCTGGGGTTGAGACAACCACGGCGACGAGTGGCGTTGTAATTGAGTCGGTATTGTCACTCAAGACTCAAGCGTCGTCCTGTAGGGTATGTACGATAGCAGGCAGCAGAATTACCACCAAGAGAACTGTGAATTTAGCGGACTCTAGAAGGCTGCCACCAAATTTGATCTAGAGCCGTCACTAATATCATGAGGAATAAGGTCGGCGTAGCTTCGCAAGTACAGGGAGCTTCGCAGTGGCGTGTCAGGCGTCAGGACGGAGTCTACGCAAAGCCTGATACATCGCACACTTGATGACGCGCAACCCCAACGCCCTTGTCCATGTTGCAAGACTCTCCTCAGTGTTGTCAGCCACCGCTGCAAGGATCCAAACTCGGACAAGTGGCAAACGCCTCTGGAAATCATCAAGACGCCCGGCCTCATATAACTACCCCGTTCGATCTTGCAACACCTGAAAACCCCGATATTCTTCAACATGCGGCTCGACACCGGTAGCTCAAACAGCTTGCCGTCTACAAGTATGTTTTGAGACATACACCTTGTATATTACAGGCTTGCACCCTGATCTTCACCCACCTTTGGTGGTACACGTGATGACTAGATTAAACGCGGATCCGCCACGCCTATCTGCAAAGTCTTTGCGAAGGTGAGCCATTCCGATGAGCTATACATATTTAGCTGATCAGACGCGCTTTTAGCAACGTACAATGACAGAGCCACAATGTAGTGTTTGCCTAGACTTGCAAACTACAAGGTGCGATTTCACGCTGGAAAAACTTAATAACGGATGCACGAAGTGCCAAACACTGCGCGACATCCTCGGTCCTATTAACGACGGCTTACCAGCAAACAAAGCATTCAGGGTCAATCTGGATCTGAATTCTTTCTACTTTTAGATCAATGGTGTAAACAGATGTGGCACAGTATCATCGGGGAATACTCCGAGAGACGGCTCACATTTGAAGGCCATATCTTTCCAGCGCTTCAGGGCATAGCGCGGTGGTTTTACGAAGAGAAGAAGACACCAAGCATCCCCAATACACTCCGTTCAGACGGATCACCGCTAAGGAAGCCAATGTATATCGCCGGCTTGTGGCAATATGATACATGATCTGCTATGGTCTCGCCGCTCCGTACCTACTTCCAGAGAGCGCAGAGTCGACAGTACAAGAGCCAAAGAATGGCGCACTTCCAGTTGGTCGTGGTCATCTTTTCTTGGGGGTCTCATTTGGCCGTTCAACGAAGACGATGGCACGTGGTCAGAGAAAGCGAAGATTGAGGCCTCGTCAATCTCATATTCGGGAGATCAATTTGGCCAGATACAAGCTGGCGAGATAAAATTGTCAGGTCTGACTATCGCCGGTCAGATAGAGGGTTCGTGGGACAAGAGTTGGTGGCGGGCCGAGCGCACATGGGTGTTGACTTTCAACACTGCCCAATCTCGACCCATTAGATTCGGAAGCGACAAGATCGAGATCGCCGTCGATGACAATAATCTCGCTCACCGCATCTGCACGCATCACCTTGTACATGGTGTCCATGCCATGCTCATGGCGTAAGCAAGCACATTGGATCATGTTCAACATTACTATTTGCTATTCGAAAAGACGCAGGGTTTGCGATACAAACGTGTCGGATTTCTAAGCAAACGGTCAAACTTGAACGACACAAGATTGCTGGATACGGCACGCGAGAATCTTTCTGCCGACAGGCTCTCAGTTTGAAAAAGTGTTGCCGCGTTACGGGAATTTCCAGTCAGCTAGTGTGATAGTTGTATAGATGCAAGGGATGATGCAATCCCGTTGTACTGCATCATTTTCGGTCAAGTGTCGATGCGTTCACAGCTTGCAAGGACAAGTGATGTGATATCGTGACTCATTGATGCATATCTACCCGCCAATGTCTAACGACACATACCATGAACGCCGAACATGCTCTTGACCCGTGCCCAACATTTTACAGACCACTACTGCAGCAGCGGATCACGGAAATGCTTCTGGTTATTGCCCCTCTTTTCGTTACCGGCCTGGTACCTGTTTCTCGCGCGATCAGCCTGCTTCTGCTGCTTCTTCTCGAGCTTGGCAACCTCCTTCTTCTTCTCGTCACTGACGCCGATCATCCCCAAACCACCATTAGCACGGGTAATGACTTCGCGACTGCCACGGCCACGCTGCTCGCCGTCCTCCATCTCGGTGTCGCCGTCTTCGTCGTTTTCGGGAGCGGTGAGGCGGCGCTGTGCGTTCTCCATGCGCTCGGCCACACCGGGGTAGTTGCGTAGGTTCTGCCTGTAGTACTTGTTGAGGGACCTGTGGCCTGCTGTCCGGCCGGAGGGCAGATGCAGCTCGTACTCGTCATGATAGACGGCGGTGGGTGTGGCGTGTGCGTGAGAGTGGAAACCGTCCGCGGCCCGGTGAGGTCGAGGGTCAGCGTGGTTGTGGTGTCTCGACTTATGCAGACCCTTGTGGCGGTGGGTACGGTCAATGGGCACGGCACCAATTTCGTCGGTTGGAACGCTCGAGACTGTGCTGTCTGTCTCCCAGCCCTCGTCGCCCTCGCCGCTGGACATATCCTTGTCATCTTCTGTGGTGGTCTTGGCCTCACGCCTAGCTCCAAGCTTGACTCCACCTCCTGTTGTCGATGAAGAGTCGTCTGATGCCTCTGCGTCGTCTTGCATCTCGTCAAAGGCGGCCTGGTCGTCGTAGGTGCTGCTGAAGTCGTAAAACTCGCCGATCTCGACAAGCTCTTCGTCCTCCTCGAAAGCAATCATACAGTGACCACGGTCGCGCATATGTGTCTGAATACCGGATGGTGTGTGTACTGCCTTGTGGCACTTCAAGCAGGCATGCTGCTCGTGGATTTTGCTGTGGAGATATTTGAGAAGGCCCTCTTGGTCTGACAGAAAATCCTTCTCTGGAATGAACATGCCGTGGTGGCGGCCCATGTGGTGAATATTCAACGCCATCGTTGGCGACTTGTAGTTGCAGAACAAGCAATCCTGCAGAGGATCGGTGATGATCTTGGACGTGGCGACTGAGCTTGAATCGTCCTTGGTAGGAGCCTCCTCTGTGGCGCCATCCTCCAAGTTGGCGCTCTTTAGACCAGATGTGACGTGTGCGACGTCTCTGTCCCCAGCGGTTGTAGCCTCAGACTCGGCCATAGACTCACCCAAAGAAAACGCCGAGCTCATAACCGACCCGTTCACTGACACGGCATCGTCGTTTTGCCCCCTCGACGCCTTCATAAGATTTGTGCGGTGCTTCTGACTGTTCAAGTGGTTGGCGTAGGCATTCTCGCTGAAGTATGTCTTCTGGCAAGCGGCGCAAGACTTCTCGAAAGACGCCCTGGCGGCGGAAGCGGCAGCGGAGGCCTTATTCGCGAGGACCTTCTCGGTGAAGATCTCAGAAGAAAGCGGAGGCAGGGAGGCGACTCTGCGCTTGAGGTTGTAACGGTGCCAGTCGGTTTGCATGTGCGTCCGCTGCAGCTCGCCCGAGCGGAATGCGACCTGACATGTGTTGCAGGTGAAAGGATGGGTGGATTGGATGTTGGCCTGGGTAGGCACTTGCTGAGACGCCATGGTGCTGGCTTGTGGGAGTAAGTAGTCGCACTGGGGAGTGACCAAGTGAGCGCTTGTGATGGTCGGAGGGGAAGTGAAGAATAATTGACTAGCAAGTGGGGTTGTGCGGAATGGTTTTCGAGGCGTCTATGACTGGCCGAGGGGGCAAATCTCTGTTCTTGGAGGCTCGGTTGAGCTACGATTCGGAATCAAGTGCAGACCATCCAATTCTTTTCGAGGCAAAGTCTACCACTGCGAAAAGTATGGAGTCAGACGAAGTGAGCCCTTGCGGTGACAAAACGTCTGTCCTTCAAAATGCGCCACCCAATGACGTTTGCGCTGTTGCCAAGCGCGACCCCTGTCGTTCCCATGGCCCCTGCCTCGGATCGTAGCCGCATGGCAGGTGCGGGAGCTATGCATCCCAGCCCTACGGCTTCTTGTCTAACTGCGCAATGCGGTACCCGTCATTATTGCTGCAGCATATATACGGACAGTACCACTGCGTTCCCTCTATGATATGACCTCGTCGGAAGGAGGGTCCCAGCGCCCTCGAGATGAACCACACTCGTTGTCCAGCTCCGACACAGCGCTGTCTGACGTGCGGTCACACAGTCGAGAGAACTCCCCGCAGCCGCTGGAGCGCCGCCTCAGCAACCTGATCGACGTTCAAGATCCCACCAGGATCATAGAATGCTCACGGTTGGAGAGACAGCGCAAGTTCCAGTATTTGGTACGCCGGTGAGTCTTGTGTAACACCTGTCATCGTCCCAAAATTACACATGCTCATGTATTTGCAGCTACTTATCCCAAATACTCTACGGCTGTAGAAGCGTCTACTGCAATAACACGACATGTTTCTCACGTAACGAGCGCGGTGCTTCCAAGCCCTATCGACCGCCGACGCTGCTCACCGCACGAGCCTTGGCCCACTTCCTTGCCTCTCAAAGCAATCCCTACCGTGGACTATGCCCTTATGAGCTCAAGGTCTGCCCGAGCTCTCTCGAGATCGAAGGCGCAATTGATCTGGGCTATGCACGTGGGTCTTGTGACAACGAGAATCATGCACAACAGATCGAAAGGGCAAGGACACAACAGGCAGTGACACGTGCTATCGGCGGTCGACATCAGGCCAAGAAGGACACAAAGTCAATAGGGCAGAACCTTTATGATAGTGTATCTTTGATATACTCGTACTCGAAGTCGATACCCAGCTCTCGTCAGGCACTTGAGGCACTGCGCACCTTGAACGATGACACGCGACAGGACGAACGCGCAGGCAGTGCAAACGAGTCGGCTGTCACAGAACATACGAATCCACCAGTCATCACCCGCCAGCATTCACAGCAGGAGCTGCGTGCACATAGTCATGCACAGACCGCTCGAGATCCACCCCAAGTGCTCAGCAATGGTCAGCACGTTCACAAGGTGCCTTACCGACCTATTGCTTCAGATCAGCTTCAATCCGCGAAGAACTCGGCCAATTTATCGTACGATAATACGGTCGATACATCAAAGATGTCAATAACGAAGACCGGCAGGAAATCGTTCACTCTGGGAGGTTCGATCGCGCCATCCATGGCGAGGTCCAAGAGTGGGCCGGTGCCCTCAGCTCCCCAGCAGAAGGTCGCGAAGCCAAGAGATGATAAGAAAAGATCTATACCTATCGCCACAAGCCTGAACTGCGAGACTCTGGACCAGTTGAAAAACGAAACCCACGCACGCCAGGACACGAAATCGTCAATTGAGCTATTCTTCGACCAAGGCACATCTCAACGGACTATTCCTTCGACGTCTTTCGTCGATCGGTCGTTATTCTACACGCTCAGTCATACAGAAACTCTACTACAGTCGTTCCATGACTCAAGTGATGCTTTCCAACACTCGCCGCTCCCACATCTTGATTCCGCACGACTCGCACACGCTTTCAGAGACTGGAGTCAGCGCAATGGGTCATTGATCTTCGATAGTCTTTCCATTGCCGTCGACGCTTTGTTTGTTCGCCCACCATTTCTGGATGTTCAGCATACCGCTGAAAACAAGCCCGTACCCAGCAGTGATTCAACAGACAGTGCTGCTAACAAGAATATACCCTCGTCTCAGCCACGCTATCTCAACAACTACGAGGCGGCTCATATTGTAATGATATGTATTCACGCCCTGACGTCCCATGTGCCTGTCGGGTGGCCACAATCATGGGCACAGTTACGTAGCCTTCGCTCCTGGGGTGTCATCATCCCCAGCGCCAGAGCAGACTCTGACAATTTCGTCAATCCTTATGTCAACATCATCGATGCATTCGAGTACGAACCAGCTGCGAGTCTCACTGAGCGCTTGTTGAGGGCCATCGGTGTTCGCACCTGCTTCGAGCATATCCTTGCTGCGATGCAGCGGAATGCTTCAACTACAGGCGCGAGCTCTGTCGAGTCTGAGGAAAGTCTGACTAACATACTCATTCGACATCTAGCAATCGTCGAGCACGTCGCCCTTGAGAGCAAGCGCAAGATGAAATCAGTCAGTACGGTACCTAAGGAGCCTGGCTGGACGGTCACGACTACGCTCATCGAGTGGCTGAAGACCATCATCATCAAACATTGGAATGGCAAGGTGGAGGTCAACAAGTGGTCCAACGTTGGAACTGCTGTAATGTTGCTTCATGAGCTTTGTAAGCACACCTTTTACGTTGCCGATGAGCAGGAACTGACGCTCTCAGACGAAAATCAGCGACAACTCAACGTATGGTCCCGTGCGTTCGGAATTCCTTATCTGCACGAGCACATGAATGCTGTCGAAGACCCAGTCGAGTTCCTCGATTGGAAAAGGCTACCCAACACGTTACACCTCTTACAGTATCCTGAACTTCACCCAACTGACTACCTCGTTAAGTTCTTCCGTGTCATCAACCTCACCAGCATGATGATACAATATGATCATACACAGCACACCCATCAGATGATGCGACAATTCGATCAAATCCTTCGTGAGCCATACTTGTACATGATTAGGAAGCGACTGAAGGTTACTTTGAACGACTATCTCATTCTGGACGTCACTCGAGAGCAGCCGCTAAAGGATACGCTCGATCAGCTTTGGAAACAGGAAAAGACTAATTTGCTGAAGCCTCTGAAAGTCAAGCTTGGTCAGCAGGAGGGTGAAGTGGGATTGGATCATGGAGGCGTAACTTACGAGTTCTTTCGTGTCATCCTTGGGGAGGCTTTTGCGCCACATTACGGTAAGCAGATCCTTGAATGCACAAGCTGCGTCTCTAATATTTTTAGGAATGTTCACCGTCGACTCAAAGACACAGATGACGTGGTTCCAGCCCGGCTCTCTGGAATCTCTGTGGAAGTTCAAGATGCTCGGCGTGCTGTTCAGCCTCGCAATCTATAACGGCATCACTCTCCCTGTCACTTTCCCACTCGCTTTCTACAGTTTTATGCTGCAGTCGCGGTTTAAATTCCTTGACAACCATTCCAGCCTCGACTACATCCGCGATGGCTGGCCAGACCTTGCCAAATCCCTCGAAACGCTCCTCGACTGGAAGGATGGTGATGTTGCAGACATCTTCATGCGCGACTATGCTTTCAGTTATGAGGTCTTTGGTCAGAGAGTCGACATCAACATGACCAAGCATGACATTAATGCTTCACCTCCCAGTGAGACACCACTGGTCACCAACCAGACCCGTGGCGCCTTCGTCAGAGACTACGTTATACACCTGATCCTGCACACGATCCGTCCACAGCTCAAAGCTTTCAGAGAAGGCTTCTACACCTGTCTCAGCGCACGCAGTCTCGAGCTCTTCACGCCCAGGACTCTCAAGAAGCTCGTAGAAGGCGATCAGAACATCTCGGTCCCTGAGCTGCGCGCTTGCGCAACGTACGAAGAATATGACGCCACGCACCCTACCGTAGGGATGTTCTGGGACATCGTGCAAGGTTACTCGCAGCAGGATGCGACACACTTGTTGGAGTTCGTCACGGCGAGTGACAGGGTCCCAGTCACGGGATACAAAAGCCTCACATTCAATATTGTGCGTATGGGCAATGATTCCGAGCAGCTGCCAACGAGCAGTACATGCTTTGGCAAGCTGTATTTGCCGGAGTACAAGGATAAGGAGAAAATGCGGAGGAAGCTAGAGCTGGCTATTCAGAACGCAAAGGGCTTTGGTGTTGTGTGAGGCTCTTGTAGGGGGCTGCCGCGAAGGGTCCTGTCTTGCAGTGTCAAGGTGCAAGTTGGTTGTAGCGTGCGGGTGGTACCGCTAACGGAACATTTGGGCTATGAAGTCCAACTCCGGAAGTCTAGACATTGGAATTCGATAATTACACAAAGAAATCTGTCACGCAGTCCCGCCGGCCAGGCGACTACCTCGCAATCAACGTGCAATCTGCTACCTACGATAACTTTCCGCAGGAACCAAGCCTCGTAGATAGCAGCGATACACAAGTCGAAGCCCTTAAGTAGGCGCATGCGCACATGGAAACCTATGGTTGTGCGACGCGGGATCTCGACTGTATCCTATGCCATTTGCTCTTTGATTCACCTCCTCCCTTTGGCCCTTCGATCAGCATTCTCGAAGCTTTGCCGATCTCCCCGATTTCAACACTAAAGCTGCCTGGATCATCCCAAGACTCGCTCCGCCACGTCATGCCCGTTCACACCTCGCCGGACCCAGCCCGCCGCTGATTCACACAAATCGCGACAGTCACAACCATTTTGCACGTGACTCGGGATCTCCAAGCTTCTGATAAGCATCGACCCTCGCACTGGCCGACCACTCGTGTGACGTTGCGCCTTACGAAAGCTCGTCTGAGCTCTTGCGCCTAGAGCGCTGTGATTGGCTCCAGTCTCTAGGAGCAGGAGAAGATAGACGAGTGCGGGATGATTCGGGGTTGAAGAGGGAGATTGGTAGGCCTGGGATGACGATGTCGGAGCGTTGACCCAAGTGTGGACTGCATGTCTGGGGGGAATATATGGAACAGTACCCCGACGCACCGTTTGCGGTAATACTGCACGCTCAAAACTACCACCTACAACTTCAAACCGCGATATCTCGACCAACACAAGTCCGTATCGATTAAGAGCGCGACCTCTTCGAAACACCTACGTCACACAATCCCACGCCTTGCGCTTTACGAAGATTCGAGACCCACCGCTCAGTCAATTCAAATCACACAATACAATGCCTTCATCATCAGCACCCAAATCGGACCCCTACATCGTTTACGGTCGCGGCGGCGCAGGCAACATCCGTACGTCACTCTCCCTCTCTCGTCAAGGGATCATCATCAGGACCCTATACTAATGAAAACTCAGACCACCGCAGCACAATCCGCAGCGCCTGGAAGTCCATCAAGAACTCGCCCTCCACCTCTCCCCCACTCACCGCCAGCGTATCCCCAGACAACTATTACGCAGCCTGGAACGCAAAATCCGAGGACCCACGGAAGGCACGTAGGGAGTCGCAACTCGCCTCATCCGCGTCGTCGGTCGCAGACGGTGCAGACATTAAGCGGAACACGTCCTCGGGGAGCTTATCCTTCCTGAAGAGGGACGGCGACGGAGTGAAGCGCAACACATCTTCTGGATCTCTGTTTTCGCTGTCGAGGAGCGATACGGGCAGCAGGAGTCATAATGGACTGAGTGGGCTGAGCAAGATTTTTGGCAGGAGGAGTAGTGTCGAGGATGACAGGAGCGTGAGCACGAGTACGACTGTGGAGAGTGTGCAGGAGGAGGATGCTGATGCGATGGTTATGAGGAGTTCGAAGGGAAAGGGGAAGGAGAGGGCGCGGGAGTAGACGAGTGGGAAGGCTGACGAGGAGAGAGTTTGTGTTTTCTTGCATGCGATTTAGCGAGCGATACCACGACTAGAAGGTTAGGTTAGATGCGAAGTACTGGACAGGAAAAGCAACGAGATTACTGCCAGCAAACAAGAAGTTTGCCGAATGATTATGTTGCGGTCATGGGGAAGGATGTGTTGCAAGTGGTCTGCTGCATTATGGCTTCAATGTTGTCTGCCAAGCTCAAGGTATCCCTTTTGTTCCCCACATCTTGCACATCGAGATCAACTTTGGGGAATACGTCTCGATTCCATACCCCTTCAAGTAGTCATGTCGCTCCTCCAGGTCCCGCAATTCAGAGACCAAATCCCACTCTTCACTTGCCGCCTTTCTCTCGTTCGCAAGCTCAATCAGCAGGTCATCGGCGACTGGATCAGAGTCCCTCTCGCCGTAAGACAGTTGCTGCAACCTGATGACGAGATTACACGCGATCTCGACCCTTCCGTTCTCGGTGAAAGTAAGTATTGTCGTCCTGACCTCGTCTAGGAGAAGTGTAACGCGGTTGCTGATGTCATCGGAAGTCGTCGATGGGCGTCGAGAGTCTTCTGTAGCTTCGGCTAGCGACATCCAGATATTTCTCACCCTTGACGCCATATTGGATGCTTGTGTTTCAAGGCCGAATACGTTGAGACGCGCGAGCGTGGCTTTCTTGATTGATGCTGGGGCTTGGGAGACGAGCTCTTTTTTCTCGATGAAGGCGAATGCATGGGCGACAAACTTCTTGGGCTCTTTCTTTTCGTACTAAATATATTTTGTGATCGAAGGTTCGCCAGCTGCAGGTTTGCGAGCTGCGCATACTTTCTTGACGGGCTGGGGGGAGGGGGGGCATCAGACTCGATGCCGATTCCGTAGTGCGTGAGCTGGCATTTGCGAATGGCGAACATTGTGAACGGACGACGATGAAGTACTGAGAAACGGGAGATAATGAAAGACGCGAAGTTCAAATATGGATCGGCAGAACCTTTGGTCTTGATACGAACAAGATTCAAGGTGATGGAGTGCGAAACCTCGACACGTGCTGGACGTGCACGGGGAACGCGTCTTTTGGTGGATTACACTAATCTCGGCCACCCATACATACTTCGACCAGTGGGTCCTAGAAAGGCATCGCTGGCTTAAAGCGCTTCTTTCGCAATGAGAGCACGCATCTCTTGAAGTCTTTTGCGTACCCAATTGCTTGTCCGGATGACTGTGTGTGCAACCCAGAGAATTGTTTGCCTAAAGCGACACACCCCTTGCCACATCCATGAACGTCTGCTACCTACTTGTCCATATTGACACTACACAGCCACACTTCTTCTCGCTAGTGCGACAGCAACTGACGCGAAACCAAAGCTATGGTAAGTCTATGGTACTTTAGACCTCTGACACTTGTTAAGATGAGCCAGTCTTCAACTTGGGAATTCAGCAACGTTCCGTTCCTTCCGCCTGAGATCTACTTGGCTATTGCGCGGCACATTCAGGTGACGGACCTCCCGTCATTTTGTCTCGCAAACAAGACACTCGCAGCTGCCGGAAGACCAGAGCTTTTTCACACGGTTGTACTGCGAAGTACAGTCGCCAGTTGGGCCGCATTCAAGCGGGTCAAAAAGCACGAGAAATTATGCAGGCTTGTGCAGACAATGGTCTTGGACGTCACTTCCTGGAGGACAGGAAAGAACGTCAGGGACTGGCATGAATGGACCAGATACTGCCAATCTCAGGCGAATCATTATACTCAGGTTGACGTCGATTCTGCTCAAGCTGCCTTATACAAAGAGCTCGCTGAAAGCCGACATCTTTGGGAGGCTTACTTGTCGCGTCTAGAAGAAGAGAAGGCTGTGGTTGAAGAGATCGCTGTTGGCGACATAAGGCTGCCAAAGCTACGAAAATGCTACGTTGTCAGGGGCGCTTATCGGCTGAAAGACCACCCCATGTCTCGATTGTACGGACAAGGGAAGCTACCTATTACCTCTCCACTCAGCGCTTGGCGAGGTGACTCTTTTTCGCAGGCCCCCAATGGACAGATGCTCGCTCCGCTTCGCCGCCTTCTCCCTTCCGCTGCCCCTGACGTAATCAAATGGCGACTCGGCGGCCTCAGTGCACTAGAACTCAGTCTCTTCTCTCCAAAAAACCATGTCAAGAACCCTGATGTAAGCAGCTTTAGAATCTGGTTCGGAATGTCGGACTGCGTAAGGACACCCCATGGAATTCCACCGCGATATTTTGATCAGTGGCCCAATCTGGAGTCCCTTACCCTTGATCTCGGCAACCGCACTCCTGCCGCAAGGTACAATACAGCAGCCACTTTACAGACCATACAACACATCTTTGGGGTTGGAGGGCGGTCTGCTGCAGCCACAAACGCACTGGAGAGTGCTTTTAGATGGCCGAGGCTTCGAAAATTGTCACTAGGGCATTTTGATTCAACTCCAGAAGCACTAACATCTCTTATCGCCAGGCATGGCTCGACGTTACGGGACCTCAGACTCCATGCCGTATGGCTTCGTCATGAACATCCTGGGAACAACGAGGTCTCAATAGCGTCCTCCTGGCAAGACGTGTTTAGGAGCATTGGAGTGTCGACCAATCTAGATAGACTGAAGTTATCAGGGCTGTTTTGCAATGACAGCATCCAGGAAGATGATTGGAACTTCGATGTGGTGGAGCTCGGTAGCCATATCGCCACTTGGATCATGAAAGGCGAACAGCGCTCACAACGGGAAGGACTTCTGCTCAAACTACGCTCACATTACATGTCACATGATCTGGTCAGCGATAGCACCGAGCTTACAGGACCAAATGGAGCAGTGACTTCGGGCGCAGGATGAACGTCGGTGGCGGAGATGCGGAGCTGTTCTGGTGGTGTCCGGCCCGCTGCTGTCTTCGTCGACTCGAGGGCATTAATCTTCAAAATCACCACGCCCTTACTCTCGAGTAACATCTGGGTCTGCGAGTCTTCGAAGTTAATTAATCACTGAGGCCAATCAGCATCTGTGCCTGCGGTGATCGTCTCACATGGACGCAAGTATGCATACCTCCGCGCGGGCTTATTGGAGGGAAGCAACGCCATTCAAGCCCCCAGATCAGGCCTCTCGACTCCAGCTAGCCCTGTTGACAGACACGAGAAAACTCATCAGGTCCGCATTTGGTCATGTGTGGACGAGGGATGCGATCGTACTAGTTCGAGACATCAGGGGAGGTTCATCGTTGGTCCCTGCGCTCAGGCACTTGGTCACGATTCAGCGCCCTTTGTCTTCTTACCAGTGCTACAACATAAACCATGCCTGGCAACCCGATATTGAGAGCGTGGACTTATCTCGTAACAATCACACTCTTGCCACATGCACTGGCTGTCTCGCAACGCTACTACGACTAGAACAGCAACGAACTGCCAACCTCCAGAGCATTGCCATGCAACATGTATACGGACAAAGATGGGACTTGTTGCGCGCCTGGAGATATCTGTTTGAGCAATGGTCTTTGTAGGCCGGGGCCTGATGTTGTGAACATTGGGATGACCGATACGTGCAAGCCGACCTGCACCGATGGTACCTGGACTATCGAGACGTGCTTCCCTGGATGTAACAGCTGTAATTGGATCTGTGCCTCGAGTAGGTATCCGTGGTACTGATATCGTGCAGTCGATGGATGGGGCATGAAGCAGTGTGGAGACAACCGTTTCTGCTGTTTCGCAAACAACTCTACCGGCTGCGACTACGCCAGCACAAGTCTCCTCGAGCTGGGTGCTACAACATTTGTTACGACATTACCTCTGAGTGCCACGCTCTCCACGAGTACAAGTCTGCCCGGTAGTGCATCGGCGTTTACGACCTTTGTGTTACATGTGGCATCGACATCGACGTCGCCCTCAGCATCAAGCTCAACATCATAGCAATCGTCGTCTCGATCATCGAGCCACATTGTGGCCATCGGTGCCGGTGTTGGTGCTGGTGTTGGCGTACCCCTACTTGGAGCAGTTGGGGTGATAGCGTGGTATCTCCACAGGAAGTCCAAGTTGCGTACGGTAGCTCTGAAGCAGGGTATGGCATACCCTATCGAGGAGCTGAAAGGTTCCTCGAAAGTGGGGTATGTGCAGATGGGCTCAGTGAACGAGCTCCCTGCTGAGAGACGATACGAAATTTCCGGCGTCAACGACTCGCAGGAGATCGACTGCACCGCCAAGTACCAGAAAGACGCTTGAACGAAAAGAGACTATCGATCCATACTGTTTGACGAGTAATGCACAGCAGTGAGCTATCGATTGCGTTGCTGCTTCCGGTTCTTCACTGCAGGACCGAAATCACGGTAGAGTCAAATGTGTGGTTGAGTACAATTTTGTGAAGATCACACTATCGGCCTTAGTTGAGGAAGATGGGCAGTAACATAATTCTGCACATCAGCTTCGCCAGCTTTTTAATGTCCATACATCCAATAAGTGCTCAAGTTGTTTACGCCTGTGACGATGCCAACAATGGTCCCCACTCAGATCGTGTGACCCTAATCGGTTCACTGCGCACTCACGGTCTCAAGTCGGTCTCTATCTGGAACCTGCTAACTGGGCAATGGCGGACAGTCTTTCGCCTCCCCCATTCCCAGAGGTTCAGTCTGCAGAACATGCGTTCTCCGCACGCGGTTTGCACAAAGAATAGAAGCATCTTCTGCCGATAATTTACTGGCTGCCTTAAGCCCGTTAAGCAGCCCTACGGCAGATGCCACCAACCCTTCTGTTGGTCCAAAGGAGAGCATTATGCATACGGTTCATCGAGTGCTTTGATGCATCGAAATGCTTCTTCACAATCTCATATTACCCTTGTACTTTTTTACAACGTTACGTACCAAGCCCACGGTCATTCAACAGTACACTTGTTCAGAAGCTTTGAATTGTAGCATTAACAGTGGCCAAGCAATCAGAATAGACATCCGATCTGCTAACAGCAGGAGCCAGAGTCACGTGGTCACAGCATCTGGTGGTCTTTTCCATGACCATCTTGGACATGTGGAGCAGACACACAGGTCACTCTATAGCGTGGGATTTGGCTGTCTTGAAGCGAAGTGAGGGCCGGTGTGGCAGGGCAGTTTCCGCGGCAACGAGAACGATTCGCATGTGCATGCCCGGCCAGTCATCGGAAACTAATAGCCAACAAACATCGAACCATGTGGCCATGCATTTCCAATTAGCTATACACATCTTCAGTCGCTCGATGCGGAACCCAGCATGGTGGCAAACGAGCCTGATTAGCGCCAGCAGTACTCAATCAGATAGGTTCTGTAATAGTCATACATGTGGGTATACATCTAGGTTGATCCTGACGTCTTACGCCTTCTTCTCCACCTCGTTCAATCTCTTCAGTCCTGCCCTTGCGTTGGCCTGACCCTCCTTGAATCTCAAAGACTTCGCCAGACCCGCAGCCTCCTCGTACTTTTGTCTAGCTTCCTTGATCTTTCCCTCCATCTCGTAGAACTCTCCAAGGTTATGTGTAGCTACTGCGCAACCGAAGTCGCACTCTTCTGTCTTGTCAGCGGAGGGTATCGCCGCGGCGTGTGCGATGGCTTTTGTGGCCCATTGACGAGCTTGATCGAGGAGTACGGCGCGAGGCGGTGCGTTTGTGACCGGGAAATCGGTGGGTGCGGAGGAGAGGGCCAGGGTGTCTTTAGTAGGTGGTGGGCTTTGTTGGCTGAGACAAGTGGAGACATTGTTCACTGCTGCTGTCAGTATTTGCTGGAGTATAAGTGATGTGTGGCTTACTCAAGACGATGCTGTGACACGATTTCGGCGGACAGAGCTCTAAAGCTTTGATGAACAGGGGTGTAGCGAGGTATCGGGGGCCGAACTCTTCATAGTGCGAGCCAAGTGCTTCCAGCGCACCTCCCAGCTCCTCGTTCGTCAGGAATTCGCCCTCGCCACTGTACAAGCCGTTCTTCTCCCGTCTGTGTGACTCTGCCAAAGCAGTCTCCACCGCCTCAACGAGCCTCTTGCCTCCATTTTCCGGCTCATTGACATATTTGACGTCGTAGAGCTGCCCAAGCTTGAGGTTGATCTGCACCAGGTTCTTCAGCACACGGCTTCTATTCCCGTCGTTCCAGTGCTTATGCGAGAATTCGTCCATCCACTTCTGGGTGTCTGCTCTCATGATCTCAAGTACGTCTGTTGCCAGACTGTAGTACCCTGCATCCTCGAACAGGGCAGCGATTGCGTATTTTACACCCATGATCTCGTCGCTGAAGGGATCCATTCCGAGTTCGTCAGCTGTCGCCAGCGCCTGGCGGAAGTACTTGTTGGCCTCGCGAATGTCGAGCCATTTGCCGCGGCTGTAGAAGAGGGCTTTGCGCAGCTTCTTCGCGACCGGTTCGGGAAAGTTGTGGTATGGCTTTATAATAACGTTCGTGTAGTACCATGGGAGGTATATCAGGCACATGCCAGCAAGCCCTGACAAGCTCCTGACTATTAGCTATGCGATATGGTCGAAGAGCTCAACGAGCTTACATGACTACAGCAGCTGGAAATAGAACAGGACTCTTCCTGTATTGCTCTCTGAAAGTTTGGCTTATCGAGGATCGGTAGCGCCTTCCCAACTGCTGCTGAAGCGGACTGCGCGTTCCTGTTCTGACTGATAGCTCTGTCACTCTGTGTAACGAGGACTGTGCCTGATATTGACCGAGGGCGCTGATACGCGGCACAGCACGTGGGACTGTCCTGGAAAACATCTGGAGCCGGACAAGGGCGAATTGATGTGAGTGATGGCGACTGAGGGCTTGGTGGAGCATCGAATGACGGACTTTTAGCGGCATGATTCGCGGGCCTTCCGTGTAGGGCTGAGAGCTTATCGATTGCAGTGCACGTCATGACGTAGCCAATCATCGACGCGTTCTCCTCAGCTCGCCTTCATCGCCTCTTGAGCAAATCTACTATGCTATAGCCAATTCACCATGTGTGGCAGGTATGCGCTGGCCTTGGTATGCACACGTAACCGTAACGGTATATATTTTAGCTAACACACTTGTTCAGCGGCCATCTGAGGTCCGCCAGCAGCTTGAGCAATCACAGATGCCTGTCGAAGAGGCCCCAAACGACGAGGATGTACGCCAATCGTACAATTTCGCGCCTGGGTACCATGGACTGGTCTACCGAGCGGACGGCCCCGGTCTCGGTGATCGGAAGGAGAAAGAGCCCGATGTCAAAGAGGAAGCCAAAACAGAAAACACAGCAGACACCAAGTACAAGCTGCAGTCGATGCAATGGGGCAGGTGCCGCAAGTTGCTTTTCAGATGCCAAAACTGACATCTATCACTAGGCCTGGTCCCTTTCTGGACGAAGCGCAACCCCGACTACGGCTCAAAGATGAAGACCATCAACTGCCGTGACGACTCACTGTTCGAAGATCGCGGTATGTGGACGACCATGAAGAAGCAGAAGCGCTGTATTATAGTCGCACAAGGCTTCTACGAATGGCTGAGGAAGAACAACGGCAAGGAAAAGATACCACACTTCACCAAGCGCAAAGACGGGCAGCTCATGTGCTTCGCTGGGCTTTGGGATCGTGTTAAGTTCGAAGGTAAGCATGCATCTCAATTGCTTACGGCTGTAATGCCACAGATGTCTGCCGTTGCACCAATGTCTCCAGTTTCTCGACCTGCGTACCACCTCTTCCACGCCTTGTGCACCTGCTGTGACTACCACTGACAATCTCGCTAGACAGCAACGAGCTATTGTACACCTATACCATCATCACAACTGACTCGAACAAGCAGCTCAATTTTCTGCATGATCGAATGCCGGTCATACTCGATAACGGCTCAGAGGCTATACGGACATGGCTGGACCCTACGCGCACAGAGTGGAGCAAGGATCTTCAGTCGTTGCTGAAGCCATATGAGGGCGAACTTGAATGCTACCCTGTCAGCAAGGACGTAGGCAAAGTGGGCAACAACTCACCTTCATTCTTGATACCTATAGATAGCGCCGAAAACAGGAACAACATCGCCAACTTCTTTGGTAACCAAAGAAAGCTCGCGAAGAAGGCCGACATCAAAGACTCTGACAAGACGGAGCATGACTTGGAGAACTCCACGACTAAGGATGGGCATGCCAAAGTCGAACACGATACCAATGAGAGTCGTGACACTACAGACTACGTGGAGGGTTCAGAAGACAATGCGTCGCTACCTCTTCCGGAAAAATCGCTTTCTAAGGTTGAGGAAGTCCAACAAGGTATTAAACGGGAGACAGAGGACGAAAGTGGCATTGCAGGGGACAAGCACCTAGCAAAGCACAACAGGACGACCTCACCTCAGAAGCATCCATCTCCTGTCAAAACACCTCCAAGAAAGCAGGGTATGCGCAGCGCCACGAGTAATGGTAGTGCGGCGAAGACTCCAGCGAAGAGCGACGGCAACGCGAGGATCACATCCTTTTTCAGCAACAAGTGAGAGAGATCCGAAATACGCGCGTGGCTACCACATCCTTGGATCCAGCAAGTGCGAAGTTCATTTCGCAACATGCATGACCGTTACCCAAGTACCGGTTTGACGAGTGTTTTCTGACATCAGCATGAGTGTTGTGCTCATTCAGTAACGGCCTTCTATGATCGCGAACCTCGGAGTGCGGGCAGGAGGAACGTTCTAACCCAACCGCAGCGGTTAACGGCTTGAGCTGTGAGATATTGAACGGTTGGAAGAGCAAAATGCGCGATCGGTTTCGAGCGCGCATAGGTGATCGCTAGAGTGCGGCGTGGTAGCGAAATGCGCCTAGCGCCCCGCGAAAAGCGCGGAACATACGACACGAGAACTGAAAACATCAGCCCTGCGAACTACTCGCAGCAGCGCGGCGTCTCCGTTCCAGTCGGCCCTGCAGAACGCGTTCATTCTCAATACATGCAATTAGTCAATCTATTCGGCTCCTCTTGACTCCAAAGTGACGAAACGTCCACGATCTGCACCATGCATCAAACAATGAAACGATTACCCTCACGCTGAAGATCATCGCGCTCGGTGGATCCCCTTGACTTCGTTGTTCTCCGCCTTAACAACAGGGGTCGAGCACCGTCTTCTCGACCGTGCGCATGCATAAGTTGTTCTCTATTACCTTAGGCTGTGCGCTCCCGCTGTCACTGCTGCTGACGGCTCCTCCCACCCCATCAACTTCACCTCAGGATGGCGTCTTTCGCAGAGATCCTGGCGAAGAAGCCAAAGGTGCAAACTCGCCAAGCGCTTATGGTTCTGGGATTGCAAAACGAGTTCCTCGCCCCTACCGGCTACCTGTCTGTTGATACCACTTCTGGATTTCTGGACCGCATCCATTCATTGATCCCCAAATTTCGTGAGCTCGACGGCAACATCATCTGGGTACAATCTCTCTACGAAGCCGACCGGCTTACGAGCAACTCTAACACCAGAGAAGGAGAAGGTGATGCCTTGGTCATTGCTGGCCTGGTCGACGGCGAAGAGACTGGCAGCCAAGCAGGCGACGATGAGTCAATCAAGGATCTGCCCGCGTCTGTTCCACAACCGCAATCACGCTCGGAGAAACACAAGCAGCGCGTGCTGAACCTGTTCAAGTCGCGGTCGTCACGTAGGAAGGCGCTCCCCATCGAGGAAGCAAAAGTGATCATCGAGGAAGATGAGGAGCTTTTTCTACTGAAGCGTGCGAAGAAGGGCGCAGCATGCATACCAGACAGCGAAGGCGCCGACTTCGCAAAAAATATCAAGGACCTGATCGAGACGCCTCGAGATGCTTTGATCGCGACAACAAACTACTCGGCCTTCCTCGGAACCAATCTACTCTTAACGCTACGAGCAAGACTGATCACGGAGATTTACGTGTGTGGATGCCTTAGTAATGTAAATGTCCTTGCAACGGTTATAGATGGAGCGCGCCACGGAATCAAGATCAATGTCATCCAGGATGCCCTCGGTTTCCGTAGGCAAGATCGACATGAACTCGCGTTGAAGCGCATGGAGGAGTTCTTCGACGCGTATATGGTCACGACCGCAGATGTTCTTTTAAAGGAGCACTTCACGGTCGTCGGACCCGTGAAAGAGGAAGCAAAGCCAGACGAAAGAGACCCTAAGAAAGCGAAAGATGAGCTCGAAGCATTGGTCGGCAAGTTGTCTCTCAACGATAAGTCAGGTGCCGCAGCAAGGCCTCCCAATGGTCAATTGCCCACGGGAGCAAATGGCCAAACCTCCTCGACAAGCACATCGGACTGGAGACCGCGAGATAATCTAGCAGCAAAGGATGCGAACAGTGACGAAGACTTCGCAACAGCGATTATACGGCCTCGGCGGACGAATGGTACAAACCAACCGCCAACAAGTGCCAATGAATCAAATCTGGTACAGAGCAAACCGCGCATGAGAAAGAAGAAAAAGAAGCAGAAGCCAACAGAAGATCTCTTGGTTAAGCCAACAGCACTCAGCGGTGACACGGAGCAGGCACCCAGCAATGGCGCGGCCGAGCCAGCTGCAGTACGAGGCCAAAGGGCTGGAGAACCAAAAGCTGCTGTGCTGAGTGAGGAAACCAAGGGCGACATCGAAGAGAAAATCGACGACACCGCACAGGTGTCGCCAGTCACGAAGCTTCCAGAATCAACTGGATTGAGCAAGAGTGGTTCGGTAGACAGTCCCTCGACCAAGGGACCACAGCATGAGTTAACTACGGAGTCAACCACGCCAAAAGTTCGGCCATCATCAGCTTCACTCACAGAGGCCACAATCTCTACCACACTTTCGCCGGACACATCTGTGAAAGTCGACACTTCATTACCGTTCGCTTCGCAAACCAACGTCATGGCAGAATCATCAAAGTTCAAGTCCTTAGCAAATCTGGCTGTCCTCGGTCCTGACGACCATATCGCCGAGGGTGACTCTCGGATTGTACACGACCTCATCCCCTTCGATTACTACTACCCATCCGGACCATTGAAGCCTCTTGCAGACATAATCTTCCAGGAGCTCTATGACGAGGTGAGATGGCAGAAGATGCTGCACCAGCAGGGCGAGGTGCCGCGTCTAGTATGCTGCCAGGGCGAGTTCGGTGACGATGGGTCGAAACCTGTGTATCGCCATCCTGCAGATCAGACTTTGCCTCTGCTGCACTTCTCGCCCAAGGTACAATACATTAGAAGACAGGTGGAGAAGCTCGTCGGACACCCACTCAACCACGTTCTCATCCAACTCTACAGAAGCGGAAATGATTACATTTCCGAGCACTCCGACAAAACCCTCGACATCGCCAAAGGCTCCTCGATCGTAAACATAAGCTTCGGCGCCCAACGAACAATGCGCCTCCGCAGCAAGCGTTCCTCCACCCCAAAATCACCCAGCGACGAAGACCCTCCTCCGCGCTCAACGCAGCGCGTCGCCATGCCGCATAACTCCATGTTTGTGCTCGGGCTGCGCAGCAATGAAAAATGGCTGCACGGCATTATGGCAGATAAACGTCTCCCCACCGAGCGCAGCGCCCCTGAAACTGCATACTGCGGCACCCGCATCAGCCTGACCTTCCGCCACATCGCGACGTTCCTCGATGCCAAAGAAACTGTGATTTGGGGCCAGGGTGCGACATCGAAGGACCAACGCGGTGCAGCAGACATCGTTGAAAATGATGAACCGGAAGCGGAGCGGTTGATATGCGCTTTTGGCGCTGAGAACCACAGCAATGACTTCAACTGGGAGGACTGGTACGGTGACGGTTTCGATGTGTTGCATTTGCACGAGCCGCCTGAGCAACTGCCAAGTCTGTTTGCCAGTAGTAATGCAGTCGAGACGAAGCAGATCCAGCTCGCGCTTGCGGAAGCCAAGATCAATCACACGCTGCTCGATGCACCAGACCTCGACATCGCGCTCGGCTCGGGGCAGAAGATTATGTACCGCGACAGCGATACGCATTGTACTGAAGTAGAAGGCGTCGCTGCGATACTCCACTATATCGATCGGTACCACTCTTTCTGCGCGGACAGACCGGTCACTGCTAAGGCGTACGCGTTACTCGAGACAGTTGCTCGGTTCTCACAGCCTTCGGTTGGTAGCTCATCGAGCGAAGCGAATGAAGCGAGCTCAGAAGTACCAAATGAACCAAAGGAGTTCAAGGAGTCAAGTCCAGTTCCCCCGACTGGGTTCAAGGCAATGCTGCACGGTTTGAATGAGCAGCTGAAGGATCACGGTGGGCCGTTTCTAGCAGGTAAGCGGTTCAGCATTGCGGATTGTGTCGTCTGGCCTTTACTTGATGAGTGCATGGAGAACTGGGAGAATTGGGATGAGTCAGAATGGTCAGGGCTGGCGGAGTATTACAGGGCGACGTGGAAGAAGAAGGCGTGTTTGAAGAAGTTAAGGAGTGAGTTGCCTGCTGGAAAGGAACTATGAGTAAGAAGGTGTTTGGGAATGTGCCCATTAGTTTCTTCCCTATGATGCCTGTATTCTATGTCTCATCGTTTAGTGCAATCATCTCATGTGACGTGCACTTCTGATGCCAAGCCCCTCGGCATTTTCAACCGCCGACCTCTCAGATTCTCGGGCTCTCGATCTCCACTCTAGCTTCGCGACGCGCGCACGCATCCAGCCAGCGCCGCACACCTCCCACCCACACTCTTCTCAGATACCGCCGCCGTAACAATGCCGAAGTTCTTCTGCGACTACTGCGATGTGTACCTCACGCACGACAGCATGAGCGTGCGCAAAGCCCACAACAGCGGCCGCAACCACCTGCGCAACGTGCAAGCCTATTACGAGCAGATCTCCAGCGATCAGACACAGCAAGTCATCAACAGCATCACGGATGCGTACACCGCCGAGGGTCAGGCGAATCCACTGTATGCGGCGAATCTGAGTGGAGGGTTTCCTGGAGGACCCATGGCGCCGCCGATGGGCATGGGTGGGCCGATGGGGATGCCGATGCCAGGAGGTGAGTTGTAGTGTTTGGTGTTTAATGGAGAAGTGCTGACGAGATGTAGGAATGCCGGGAATGCCACCACCATTCATGCAAGGCGGACGAGGTGGTCGTAAGTCAGGACACAAGATACCTAGAGAACTTCGCTGACCTACTACAGCTCCCAACATGCCTCCATTCCCACCGAACGGAATGCCGCCTTTCCCGCCAAATGGAATGCCACCATTCCCCGGCGGCGCGCCTCCGCCCTTTCCGCCCAACATGGCTGGAGGGCCACCGATGGGTGGTGTGCCCCCAAACATGCCATTCCCCTTCCCTCCAGGGCAAGCGGGATCGCCTCCTGCTGGCATGGGATTCCCTCCGCCGGGCTCCATGGGCAACATGCCTCCGCAGCGCTTCCCTCCCGGCCCACCTGGACGCTAGGCGCATCCTGACGTGAACATGGGCGGAACAATGCCACCAGGCTTAATGATACCACAAGATTACTTTGCAAGTAAGAGATGCAGGCGCGAAGACGAAGACGCAGAGATACCCAGCATGCGAGGAGGCGCGGGCAGGGACAGGGGTGGTGCCGCAGCTGCTACAGGCGCAAATGCAGCAGCACTACCGAAGAGGCTGAAGATAGAGCCCGCAGCCGCATCAGAGACGATCTGACACCGCCTGCTTAGCGCTGTGCGCCATGCACGCTCTCAATAGATGACACTCACGGTGGCACAGCAGTGCGCTTCCACCGTCAAAAGCAGCAATAACTACGAAATCAAAATGGTAACATTCTACTTCTCAGCACTAAATTCACTCCCTCGCATACGTTTCCACGTCCACCATCTCAACCCCCAGTTTCTTATTGACTGTTCTCTTTTTCTCCCAGCACATGCCCTCCCCCGCGAAAGCCAGTCCATACTTCTTTGCTCCATCTTCTGCTGTGCTGCATCTTATTCCACAGATACTCCTCGCTCCACGACTTTCTTACAACCTGGCGCCCGCTCACCCACTCCACAACATCTGACAGCTGCTCGTACGTCACCGTGCCGCCTGCAGTATGCAGCACAGTGTCAGCAGACCCGGTTCAAGACCCGACCGAGCACGCGCCCGATGCCATGTAGATATGTGACCATGACGCCGTGGGCTTAGTCGTGGAGACATCCGATCGCAATCTCTCCTCGAGGAGTCCGATTCGAGCGGTCTACGATTCCCGGAACGGCTCAAGCAAGAAACTCATGAAGGCCCCCGTGCTGACGACCGTCCACTCTACGTTGCTAGATGAGGCGTGAGCAGACCCGTTCCTGTGCACCGAACAACAGCATCGCGCCCCCGGCGGCTCCTGCAACATCGTAGTCGACGCGCGACTGCCACGGAAAACCACATCTTGCTCTGGCCGTTCTTTTTCTCAGGCTACCGGCTTCCATCGCCTTACTCGCTAGCTTGTTTACGGTTTCAGGCGAGGAGGAATGGCCTGTTGCGGAGACGACTACATACGTAATTCGCTCGATATTGGGACAAGGGTGGGCGAGGGGTAGGTCAGGTCGAGTTCCAGGAGCGAGGTTGTCGGGGAGGCGGGGTGGGTGTGCTTGAAAGGAGAGCGTGTAACGGTTGTGATGTGGGAGAGCAGGGCGAGACCGAGTTTGCCAGCGCCGAGGAGGAGAGTTTGTGTTGGTGAGGAGGAGAGTTTGTGTTGGTGAGGAGGAGAGTTTGTGTTGGTGAGGAGGGTGTTTGGATGTCAAGGGGGATATTTGGATCAGAAGGGCGTGAAGTAGGTTGCAATGCCATCACTGATCGTAACTTGGAATTCGAATCTAGCTATACTGTGTCTTCGAGATCTCAGTCTACTCTGGCCTTGTTACTGTGAACGTGCTCACCGAAGGCATTTTTTTGTGATTCGGAGATAAAACCCAGACTGGCGGAGATACAAGACGAGCCTGGTTGTGCAGACTCTGTGTGCAAACACGGTGAGTGAAGAGCCCTAACGGGTGCAGAGTACTGGCATTTGCACACAAACGTATCTCGGTGTTGGGACCCCCGCTGCGACTTGTTGTCCTTGAGACGGTGTTGAGGCTCGCTGGCAGACCAAGGTTCGACTGTTCTCCTACAATACGTGCATCATCCTAAACACAGTTCTGCAGGCGAGTTAGAGAACTAAAATAAAGGTCGTTAGCCACCGCGACATCCATTTGATATGGATATACAGTGCATCTGCATTTCGCGTGAAGTCTTGCAATGTCGATGCGGCGATGTTCGAAGTCGAAGTTCTGCGTCAAGCGCTCGGTTAGACACCTCAAAACGGCTAGACTGATGGGTCGTTCTCACCACAAGTCGGGTCGCTCTTGCCCACATCAATTTCTCGCTCGCGACCTACGACTACCATCACCGTCGACTCCCCCTCAAGCCACACATCGCAATCATGGCCGAGCAGTTGGTTCTCCGTGGCACCCTTGAGGGCCACTCTGGCTGGGTTACATCCCTCGCTACCTCTCTCGAGAAGTGCGTATTTCTGGCGCGCGGACAATGCGACAGCGGATAGAGGGCGTATACTGACGGCACCAGCCCGAACATGCTCCTGTCCGGTTCCCGCGACAAGACTCTGATCATCTGGAACTTGACCCGCGACGAGACCTCGTACGGTTACCCCAAGAGGAGCCTTCACGGCCACTCCCACATCGTCTCCGACTGCGTACGTACCCGGTAGAATTAGCAATTGGTGGCAGCATGCCAGCACAGGCGCAGACAGCGGCGCAATTGCTAGTGGAAATGTCACGCGCTGACAACACCAGGTCATCTCCTCCGACGGCGCCTACGCCCTGTCCTCCTCGTGGGACAAGACCCTCCGCCTCTGGGAGCTCTCCACCGGTGCCACCACCCGCCGCTTCGTCGGTCACACCAACGACGTCCTGTCCGTCTCCTTCTCCGCCGACAACCGCCAGATCGTCTCCGGCTCGCGCGACCGCACTATCAAGCTCTGGAACACCCTCGGTGACTGCAAGTACACCATCACCGACAAGGGCCACACCGAGTGGGTCTCGTGCGTCAGGTTCTCGCCCAACCCCCAGAACCCCGTCATTGTCTCCGCCGGCTGGGACAAGCTCGTCAAGGTGCGTACACTCTTTGCACGCCCCGTTTCGCGATTTGTTTCCATGATGATTTGGTTAAAAAAGTATTTGCTACTTCAGAGCGGCCATCTACTGCTATGAGAACAACACTCACCTTTGTACTGATTTTACGAATTGCGACAATCAGCATCAGTTTGGAAGTGGACTTTGTTGCTGACTCTTGCAGGTTTGGGAGCTCGCCTCTTGCCGCATCCAGACTGACCACATCGGCCACACCGGCTACATCAACACCGTCACCATCTCCCCCGATGGCTCGCTCTGCGCTTCCGGTGGCAAGGACGGAACCACCATGCTCTGGGACCTGAACGAGTCCAAGCACCTGTACTCTCTCACCGCCGGTGACGAGATCCACGCCCTCGTCTTCTCCCCCAACCGTTACTGGCTGTGCGCCGCCACCTCTTCCAGCATCATTATCTTCGACCTCGAGAAGAAGTCCAAGGTCGACGAGCTGAAGCCCGAGTACATGGAGGTTGGCAAGAAGAGCAGGGAGCCCGAGTGTGTCTCCTTGGCCTGGAGCGCCGACGGCCAGACCCTCTTCGCTGGTTACACCGACAACAAGATTCGCTGCTGGGGTGTCATGTCGAGGGCATAAGCTCTCAGCGACGAGTAAGGGTGAGCCATGTAGTATTGTACCGTAACAGGTGCGAGGTAGCTGGCGGGCGCAATGGGAAAATCACGATTCCACATGTCAATGACATCTGCACGCTTGCCATGGGATGTGTGACGCTCATGATGATGCAAGACGGCACGCAGAGGGTTTTGGGCATGTTCGATTCCTCGACGGTATTAGCACTTCCAGGCGCTTAGGCAATGAAAACATCAAGTTTATTCACACAACACTCGTGCGCGAAGCGAGCCTGTTGTTCCTTTATCTTCCATGTGACGCATATGTCTTCAAGTTCCCGGAACGTCTTCCCTGCGTCCATCGTCCGACCACATTCCTGCCTCGTTTGCCCTATTCCGGCCGCTTACAGCTTCGCAAACTTGACCGCTCGCTTCTGCATCCCGCTCAGCATCGCCTCCTTGACGTCCTCAGTCTGCAGCATCGCCGCGTTCCACACCGCCGTGTAGTTCAGACCCTCGGCCACCGTCTTGTCGCGGCTGTAATTCAGGATCTCCTTTGTGCCGAGCACGGCGACGGGGGATTTGGAGGCAATGAGGGAGGCGAGGTCGAGTGCTTCTTTCATCGCCGCACTCTTATCAGCAGCGACTCTTGACACCAGCCCGACGCGCAGTGCTTCGTCAGATCCGAAGACGCGCGCGCTGAGCGCGACATCTTTGATCCAGGACATGTTCCCGACGGCGTGCGGTAGGCGGCTCAGTGTTCCTACAGCCACACCGTTAGCGACCGCTCGTTCGTTTCACAGAGACGGCTGAAGAGATCGAAGCTTACCGATATCAGCCGCAAGCCCAATGTCGACTTCTTTGACACTGAACTTGGTGTCTTGTGTTGAGATGCGCACGTCGCAGCTCAGACTCATGTCAAGCGCAAGACCGAACGAGATGCCATGCAGCACGCAGATGACGGGTTTCTCGCACTTCTCTAGGCTCGTAATGCAGTCCTGGAACTCTAGGATGTGCCTCCGCAGCTCATTGGCTTTGCGCGCGCCATCGACGGTTGGGGGTGCAAATGTGCCGCCCTCAGACGCGGCTTGCACGTCCAGACCTGCTGTGAAAGCGCGACCTGCACCGGAAAGCACCACTGCACGGATGTTGGGGTCTACTGAGAGCTTGTCGAATAGTGCGGACAGGTTGTGCCACATTCTGAATTTGTGTCAGTGTAAGGTCCTACATAACAATGAAGCCAGAAGGTGCAATTTTGATCGTAAGAAGTTGATTATGGTTTCGACTTGACTCCCCATGTGTGCCATCTCGGTTGGAGGCATCCTCAGAATGTAGTTGAAAGGCATTGGCGAACTTACACCTCCTTGAACGCATTCAGCTTCTCCGGCCGATTTATCTCGACATGTGCAACGTGTTCTGAAGGAATCGAGACATTGAAGAATTCGTAGTTGTATGCTTCTGCCATCTTCGGTGCGTCCCTTGCTCTTTTTTGGCACGTATCTGAGCGGGTTTCGATATTGTGTAAGCTGAACCAGCTCGTTCTACAGGGCTATGATGAGTGGGCCGTAGTCTAGTCAGAGCAGTGCCAGGGCCTTGGATCGATCAGGTGTTGTGCGTGGACGGTGCCGACATGCACGGTTGAGTCCCTCGGCGTAGTTAGGCGTCGCGTGGGGAATCGCGTTGAGCCGAGGTAGGGATAGATGTGGTTAGATCAACTTCACTGCTGTTGGTTTCACATGCATGACAAGTCGTCGCATCTCGAAAATATTATCCTCGAAAGCCTCGATTCTGCCTCGTAGTTATGCAACCTCGTCTTCACTTACGGCGACTCCAATGTCAACTCCAGCTTCGTCCTTCCAGCACGGCTCCTCTACGTCAGGTCAACGTACGCCACCTAGAACTGTTAAGCAACTTTATGCTCAAGATCGCTCCAAGTCTCAGCACATCGAACGTAATCAATGTCAGCTTGATGCGTACGATAATACCAGCTGTGCTGTCCGCACCTGACCTACTGCTAGAAGCTCTTGCGCTCTCTGCCTTGTACCTAAGCCAGGCCAGGCTTAGGCATGGAGACAGCTATCATGTCAATGCAACATCACTACGAATCGAAGCCTTGACGTCATTCAATGATCATCTCACAACATTATGAGAGCAATTGCGCAAGGCCATGCTTATATTTGCAAGCTTTTTAGGCATTCATCGCTTGCAGGGGCGGTAATGATTTCCAAATACGATGCGGATGGCTTCCTGGACCGGCTCGTCACACACCTACTTGAGCCTGCATCGCGAGGTTCAGACCGTGACATCTCAAGCCTAGACTCTGTTGCAGAAGTCAAACATATCTCCTGTACTGCAACACTCTACAGACCATTTGAATCTTGTCGCATCACAAGAACCACAACGGGCGACCTTCGTGGCAGACGTGCTAGACTGCTTGCTCGACAACGCCGACTTTGATTAAGAGTTTCTATGGCGACCTGTAGACTACTCGTACTGGAGCGGGTCTGCGCAAGGCGGTCGGCAGGGCTTCGTGCTCGCTCAGCGGTACCCAGATGCCTACGACAGTATTGCCGCAGCAGCACCGGCGCTCAACTGGGCGCAGTTTATTCCTGCGGCTTCTTGGGCACAAGTCACGCTATCCATTACCGGTCAGTACCCACCGAAGTGCGAAATCGACGCGCTGACCGCTGCTACGATTGCAGCCTGCGACCCCTTGGACGGAGTCACTGACGACAACTTCAGTGACACGTCAAGGTGCTCTTTCGATCCGTTGATTTCCATTTTATGTCGCACAAATGGGACTTGCACTGGCCTGCCCATAGGACTCGGTGAGGCGTGGTTCAGACTGTTTGTGAAGAAAGATCTGGATTGGAATCGCACCAAGATCGCGAGCGTCAATGAGTACGCCAGGTCGTTCCATGATGGTGTGCAAGAGTATGATTCGATTGTAGCGACCTACGGATCTAGATGTAAGCGTGTTCAGAGATGCTGGCGGGAAGATATTGACGTATCATGGACTGGTGAGTCTTTGCCCAGAATGGCCGACGAGTGCAACGGTACTGACAACACCAGGCCGATGGGCTTATTTCCACCACAGACACCGAAGACTACTACAACCGCGTCAACATCACGACCTCAGGTATCAACGAGTTCTTCCACTACTTCGAGGTACCAGGCCTAGCGCACTGTTCCGGCGGTCATGTTGGTCAGCCAACATTGACGCTCCAAGCGCTGGTCGATTGGGTAGAATGTAATATTGCGCCCGAGATGCTGTACATCGATTTCAATGATTCAAATGGCACTCAGCGTGGACGTATATCGTGTCCGTACCCAGAGAAAGCGGGATTGAAAGAGAAAGGGCTGGATGTGACGAAGCGGGAGTCGTGGGTATGTGCGCTCAAGTGAGTGGGTTTGAATGACTCACGGAGGAAAAGTTTCTTCCACACTTCACGTCCGAATTTCGCATCGTCGCCTCAGACATCAGCAGAAAGAGATCGATTCAAAGTGAAGACTCAACTGATCAGGATGCCATATTGGAGCTATGTACATTGTAGTTCTCAATATTGGTCACTAACTCACAAAAGCTGAGTGGCGCAGCGGAAGCGCGCCGGGCTCATAACCCGGAGGACACTGGATCGAAACCAGTCTCAGCTAATGAGTTGACTTTTTTTGAGGATTTTCTGTTTCTTTTGATTTGCCCAGGCGACTCTCTCTTTTGCATTCAACGCATTCTACTCCTACTAGGGACCTTCGACGCTGGACATTGATGGGCACACCACCGCAGCCCATGAACCTCAATACTGCAATGTCTTCACACCACTAGGTTTCCAACACTCAGGAAGTTCGCGTATTTTTTCGATTTACTACGCCACCCCAATTTGATCAACCAGGCTTTCGCTCTGCGCTTCCTGGAGGTCCAGCATGTCTGGCTACCTGAATCTTCGACAACGCATGCCCTAGCCTCCTCCCTGGCGACATATATGTCAACAAAGTGCGGCCCCTTGTAATCGTTCAGGTCCGATCTTAGGTGCGATTTGGTCAAGCGACGGCGTAGTCGAGGCGGGAAATAACGCCCTTGACAATTTGCCCTTACACCTGGCAGGCAAGGCGTTCCGCCGCAAGTCCCGAAGCAAACACCACCCCATGGCATGCGTTGATATCCCATTTCCATAGGTTCTCCTGACACTTCATCGTTGTGTGTCGGTGCCTGGTCAACGGGCCTGATTGCATCGTTGCTGCCGCGAGAAGGTGGCAGGTTCTCCCTGAAGCGGGCGTTGCCTCTTCCGTTTGCTTCGGACACGGAGCGGTGCCCATAGCGGCTGACGACTGGACTGCTGTATTCAGAGGACGGGGACTCACTGCCTGAATCTAAAGAGTACATCTCCATGTCCCTGAGGGGACTTGGACCGGGAGGATCCCGATGACAAGGGCGGCTCATTGTCGGTAGAAGGGCCATTGGGGACGGAGTGCGGTGATTGGGGATTCCAGTGTTTGGATTCTCGACAGTGATCTTGATCATCTTGGATCTTGGAGATGCTTGCGCGAGCAGGAAGGTTACGGTGAGTGGATGGTTGTGGTTTCTTTCATTAATGATTGGGTGGGCTTGCTACGTTTCAAGCAGTGTGCTTGCTTGCTTCAGAGAAGTTTATGGACCATAATACTCCCATGAGGTATCATCGTCAAAGCTGGATGCGGAAAACTGTCCTTTGTGCCTTACATTACGCTCTTTGCTCGGAATACAGACTTCCTTTTGTCCTTGACAATACCCATCACTTTTTGCGCTGTCCGCGATCCCACGATGGAAGTCTCCTTGCAAATATACGAAACGCTCCCGCAATCTTCATCTTCACTTTGAACAAACGAGTCTGCTTTGTCTTCGACTTCCAGTATTGTCGACCTCCGGCGGTCTGCATATGCGTATCGTCTCCAAAGTCTACTTCTCCCGCCCGCGTCTTTGCATCGTCAAAGATGGACTCTGTTGTGGTATTGTACATGCACCCAGGGCAAGGCGACGTAGACCGAAGTGGTGGCGTGTCTGTGCGAGGCTTTCTCCGATCGGCAGGCGAACTGATAGCGACATTCATCACCTCGATGCTGCCCTCGTCCCCATTTTTCCCTCGTGAGTGGACCTCATCGAGCTCATTGAATTTTGGTCGCGACTTGTCGATGAACTGTGCAGCATGCGAGGCGTCGATACCTGAGTTTGGATCTTGCCCGGAAACAGAGATGAGATCGTTTTTACTGGGGACGACGACCTTTGCGGGTGTGTTGAATCTGGCGCAGTCGTACAGCTCGTGCAGGCCGTCGTGGAAGCCAACGTCATGGTCGCAGCCGTCTACGTGCTTACCGGACATTGGAGGTGGGCATCCGGAGACGCGCTCGCGGATGGGGAGGGTGAATGTGTGCGGGGCACAGTTGGACATGGCATTAGAGATATGGAGAAGTGTTCGAGAAGGAAGCTTATGAGAGAAGCAAATGTTAAGGCTTGTTTATGGGCTAGTGCTCGCTTAGTATTATAGCATTCCAATGTCCACCGATGAAGTGAAGGTGAGGTCAGCGCGCGCACTGATGTCTATGTCCAAAAGATGACTGGCACGCCCACATCAGAACGCCTCCACGTGCACACGAAAGCGACCCGCTATCCCCTCCTTCAAACCTTCGCTTGACCAGACCGCCTAGAACACAGTCCCGCTCTTCCCCTTCCCCTTTCTCTTCTTGGTCGCCTTCTCGCCTACATCCATCAGTGCACGCTCTCACTCACAGGCATGAAAAGCTCACGCATGACATCCCTCGGATCCGGGCCAGTCTATTTCTTCTTCACCGCACCATTGGCAGCGCCGATGTTGTACTTTGCGGCTTGCTCGTCAGTGAGCTCGACGAGTCTGGGCATGATGTTCTTCTTCCTTCGCTCTGTTTTGGACAGGACGGTGGTTGATCTGGGCTTGAGCGGGACGTGGAGCTTCATGTTGACTGAGCTGTGGGTAGTGGAGTTGGAGGTAGATGTTGCGGATGGAGAAGGGTGCGGAGCGTGAAAGTCGATTTGGTTCTGTTTATGTGCTGAGGGGGTGCATTACTTTCACTTCGTGCGTGGCGCGGCTGGGAACATCCTGACACGCAGTCTATTCACGCGTATCGAGTGGCGATTCCGGAGAGGTCACGACCCATTGTGAGGGTGTCCAGCGTGAGACTATCCATCGTGAGAATACATTGGAGAGGAATTCAGGCAATTCAGGCATTTGATTCAGGCATTTGATTCAGGCATTTGATTCAGGCAATTGATTCGGGCAATTGATTCGGGCTTGCTCGCACTCTGGATTATCGAGGCATGACGGACATCGTCTGGGGTAGAGGAGTGATGGTGATGTGATGGCAAGACGCGTGCGAGGTCGGGCCACGAGCTAGCCGGATGCGGCAAGGCCTTTCGCCTTGGGGCGCGACTGCACGTGATGCTCGGTCTGGGATGCGATGGTTCTTGATAAATCAGTATTCAGGCCCGGTTACTCTGCTGCTTATCGCCTGCTCTGTCTGCTCTCCATGAAGGTTCCCATCGCGGGTTCTGGCAGCCACATACACCGACTGATAATACCAGCCTGTGTGAATCCGATCCTCAACATGCCCAATCTTCCATGACTACCGCGGCCCAAACGGCCGCGGACCCAGAATCTGTCTCTTCCCGCCAAAACTAATGCCCCCCCGGTTCTGGCTATCACCCCCCATGTAGCCGTACTGGTTGACGTCCCAGCTCTGGCCCTCGCCGGTGCCGGCGTTCAGATCCTTGGCGGCGTCGGCGAGCTCGCGCTGGCTCTGCTCCCACTCCTTCTGGCGCTCGCGCTCGCGCTCCATCTCGCGCTCGAGCAGCGACTTGGAGGCCCAGCCGCGGTCCTTGGTGGCCTGCTGGTTGGCTGTGCGGCGCGCGTCTTCGGCGCGCTGTTCGTTGGTGGATGTGGATTCCTGGGGCGCGTAGGTGGTTGGTTTGGCAGCAAGGGGGGGCGGGTTGGAGGAGAGGAAGCGCTCTGTTCTACTCTGTGCGGCGGGATGGCCGGCGCCCTGGGACGAGCGTAGGTACGCGGCGGGATCGGGCAGGGGGCGCGGCGAGGTGGGTTCGGGCAAGGGCCTGGAGCTCGTCGACGACGAGAGGGCGGGCTCGGGGGTGTGCATGGGGCGCGCAGGCTGTGCTTGGTTCGCCTCCCATGCGTCGCGCAGGTAGGCGCGGTCGTCTGCCTGGGCCCAGGAGACGTTGCTCTCTTGCGGCGACGGGGCGCGCGGGGGCGGCGCAGGGCGAGAGCGGCTCTTTGAGCGCTCGCGGGGGCGGGACTTGGAGCGCGTGCGCTGCTTGCGCGTTTCGCGCTCGGCCTGGTACTGGCGTTCGCGCTCCTTTGCTTCCTCGAGCTGGCGCTCGAGTTCGGCGATGCGGTCGTGCTGGTCGTCGGACTGGCCCGGGTCGTGCTCGGCTTGGTACTGCGAGAGGTACTGGCCGCGTAGTTTGGCGGCGCTGCCGGCGCGCTTGCGGCGGGCCTCCTTCTCGGCGGCGTCCTGGGCGAGCTGCTCTTCTTTCTGGCGCGCCTCTTCTTGCGTCCTCCACTGGCGCTCTTGCTCTTCCCATTCGCGCTTCTGCTGCGCGAGACGCTGCTCTTTGGCCTCGCGCTGCTTGCGCGACTCCTCTTCCCACAGGCGCTCCTCTTCGGCGCGGTGGCGCTCGTCCTCGGCCTCGCGCTCGACGCGGCGGTGCTTCTCGGCCTCGTCGGCGGCGAGCTGCAGGCGCTCGTCCTCGTCGGCCTTGTCGCGCCGCTTGCGCTCCTTCTCGGCCATGCTCGGCACATGGGGCCCCGCGGTGGTGATCTGGCGCCGCGCGCCGAAGGCAATGCCCTGGTTGCCCTGGCTCGCGCCGCCCATGTAGCCGTACTGGTGGATGTTCCAGGCCGGCGACGTGACGCCCTGGTCCGCCTTCTTGCTCCAGCTGCTGACGCCGCCCGGCGGCGAGCCGGGCACGCTGCTCGAGTTCCGTGCCGAGTTCCGCGAGGCGGTGCTGCCGCCGGTGCGCGAGGGGCTGAGCGGCTTCGGCTTATCCAGCGGGGGCTTCATCGGGTTGAACGTCGACGAGCCGTGGCTGCGGGCGAAGTCGGGCCGCGAGGGCGTCGTCGGGCTCATGGCGCTGCCGCCGCCGCGCTTGGGGCCGATGCTCGTCGGGAAGCGGGCCGGGTCGAGGGCGTTGGCGGCGCGCGAGAAGGCGGCCAGGCACTGCAGGACCTGGGCCGGGTCTTTGCTCTCGTAGAGGTCGACGGTCAGGAAGCGGTCGTGGGCGGGCATGTGCAGCGGCGGCAGCTCGCAGGCCCGGAGGAAGTGGGCAATGTTCTCCATCTGGATGAAGGGCATGGCCGACTGCTTGAAGCGGACGGGCGTCGGGACGGCCATGTTGACGAGCCTGGCCGTGTCAGCGCATCCCGACCCGGCCGACGACCACACGCAGGCGGGGGCGTCTCTACCTGCACAGCACCGTCCCGTCCTTCAGCGCGTCCAGCAGGTCGCCCGCGGGCAGCCGCTCGCCCAGCGAGGCCTCGATCCACGCGCGCACCTCGTTGGCGGCCTGCGGCGTGTATCGGCCCATGCGCAGGTTCTTCATGTCCTGGTCGAGGCTGGTGACCGACGCCATGTTTGCGTGAATCGCAGGAATCTGTTTTGGCCGTGAATCACAGTACTCCGAGCCTGGTCGTGTGTTGGTGTCCACGTCGGCAGCCCCGGGCAGGTGGGGGACGCCTGGTGCCAGCCGCGCGTGGACAGCCACACGTCATGCGCGGCATCTACATATCCGTCTCGATTCATCACCATTCCGCGCACCGCGACACCCCCCATGGCCAAAGCACCGGGGCCCTTCACCAAGGCATGGTACGAGTGGAAGATGCTGCGCTTCCCCTGGCGCAAGCGGTGGCTGGTGGGTGCGTCTACGAACATATACACACATATACACACACATACACACTCACACACATACACTCTCACACACATACACTCTCACACACATACACTCTCACACACATACACACTCACACACACACACTCATACACATACACACTCATACACTCTCACACACATACACACATACACACACACACATACACACACACACACACACACACATACACACACATACACACACAAAATCCAATGCACGCCACACACTAACCGCGCCCGCCAGGCTTCGACCTCCAGGGCAACACGTTCTGGGAGTTCAAGGACGCTCTGCACTCGCTGCGCAACCGCCGCATCGCAAAGTACGCCCGCTCGACCCACTACGGCGACGTCAACGTCTCGCCCGGCTGGATGCAGTGGCTGCGCCACACGCGCTTCGAGCCGCCCTCGCTGGCAGAGCAGCAGGCTGACGTCCAGCGCCAGCTGAACATCAAGATGCTCGCCGCCCGTGCAGACGAGCGCTGGGCCGCCAAGCCGAGCGCCCTCGACGCCCCGGACAAGCAGCAGCCCATGCCCGTGCTGGAGAGCAGGGACCCCAAGAGCGGCCTCGTGCACCCCAACCCTGACCAGCACCTGCCGTCACCCACGCCGCCGTCGAGAGACGACGGGCAGCCAAAGCCCTTGACACCGCCGTCGGCGTCGAGAGACGAATGGCAGCCAAAACCCTGGACACCGCCGCCGCGCAAGCGAGGCTGACCTGTGCCATGTAGAGTGTAAGAGTACCGTCGAGTCTGTATAAAATTTGGGATTGGAAGCGTGTGTTTGAACCTTCTAGGTTACCTTCTTCGAGCAATCTTCACCAACACCTTGTTCAAGACGTGCCGTTAAATTTACTTGAATGTGCTGTGAAACTCAGGACTGGAACCATGTTTGTGGTGCACACGGTCTCTGGTATAACATGCTCCACCGCCCCCCCTCCCCCCCAAGAGGACCTTTGCTATAACATCCCCCCCCAAGACAACCTCTGCCTGCCCGATCCTTCACTTCCCAGTAGAACTTCTTCCCGACTGCACCCAGCTTCGGCTTCCTCACCCACCGTCCCCATAACCACGACAGTGCCAATCACGACACTACCACCATGGCGAACCCGCTTGTCCCTGAACACCCACCCACGGGCACAGCCTCCAGCTATGAGCCGCTAAACACTGCAGAGCACAAACACCGTCTCGACGCGTTTGGCGACGAAAAGTGAGACCATCAACGGACTCAAGCTCATCACCGACGACAAACCCTATGCCACTGCTGGCCCGCCCCGCTCGCGCGTTAGTAAATGTGGTGGAATAATCTAACCCTCACGTTCCACCAGCAGGTTAGTAGGATGTGGCCGATTAATCCAACACTCGTTCATCCCGCAGCCTCCTTGACCTTCGACTCTGGTGCCTCGTCGATGAACGTCGGCGGTGCGGTATCCTCAGTCAGGAACCCAGGCACGCTCGACGACTCGCCAATGCCCTCAAAGTCGACCTCGTCGCCGAGTGCTTCCAGTTCTGCGTCCAGCTCCGACTCGTCCACATCCTCAGGCACGTCGTAGCTGCGGCTGATGGCGTCTTGAATGTCGTTTCCCATGTCCATAAGATCAGCCATCTCGTCCTGCAGCTTCTCGATCTTGTCGATGTTGACCTTGCCATACTGCTTCCGGAGCTCCTTCGTCGTCGTCTTCATAGCGTCGATGGTCGTCATCGTGTTCTTGAGATTATCCTGCATCATCCCGGCTTGCTCCATGTTCCACGACTGTGACTGTAGCTGGTCGCGCTGTGACTCGTACATCTTGCGCTGCTGGAGCACCTTCAGCGCCTTTTGCTTGATGGCCGTCTTGCCGGGGCCGTCGCGCATCTTTGCAAGCTTCTGCTGGTAGGCCGACAGTTCAGCGTTGAGCTTAGCAAGCTTCACATCGAGACTCTCTATCCGTGTGTCGACCTGCACAACGTTAACATTTGCGGCCAACTTGTACGCTTGGTGGGCCTACGTTGGAGATGGCGCTGTTGAGCGTTGGCTTGGGCGCCGTGCTCTTTGCTCCAAAAAGACGGTTCATGATGGATGTGCGGCGACGAGGCGATCACGTATCTGGGGTGGAAAGGGCTCTAGGTGTCTCGTGGAGGCGTTGTTGTTTGTGCAGTCTGTTTGGTGGGGTTGGTGCGCAAGTGCCCAAGGCAGTCGCGACCAGGCCGGTGGCTGGAGCTTCCCACGAAACGCGGCGGCAGCAGCAGCAGCAGCGTCATCGATCACGTGGGTTTCCATCTTGACAGCCAGAGTTGATAAGACATGCATACAAAAATCCCAAATTTGAAGACGATTACAATCTGCTGACCGGGCCATGGGCCATCTGATCGTGCCCCTGAGGCTACTGCATCCCTCTGGCGCATCCAGGTCGAGGCTGCTGCACCTCCCCGATCTGCGCCACGCTTGTGAACCGCTGAACCCATGTCTCCACAACACAGCAGGTCGCTCTGCCGGGAATGAAGGGTCCATTCACCTCCACCCACTGTTGTAACATAAAATCATATCGGAGCCTGCGATACCCCCTCGTTCCCGTGCATGGACTGGTGTTCAATCTGAGTTGTGCCTCGCTTTTGCTCGCATATTCCCTTCCCCCGCAGGTATGTGTGCATCTGCGCTCGCGCCCAAGCTCCAGCCTTGGAGCCCTGCATCCACGTCCACGCGCATCTGCTGTCTGACACGGTGCGTCTGCTAACAGGGCCATTGTGCAGCTTCCCTCCTTCTGTCCCATGAGCGCTCAACACCCAGTGCCCCGCTAATCCTCTTGCTGCACTCGAGTCTCGCGCCCTCGACTCCCTGCCCCGCCTTCGTTAGTCACCACCACAACAGCCGCCATGTTCTGGCGCTTCGGCGGGTATGCACAGCTGTCGACGCTGGACAGCATCCTCGACAAGCCTGACGTCACCGTCGAGGAGCTGCTGGACGAGTCGGACCTGATCCAGGAGCTGAAGCAGCAGAATTCGAAGCTCATCGAGTACCTGCGCGACGAGAACGTTCTCGAACGGCTGCTGCGCTATGTCACCGCCCAAAGACTGGCCGAATCGCCGGGCGAGCCGCCTGCCGAAGGACTGAGCGAGGTCGGTAGTCCCAGCCGCCAAAGCTTCTTCGGCAAGGTTGCTGGACGCGCACGCTCGGCGTCCACAGCCAAGTCAGACGCGGGCGACGGAGAGGAGAGCAAGGACGAAAGACAGCGCATGAAGTATGCGTACGTCTCGTGCGAGATTCTGTCGTCAGAGGTCTGGTCGATATCAGAGGCGGTGCTGGAGAACCAGGACTCGTTGAAGCAGTTCTGGGCATACATCAAGCAGCCTGCAACACTCGACCCTGTGCAGGCTGGATACTTTACAAAGGTCAACGAGTCGTTGCTGGATCGCAAGATGGAGGAGATGCTGGATTTCTTCAAGTCGCTCGACAACGTTGTTACAGACATGCTCCAGCATGTAGACTGCCCCGTCATCATGGACTTGTTGCTTAAGATCATCAGTCTCGAGAAGAGCGAGGGCGGTCAGGGCATCGTGGATGTGAGTGCACCCAACAATGCTTCAGCTCCTCTGCTAACAAGCACAGTGGCTGCAACAGCAAGACCTCGTACCCCGATTGATTGCTTTCCTCGGGCCCGACCACTCCACCTCTACACAAACATCGGCTGGTGACTTCCTGAAAGCTATCATCACAATATCAGCAAACGCCACGACACAAGACCAGTCAGTGATAGGGCCCAACGAGCTTACACGTCAGCTGGTCTCCGAGGCATGCCTCAAGCAGCTGATCGAATACATGCTGCGCGGCGGCAATCCATTGACTGTCGGCGTGGGCATTATCATCGAGGTTATCCGCAAAAACAACTCCGACTATGACTTGGAGAATCAGATTGGGCCCGTGCCAAAGAACTCGGACCCCATTTACCTGGGCACCTTACTACGCCAGTTCGCGAACCACATCCCACAGTTTATGGAATTGGTACACAGCTCTAGTAGAGTCGTTGTGCAGAATGATGGAACTACGGCGATGAAGAAGCGGGAGCTGAAGACAGCTTTTGGAGAGAAGATCGAGCCTCTAGGTTTCGACCGTTTCAAGACTTGCGAGCTCATGGCTGAATTGCTGCATTGCAGTAACATGGCTCTTCTCAACGAACGCGGCAGTGAGGCTGAGGTAAAGCGGAGGGATGCTGAGCGTGAGCGTCTCAAGGCTGAAGGCAAGCTGACATCGGGCAACGCTGGCAACCTTGGCGACTTCTCCACCAGTGTTGATAGCCAAGGCTTCCACCACGCGCGCGCACCTTCGGTCGACTCGCCCGATGAGATCAAACCGCTACAGGTGCAGAACAACTCGGAAGACGACTTTGAGAAGGTGACTGCGCCAGAAGTTGCAGTTGCCTCTATCGAGGCTACTGAAAAGGAGCAGATTGGCGAGCCCCTGGAGCGTTCGCCCAAAACAGATCCGAAGGTGTCGCCCGCTGATAAGACGGGAGAAGGCGATGGCGAGTTCGTGGACGAGCCACTGACACCACCCAAGGACGCAGCATCGCCCACTCCTGCGACCCCACCGAAGCCTGATGATGCAGAGTCACCGACTTCGGCAGGGCTGACTTCCAAGGTTGGAGGCCTCGACCTGGACAATGATACTGTCATGGGTGACAGAGACGAAGCTGTCGAGGAGCCTAAGGACGAGGTTAAGACAAAGACCACACCTTCTCTCCTCACCCAACAATTAAACCAGACGTTGGAAGAGCCAGAGCCAGTCTCGCCGCAAGATGTTGAGAAGCCTGCGCCACTATTCGCGGGTAAGAATCGCGATAGCAACGCTGAGGCTACCAAGGTCGATACTTCCAAGTTCACGGCACCCGCATCAGAGGACACTGCCGAGGCAACACCTATTGACGATACATCGAGTGTGCGCTCGGTCGTATTTGGAGGCGGAGAGCACGCTGAAGACCAGCTGTACGTGCTCGACATCGACGGAACTCCTGTCGTCGGCGACCTTCTCAAGATTACCTTTGTTGAGAACAAGGTTGTGCCAACCATTCTTGTAAGTCACAGTCGTCACATATTCTTGCATGCACTAATGCGCACAGGACTTCTTCTTCCGGTTCCCGTGGAACAACTTCCTACACAATGTTGTGTACGATGTTGTACAGCAAGTGTTTAACGGCCAGATGGAGCATGGCTACAACCGATCGCTAGCTATCGATCTGTTCCAGACAGGGAGAATTACCGAGAGGATCGTTGAAGGTCAACAAGCCAGCGACAAGGCTCAGCAAGAGACCCACATGAGGCTCGGCTACATGGGCCACCTCACTCTGATCGCAGAGGAAGTACTCAAGTTTACCGAAAGACATCCCACAGAGATTCTGTCGCAAGCGGTTGTCAACAAGGTTCACAGCGAGGAATGGATACACTACGTTGAGCACGTTCTCTCAGACACTCGCGAGAGGGACAACGCAATCCTTGGTGGTGTTCGACCAGACATGAGCGTTGGCCCTAGGCAGGCTGTGCTGAACGCAGTGAACGCCGCATCTGGCTTCGGTGGAGACGGCGGCCTTTCGAACGCCAGCATCGGCAATAACGGTGCCGTCGGTCTCGACAGCATGGACCTCGCTCAACAAGGTGACACCGGAGGTGGTGGGTACACCTTCAGTGGTGGCTCCTTGCTCAGCGGCTTTACTAACTCGAGTGACGAAGAAGATGAAGATATGGAGGACGATGATGCCAATAGGGAACGACAGGGGCCTGTCGACGACTCCGATCAAGTGGGTGAAGTCTCATTTGACGATGCTGATATGGACTACCGATAACCCCGTCTCCGTCCGAGCCCTACCCGAGCCAACTCAACACGATCATGTTTGCGCGCTTGGTGCGTTTCTTTTCTTTTCCTGTCCATCTTGTGCGCGCTATTTGGTATGAGCTACGAGGCATTTGCATGCTGGGTGTTGGAGCCGTCTATTCTTTCTGTACATACGACCCTAACCGGGTGTATGACTTCTGTAGCAATATCCGTCGCGGCAGGCGTTTCCTTTGTGACGATCTCTCCTTACGTCTCCACTTTTCTCTGTCACAAACTCCGCCTCACTCATCAGCTCGTCCTTTCCGCATTGTGCACAGCTGACATTTTCAAGGCAAAGATTCCACCACCGCTTCAAATAGCACCTTCTCGTGCGCGCCGACAGTTTGCTCTCCGTCTCGCTCAACGCAAGGCCGAACTCGAAGGCAAAATCGGCGATGACGACGACGACGACGACGACGACGATAGCGAGAAGACTCAAGAACAAGAAGAACGAGAGGGGCACCAACGTTTCGCAAAGATGTTTGAAGATATTGAGAGCGACTCAGACGAGGGGAGCTTGGGTAGTATCGATGATGAGATTGTGGGCAGGCTGGACGTAGAAGGCCAGTCTAGTCCTGAAAAGGAGCGCAGACCTGAGGGCGGCGCATCGAGCAAAGAGAGCGGAGGCGATAATGTGGTGGTTGTGTAGACCTGTGTTGGCTTTCGCAATGTATTGGTAGTGGCGCATAGACATGAGATACCAGGTAGGATAAGATGAAGGAAATGCGACATGAGTTACGTTCTTCAGTCCGTGCCGGAGGCAGTGGACGATTGATTTGTGCCAGTTGAGTCTCTAAGCGCTTGCAGACTGGTCGCGAGTTGCACAACGAAGACGCGAACGTCTAGGCCCTTTGAGCAATATCACTGCGTGTGCAGATAATACCTGCCGGCAAGTCGCATCTTTCTCCCACGACACGGTCGCCTCATTAACAACACTTCTTCTTCACAGTTGTTGACCAACGCTACCTTCCTGGAGTTTACTTGGGTGTTTAGGCACATCTCCCAAGAGCAGCTTAACATGGCTCATTGTCCAAGGTGCAGCGCTTTTTCTTTCACTTCGACCGTGTGTCACCGCAACTTGGGTCACATTGACGCCTACTTCAACACGACAGCTGGCAACACAAACCTTTCCCCGACTCCCAAGATCAACGTTTATCCTCTCGGTGCTGTAGGTTCTCAACTCCTACGCAAAAATCTACCACGCTTATCAGCATTTGGCTCAGCTGTGTCCTCCTTAACAACACGGGGTGCTCAAGACCGCCCGACGCGTCAAGGCAACACGATCACCATCTTTTGAGAGGGGTCACCATGTAAAACTACCAGTCGGAAAGCCTGTTTGTGCCTGAGGAATCTCCAGCGCCAGTCACAAGGTATGTGGCATCGCGAGCGTGGCATGCACGCCAGCTAACACAGTGCAGGCAGGACGAAGTTCACTCGATAAAATCCCCACAAGTATTCGAAGCACATCGACTGAAAAATTCCACAGCAGTGGAGGTCACTGGAGCGACCTACGATCCAACGCAAGAGCCAGTACCTGATCATTCGTACTTCGGCCTCGACGTCCTCACGCTTCACAGCGAGATCGATGCAGCATTACGAGACCTCTGGATCAGCCTAAAAGGCTTCGAAGATGACGATGCAGAGATGGAGAACCAGCGGGAAGTCACACAACGAGGGCGAGACATTGGAGTTCCCAAACCTCTAGTTGTCACCACTGTCGGACCAGCGGGTGTTGGAAAGAGCTTCTTGTACAAGGCCCTGTTCAATCGCCCCAAAATTACCAAGAGTTCCGCAGAAGGACGCTCATGCACACTCTACCCTACCAAGATCATGTTCCTTCCTGAAGCAGCTGGAGATACGACGAGCAGCGACATCGACATCGAGTTTTTTGATGCAGCGACAATAGCAACGATGACCGAAGATCATATCAGGAGATATCACGACTACCAATTTGATCCTGACAGCGACCCAACAGATGCTGAGAGTCGCCGTTACGCGCATACTGCAGAAGAGTTCTTTGACTTTGCATTCGACGCGAAAGGCAATACGGAGGTCACTGCGCACCTTCAATCTCTATTGGTAGCAGAGACAGTCAGTAACGGCGACCTGCTCCAGGCTTGCGTTGACGCTATCGAGCGACGCATCTTATCCTCAGGCACTACCCAAGATCGCAAGCTTTCTTACTCGCAGGTTGAAGATCACGATATCGACCAGATTCGGACTGTAGCCGACAGCTTGGCTCCGTTTGTCGACTTCCTTGTGATTAAGACAGGTGCCCCACTGCTAAACGCAGGCTTGACCTTTATCGATCTACCAGGTAAATCTATTCTGTAAATTGATCCTACGTCTACTAATCTTCCAAGGCCTGCGCGATATAAACCAAGATCGTATTGCAAGGGCCAACGCCATTCGTAGAGATGTTGATGTTGAACTGATTATCTGCGATCGGCCTGAGCGCGGCCTGGAAGACGCAAACCTTGACGACTTGATCAGGCAGTCGATCCGAGCGCATGGATTCAATAATACGATTCTTATATACAATAAGGTCGACGTAAGAGTTATTATCGTTTATAATTGTGCAGGTGCTGACAGATCTCAGACCATCTTCATGAGCGGAGCTCAAGACGCGAATGATCGTATACGCGACTCTACAAACGAGCCATACGCTACTATTCGAGCTTTCAAAGCTGAGGCAGAGAGTATCCAGGACGTCAATACCAAGCGCGCGTACCTGACGTTCCTGCAAGAGTTGGCTTTGAATGCTTTGATCCGCGAGCGAGCAGACCATCTACGCGAGAACATCGTCAGCAAGTACGCGTCTTTGGACCCAGAAGCTCCCAATAAAATTGCGGTCTTCGCAATCTCTGTTGCACAGTACCTGGAATGGCTGGACCCGTCTCGATTGCGCACACCAGTCATGAATGTGAGCGACACGCGCGTCCCTGCTTGGAAGCGCTACCTGCTCGGACTGACAGGTGCTCGCAACTACGAGTATCTCTGGAACCACATCCACCTGGTTATGGCTGAAATTTCCGACAGCGGCACTCGCATTCTGGAGAAAATTGAGGACAAAAATGGCTACTTGGCCTTCTGCGAGCAGCTTGCCAAAGAGCAGATTCCTTTGTTGCATACCGACCTTGCGCAGCTCGCCAACACACAGCTGCTACCATCGCTACGGATCTGGCCCTTCCAGCCGGACGCTGAGCAGCAGGTCGAGGCCATCAAGGATGTCATCGCCGGGTGGCAACAGACTGATCTTGGCCCAGTGCTTGTGGCTTCGTTCAGCAAAGCTCTGCGTGAAAGCGGCTTCATTGCCAATAGTCGAGCACAGGCGTTGAGAGGCAAGCGCATCAACTGGAACCTAATGCTGCAAGAGTGCATGGAGTCCGCAGTCGCAGCTTTTGTACAGAGCACGTCGGCACGCCTCGCTTCCGGCTGGAAGCAGATGTCAACCAGAATCGATGACTGTATGAACGACGTCTTCGCCACGGTCGAGAACTCCACCGGACAGACTCCGTTCAAAGCCAGTTTTCATCGTGAGTGGCGCAAGCTAGAACACGTCATCTTCACTAGGAGCGGTTCCTTTGAGTTCCAGCTCCAGCGAGTTGTGCATGCCACCCAGCGCTTCGCCACCACTGAGGAGGATGTCGGCTGCCTGGTCGCCTCACTCATGGTCCCTGTCTACCAAAATGTGGGCAGGAAGACTGGCAGGGGTAAGTACGCGCGGCAGGTCGCAGCTCTAAACCGCTACTTGATGACCAGTGGATGGAGTGGCGGCACGATTGTTGACCGCTATGAGGATGCAGTGGTTACAGACTTGGAGAGTAGGCTGAGGTCTATCGTGCATTGGTTTCTCAATGAGATCAAGGCAGAGCTGTTAAACTTTGTCAGGGTCATGGAGGAACTACTGGCCGATGATCAGCAGATGAGCGTGGGGCAGCGGCAGGGGAGACAGAAGCTGAGGGAGGCGTTGCTGGTGTATGAGGAGAGACTGAGGGCGCTGCAGGAGGCGGTGCCGAGGCTGGAAGGTTGATGTCTGGACAGTGAAGCTGAGAGCCAAAGAGAGCGAACAAATGCTCTCTATATGTCCTGATCAATAGCCACCTTGCGAATCCGCATGAGTTATACGCGCAAAACCAACAAGTGTCGCTGCGTTTCACATTGAGTCCAATAATCGACCTGCGAAATTGTTTGACCAGGTAAGTTTACTATACTGACTACCTCCAGCCTTGGACGGGATGTGTCCATAATACTAGTCCACATTTGTAACTGCGTGAGCAGTGTCGGTCGGAGACTATGATCAACGAGTGTATTGCTATCTGTTGTCGTGTTGTGATGTTCTGTTACAGGAGCTCTTAGCTCTAAGGTAAGCGCACTTGCCCACCAGGCAGTACCTGCTACAATATGATATCATGTGATCTAAGCCACGTGGTTACAACATTCGAGCAGCCTCAAGATCACGATTTAGGTCAGGGCCATTAGACATATAAATAGTCATACACCTTCCGACTTCTTTCTCCCCCTTTACGCAGCTTCTGCCACCTCAGTCAAGAACACCTACCGTGAAAGCACATGAACTCAAAAGCAACGTATTCCCTCAGCATGCTCTAGAAACAGCAGTACACAATATCTTTGTGAGGCTGAACACTCAAAAACTCCATTGCGTTCATCTTCATGTCCTTTGTCACAACTACTAATTTACGGACGCTTTTTCACCATGGAGAAGTCCTGCTGTTGTATTGGAACCCGTTTGTCCTACACACTTCGCTGCTGGGCTCATCTACAAATATCTTCCCTGCGCGCTTGTGCTGAGTTTCCTGCTCTTCCACAGCGCTTGCTCTTTCTTCGAAAACATGGCGTGCGAATAATGGTCCTCGGCAGTATGAAAAGCTACCCAGCGTATGCTCATGAGTCTTGTTTCGGAGTCCGGTGCTTGGGGCGTACATACTTCTGCGCATTTAAGCCACCGGATACATGAAAGTGAGCATTGACGGCCTGATGACCTGAGGCTTGCTGTAGAGTCTTTCAAAGCGGAGACTGCCCTGGGAGTCTTTCTCGTTCACCTTCTGCCCTATCTGGAATGGGAACATTTGAAGAAGCATGGAGCGAAGTCTCCGGTGAAGTTGCCGGTCTTATCCTTCAAAACCTGAGCCGTATTCCTCCCGTTGGACACGCTGTGCATGCTGCTGCCAGTACAAGCAGTAGAGCCTTTGTAACAGTCGAGAGAACAGCGACTGCGGAATTGAGCGTGATTCCATATGGCCATGATGGTTGCGCCTTCCCGTCAAAGGCCTTCAGTAGTCCAGTGATCCCCAGGAAGCCAAAGAGACTAAGCAGACATGCAGATGTCTCCGGCGCGTAATCTGTAGGAGGGCAGGGGTAACAGTACAGTACTCCCTCTATGACAATTGTAGTTGCACACTATGATCGAATTACTGAATTTTACGCTGTAGCTACTACTGCAAAGCTCCTAGCACAATATTGTTCGTCGTATCGTCCTCTAAATGCTGTTGACTGCCTCTATCACAACCACTGCGCCAAAACGTGGAGATTCTCTGTGTTCTGCGAGGCGTGCGCGGATGGGTCGAGCTCCAGTCAAGGTTCCGGATTCCAGACTGCCTGGTAGCAGAAAGGAAGATCTGCACTGAGTTCTGGTGTCGCTGTGCACGTAGCACGTCGAAGTATCGAGCGCTGCGAAGGAGCGAAGGAGCGAATGGAGGGCGTGTGACCGAACGGGGTGGCAACAATCCGTACGTACATATTTGCACCAACGACGAGAAGATGGGAAAGGAGAATGTCGTGAAAACCCAATCGGCTCCTATATGGGAGTGGAAAGCGCGTATTGATGGGAGGTGGCCACACTTGTTCCAGGCCTATGTGGGTGGTTCGGATTTGAGCTCTGTCTTGCCTTTGTGCTCTTTTCGCCCATTCGAATCTACTCAACCTTTTGTGCCTTTCATAGCCTCGTGTTGCGTTCAGTTTCTGCTGGGTCGATCGAGAACCACTCAGCCCGTCCACTTCGCGATATTGTTCGCAATCAGCCTCCTGAACATATCCAGCTGCTTCTGATGCACCGCCATCTTCTGCTCGAGGATATCCGGGCGTTGCTGAAGGGTCTTATCGACACGTTTCTGGGAGCCGCTAAACACAACCGTGAAATCCGGCAGCGTAGTATACGGCGGCACAACAGACGCGGCGGAGACGGTGCAGTACTACTATCAGTCAGAATATCTTTTTCTCTCTCTCACTCGCACAACTCGCTCGCAGCTGGGTCGTAGCGGAAAGAAAACTTACCTTCCCAACAACAGCACCCCTCCCGACCACAGCCCCAACCTCAACCACGCTCCCTTCCCCAACCTCCCTTCCCTCAACAACCGCGCCCGTCTCCACAACCACATTCCGCCCTAGCACCACGTCTTCTCCTGCACTCCTGCCCAGCTCCCCCTCCACTCCAACCCTCGCGCGCTCAAACAGCACAACGCCCTCGCCGAGTACAACTACACACCCCGCACTGTTCACGCGGGCGTGCGGATGCAGCACAGCCCCGGGACCGATCGTTATCGGGAAAGAGCCGGTCAGCTGCGCGTGTTGCGCGACCAGGGCCGTGGGGTCTATTGCGATGGAGCTCGGGCGGGGGAGGAGGGATGTGCGTTTTGAGGCGTGGACTGTGGATGTGCGGCGGGGGTCGCGGGAGGACATTGTGGCTTTGGACGTGTGTGATGTTCTTAAAGGTTTGCTTGAGTGGGCTTGAGCTGCGGCGTGTGCTGCTGATTCGAGAGGTGGTGAGGTGTTGGGGAGACGCGAAGGAGCACGCGGTGGGGTTAGCGTTGTCGCCTGAACACGTGCAAGATGAAATACTAGACTATCACATGTCAATTGCCGGCAGAACTGCATTGGTGATATTACTACACAAGTGAGGTTCGCAAGGGTGAATGTCAAGGTAGTTGTTCGAGTTGCATTGGAACGCTCGCGCAATACGATTATCTTGAGAAGACGGGTTCTTACACTCACCCACCCACTCATCCTGCCAATCCTTCTACCCGAAATCTCGCATCCTAGTAATTAACAGCCTGCACGGGCAGCTTCCCTTCATTCTCCTCAATCCAAGCAACCAGATCCTCAATCGTGCACACCTTAATCCCCCACTTGTGCCCAAATCGCAGACAATCCTCCGTCCTCATCATACCACCCCCAACCAGCTCCGGCCGCCCCTCTACACTCTCCCCATCGTTGATCATCTCGCAGATGACACCCACAGGCTGCTTCCCTGCCAACCTGCACAGATCAACCGCGGCCTCGGTATGGCCCCTGCGCACCCGCACGCCGCCATCTCGCGCCTGCAGCGGTAGAATGTGTCCCGGCCTTCTGAACTGGCTCGCCTTCGCGTTCGGATCCGCAAGCATTCTGCACGTGAGAGAGCGATCGTGTGCGCTGATACCCGTGGAAATCGCGTCGGCATTGGCGTCGATCGAAATGGCGTACGCGGTGCGGTTCGGGTCGGCGTTATCGGCGACCATCTGCGGCAGGTGCAGGGCGGCGGCGCGGCTGACGGTCAGCGGCGCGCAGATGTAGCCTGAGGAGTAGCGGATCATGAAGGCTGCCTTTTCGGGGCTGAGGCACTCGGCGGCGATGATGAGGTCGCCCTCGTTTTCGCGGTCGGGCGAATCGAGGACGATGACGAAGTCGCCGTTGGCTGTGGAGAGTGGTTAGTACGTGCGCATGTGCAATTGCGCCGTGATTCGAGTCCTACCAAAGGCCGCGACGCAGTCCGGTATTGAGGCGAATGCTGCATCAGCGGATGTGGGGTTCGACAGCGCGTCCGTATGGCCGTTGACGCCGTTTGTGCCGTTGGCGGGGCGCCCGTTGAGTTCGGCGGGCATTGCTGTGGTGGCTGCGTTCTTTGTTGCGTCAAGAAAGTCTCCTCCCTCTCTTGTAATGCCTCGGTGTGCTCGGAATGGCTCTACCCGTCTGTTGCAATGCTGGTCGTGGATTGGCAATGCTTAGAAAGAATCGCGACGCCTTGGTAGTGCGATGCCGGAGCTGTCCGCGGTAGTCTCGACAATAAGTACCGAGTTGTGGCTTGCAATAATGGTCAATCGATATGTCTGTTTATTAGTACCTGAAAGAGTACTTCGTAGAGTCGGTGGGGTTGCTCTTATCACGGCTCAATGCCTGTGGACGTCAAGGTCGGAGGTCGAGTCAACGTGCGGAACCGCCCCTCCAAGCAAAAGTCCAGCGGCGGGATGGAGTGGGCCGAGGCCTGCCTACATCATGCGCCGAGGCTCCGGTTTGCCATGGCAGATCGTGCGGCTGCATTCAGTTTTCAGGCCACCGCCGATGCCGACGGCGCGTGTTGACAAGCTGGCACCGACACCATCAGACACCGGCCAGTGTGCTTCTTGCTCTGACCTCAGTCTTGGCTGCGAGCTTCGTGGTGCGGATGGGCGACACGGCAGCCCCACGGCTATCAGCTGCTGCAACGCGGGTAGCGGATGAGTCCGCCTGAAGGTTCGTAGCGTACGCCAGTAGTAGCGCCGGTGTTTCTGCGCCTAAAATTGACACCTGGCCGGCGTTGCATCTGGCGAGGGGAACAGCCATAATAGAGGCTTATTAAACTGATCATAGCTGCAAAGTCAAGTTAAAGTGAGGGTATCTACATGGCGCCCACGCATTACCAGATGCTATGCTATCAATACAGCAAACCCAGCGCCGTAGCGGCTGTACAGCGCGTGCAACTTTTGCCAACCAGGCCAATATATTCACGAAACGCACGCTTACATGACCTTCTCGCCATCCGCCTGCTTATCCTGAATATAGTGCTTCTCAGCCGAGTTGTGCGTCGAGCTGTTCTCGCTGGCCTGGCCAGCAGCAATACCCTCAGACTCAGGGTCCCGCTTCCAGAAGTCCTTCTTGCCGGACGCGATGCGCCGCACCCACGGAGGCAGGAAGCCACCGGGTATGCGCCATGTCCATGGCTCCTTCTCATCCTTGTTGGGGGGAACCACACGGCCACCGGACGACTTCTCGATGATGAACACGAGCATGTTGATGAGGATGTACGAGCAGATACCCGCGATGAGACCGTAGGCAATCGAGTAGGTAAAGGGCATGATGGCGATGGTGAGGAACGCGGGGATCGCGTCGCCCATGTACTTCCAGTTGATGTCCTTGGCCGACTGGGCCATGAGGGAACCGACGATGACGAGCGTACATCCGGTGGCCCAGGGAGGGATCGAGGCAAAGATCGGTGCGAAGAAGATCGCGATGAAGAACGAGAGACCAGTGAACATCGCAGTGAGGCCAGTCTTGCCGCCCTCAGAGATACCAGCACCAGACTCGATGTAGGCCGTGACTGGAGAGCACCCGAAAAGGGAACCGATGGTTACACCCATAGCGTCGATGGTGTAGGCAATCGAAGAGTTCTCGAAATCCTGAGTGCGTTCATCGATAGCTCCACAGTAGCGGGCCATGGAGTACATGGTACCTGTGCAGTCGAGGATATCGACGTAGAGGAAGGTGATGAAAGCGAGACCGAACTGGCCGGCGTACTGCGAGACATTCCATTCCTGGACGACAAGGACCTTCTGTATTGGGTGGAAGGTAACGACCTTCTTGAAAAAGTCGAACGAGTCGTTGCCGAGATTGGTATAGGGGAAGTACGTCACTTCAGTATGGCGGGGCCAGGAGATGATCGAAACAAGCAAGATACCGAAGATGATCGCGCCCTTGACACGGTACATCATGAGCATGACGGTCAGGACACCACCACAGAAGATACCAATCCACAGAGTTGGGTTGCGCATCTTGTGGCCTCCCGGACAAACACCGGTATCGTCCTTGAACTGATCCTCACATCCTGCAAGTTCGAGGGGAGTTGATACGGCACCAGTGATGAGACCAATACCGGCGGAGTACGTAAGGCCGATGATTGTGAGATAAAGTCCGATTCCGACACCTGTTGCGAGCTTGATACTAGCCGGGATAGCTCTGAACAAAACGAAATCAGCGTTGTTTCTGTGGAGAATGACGTGTGGCGATGTGGCCTGCGATGGGGTCCAAGTGGAACCGAACCGCGCCTAGGTGTGATGCTGGCGCACAAAAATCTGACGCCAAGGGAAAATGGAAGAACACGGATACTAACATACCTTGCAAGCCATTGACGGATACCGAGGATGGTGAGGCCCACGAAGACGAAGCCTTCGACAAAGACAGCAGTCAATGCAACCTGGTATGGAACCATGCCTGAAAAGTAATTAGTAATCGTTTCAAGAGAGGAACTTCGTGTAACGAAGCAAAACTACAAGGAAATGACATGTATCACAAAAAGTAACACAAAAACGAAGAAGGCAATTTGTGTGACTCGACGTACCGGAACCGTGGAAACCAACAACCGTGAAGGTAAAGTAGGCGTTCAGACCCATTCCTGGAGCAAGGGCAATGGGCATGTTGGCGAAGAGACCCATGCAGAAGGAAGTCAAGGCGGAGATGGCAGCAGTGGCAGTGACAAGATCACGCTTGACGATTGCTTTGCAGAGGAGGTACTCGTCGTTGGTATTGCAGACGTTAGACATGCTCTCGGGTGGGCAGACGCAGGTACCGCCGGAGTCAGCCAAGATGGTAGCTGAAGATGATGAGCAATGCTTCTTCAAGTTTCAAGTGGAGACCATACAGTTGACAGAGATAATGTAGGCCATGGCGAAGAAAGTCGCGAGGCCCGCGCGGAACTCGGTCCAGAAGCGTGCATCCTTGCGTTCTTTGGGCTGTGGGTGTTGTCAGTGTGTGCATCAGACTTCATGTGAAGGGTGACATGCGTGACCAGAGCCGTCAAGACGGAAGTACTTGCCCACGAAGGAGCGCGCAATGGCTTGGTTGGACTTCTCAGCGAAACCCATGTTAAGAAAACTCTGTGACAATTAAGAGAGTGGAGGAAGGGTGGAGGAAGTCCTGGAGAAGGACTGTCCAGAGAGTGTCAAGGGAGCCAGGTAGGCGATCTGCACAGAATCTTACGAACGGATCCGAGTGAAGGACATGATGAACCTTTAAGTTCAGATGGTATGAGCATGGGCAGAGCAACCCGCACCCAGATAAGGATTTGCCAGGCGGCAACGAGGCGTGCCCACGGATGGTCTCGACGTTGTTAGGGTATCAATCCAACCCATGCTTTGATGATCGGCCTGTGCCAGTCCTGGCTAGCAGGGCGGGGCCACGCGATGGGATGCTCTTAGCACTTGCACGGTTCGCCGTACCCTGGCGCGGCTTCATGCGCGAAGTCTGCTGGCGAGGAAGCGCAGCCAGGACTGGGGATCCTTTGGCAGTGGAGCGGCTGACATGTCGCACTCGAAGGGTGATGCAATGCGCCCATCGCCGACCAGCTGGGGTTGCTTTTGAGAAAATGACCTCCCGACCGACGCCATGTTGCAGAAGGGGAGGCGGAGGCTGCCGAATTGCGACAACTGCGACCGCCTCTCTCACCAGGAAGTCGCCTCCTTTCTATCTGGCACTCCACGAAGGCTATCATGGCCCTCTTGGCTGGCGACTCCTCGCCGCGCATTCGACGGAGCAGCGGATTGCAAATAGTTTCTTGTCAGGACGACGGACTAGTCCGGTAAGAGTGCCGAATGCAGCGTCAAAATGTGGGTGCGTGCTGCTGAAACGGTGCAAAGGTGCTGTGGAAGAACTCTTGGTTACTTGGCGCGTTACCGATGAGAGGGAAAGCCGAAATGCCGCGCAGCCCCTCGCTCTTTCCTGGGCAACGCTGTAAGGACGGCCAGGGTGCGCAGCTTTTAGAAGGTTGGGCTTACTCCCCTTGTCGCACAAGATGAAGCGAGCTGCTACGACTGGTGCGTCTTGCGTACGAAACAGCAGACCCTCTCCCCCGGGTTCCCACTAATATTATGGCCCGGTAGCCGCAGCGGAACAGCCAGACGACTTAACCCTTGCCTGTCCTCACGCCACGACCTCTGCTTTGACACCTGTAGACGCATATACGAGACGCGTTTGTAAGGGAGCTCTGCTGGCGACATTAGTCATGCAATTGCTCAGACTAGGTAAATCCATGGCGACCTGCCTGCAAAGCCTCACCATTCAGCAATATGAATAGAGTCAGTGCACTCTTAGTCTAACGTAAAGCACCACCGAGCCAGACACACCACCGAGCCAGACACTTTTTCTTGGCATTGTGAACACCATGTACGGGACAAGCAATTACTTACTACTTGCTGCAGAACCTGCGTACAACGAAAAAAGACGTTCTTTTATAGCAGGCTGTATTATCTACCTATGTGCCTCTTCCGACGAGCGGGAGAGAAGGGAGGTGATGTAACGGTCTAGACTCTTAAGCTAAAGAAGAGCTAGAGCTAGCCGGTTACATTAGCTTAGCCGGCTTGGCTTAAGCTGGATATATATTATCTACGCAGTTAA